GGAGGTAGCAGTAGATCTAGTATAGACGGTAGACGAGATGAAAGACGAGATAGATACGGAGAAGAAGGGATAGATAGAAGTCCTTGAAGAGAAGAAGGGAGCGAGAGGAGCCTCGAGACCTCAAGTAAGACATCTCGAAGTTTCCTCCTGCTGCTGATGACCTACGCATACTCCGTAATACATATATAAAAAGGGCAGCAGCCTCCATCCTCAACCCCTGGCTCTCTCTTTCTCTCTCTCTCCATCTCTCAGCGTACGGAGTATAAGTAACGATACTCCATAGTATAATGTACGCATCCACTGCTCCACTCCAACAGTTGCATTATATTGTCCTCTTCTCCTCTTCTCCTCTTCTTTTTTTTATGCTTGTATATGTTTGACGTCTTGTGAGGCCTCGACAGGGGTAGGCAGTGACTTACCTAGGAGTACTCCGTACATATTCATCCCCATCCCCATCCCACGCAAGCCATCGATCTTCTTTTCTTCTTTGCTTCTTTCGCTCTCTGCATCCTCGCTGTATCCTCGCTGCGTTCTTCCTCCCTTTTCCCTCTTTTCTTTTCTATCATAAGATCATCCGGACGCCCCTACGCGACTCCACCCTCCCTGATCTTAACTTGATGCAAGCAATTTAACTTAGCCTAGCGTCGTGTCTCAACCCCTAGCTAGTCGGGATAGGGAGTTATTAACCACCTGGGGACAGGGCTCGAGAGAGGGAGAGAGAGCAAGAACAAGAGAGCGGTGGTAGACGTCCTTAGACGGGATGTGTCCGTGATAAAGAGGGTAAAGCGTCTGGATAAGGTAGACCGTTATGGACATCCCGTCGCAGTTCCTCGCTTTCCCTGGATGGCGATGGCTGATGATGTGCTGCGACGGTGTCTCTCTCACTACCACGCTACCTAGGTACCTAGGTATACCCTGATCAGCGCTCTTTCGTTCCTCGAACCTGCGGAGCATGCATGAACAAAAGAGCAGGTACCTTCTTCTTCCCTTTTCCCTTTTCCCTTCCTCTGCCTGCTCATCCGCCTCTCTCTCCCGCACACACAGACACGCGCACACACGCACACTCACATTCTCCATACGCACAAACGCATTCTCTCGGAGGATACGAGTGTTGTCTCAGCTTCGCCCCCAGCGAGTCTGGAGTACTCACCTCCTCCCCTTTTCTTCCCTTTCTCTCACCTTTCTTACCTTCTCTCTCCCTCTCCCGTCGCCTTTAAGGATGATGCTGTACCCCGTAACTATTTCCCTCCTGCATGAAAACTTTTTATAAAAATATTACCCATCTTCTTCCTCTTCCTCCTCTTCTTCTACCTTCGTCCCTTTTCCCCTTTCCCGCCCTCTCTTTTCTTTGTTTGCCTCGCCAGCCCGTAGTTATCGGAACGCTCTACCGGCCGCTGCGACGTGATTGGCCTGCTCCCTCGCCCTCTCTTGTATCCGTAGTTTGGTTACTTTACACCTTGACTTTAATGGCAAAGGGGAGTTCCTGAGAAAAAGCAACGAGCCGAATCTTATGCACGAGCAATGTGGGCTCTCGTCTTCTTCTTCCTCCCTCTTCCTCCTCTCTTGCTCTTCGGGGCCCTTCTCGCTCCTCGTTCGTTCGCTGCATGTTCGTGTTTTTTTTTCTGTCTCTCTCGCTCTCTCGCTCTCTCGCTCTCTCGCTCTCTCTCACGCGGTCGACCTCGGCCAGATAATCTAGCGAGATGGGCCAACCAAGTACGGAGTAAGCTAGCTAGCTTCGGTCGTGAGATGTTGGCTTGAGATCCGCCTTGCTGCATCGCATGCTTTAGTTAGCCAGCCCGGTGTTAAGCCCCAGCGTTGTACCTTCGACTCGGACGGCGCAGGAAGAGAAGGCTGTACTCCGCGACCTCCATCAAGAGACATGTATCATATTCTCTCCTCTCCTCTCCCCCCTCCATCTCTTCTTCTCTCTCTTCATCCTCCAGCTCTGGACCATCAAGCGTTGTCGTTCTCTTTTTCTCTTCTTTTAGTTTTGTTTTGATTATGTAAGACATGTCCTGATTATGTCATCTTCAACGTCGTCGAAGGAAAACTTCGAGGCAGAAGAAGAAGACGATGAAGATGAAGATGAAGATGAAAATAATAAGAGAATTAGCAGTAATGGGATAAAGAGCATCTTTTGGGGTATCATGGCTTATAGACATGATACTCTACATTCAATTAGGGCCTCATAACTTTATAGTGATATAAAGGTGTTGGTGCCTCTAGTGACTTACTCCCAGGATCCTTCCTCCTTTAGGACATTGCCTGGCTCCAACCTACATCTACACCATTGATCTATACCTCTAGGTAGACATATAGCAGGTGCCTATTCTAGATAGCCTGCTCTATCTTCTTATAGGAACATGTCTTGATATGTCTGTGAGACTACCGCTGCTACTACCGCTGATATCACCCGATGTAGATATCGCCAGAGTAACATGGACACAGGACACCAACCGTGACTCCTCTCTCGGCAGATAAAGAAAAACATGAACAGGACAAGATGGAAGGTAAACAAACGCCGGAAGACTCATCCTCTTCTTCCTTCTTTTTCTCTTTCTTCTTCTTCATTACACACTCTTCTCTGTCAATATTCACTGTTCCTCCTTCACCACCCTGGAACCATCATTCACGTTGACAGACTACGAGGTATAAAAGGACAAGAACATTCAGCTTTCAGTCCTCGACCTCTTTCTTTCTTTCTCTCTCTTTTACCCGCAATGTGCAACGCGTACTCCATCACCTACAAGTGCGGCCACGTCCAGTACGCCCAAGGCCTGCCCTGTGGAAGACCCGACTGCTCTGCCCCTTCCAGACAAATCCCTTGCCACCAGATTTGCCTCGACTGCACAGACTACGAGTACATGGGCCTACGCTTCTCTAACAAAAACCAGCGTTGCTCAAACATGGACGAACCAGCGGCAGTGAACGCGCTGGCTCCCCCTTTTGAAGACTACATGTGTGAACCCAGCTTCGATGTCGAGATGGTCGACCCGGCCATCTACAGCGACATGCTGGGCATCCAGGACGACATCATCTCCTTTAGTCCACTAGAGGAGCCCATTGACGCCCTGACAGGCCGCAGTGCCCTCTCGCCACCGCAGCTACAGAACACTATCGAGTTTATCCAGCTTGAAGCCCCCGTTCGATCCCACTACATGTACCCGTCTCCTATCAACTACTTTGCCGGATGGGACCCCTTGGAACAACAGACTCACACACACCCGGGATACGGAGACTACGTGACTAGCCTAGATGAAGCAGACATTCATTGTCCGTTTGCTGCTCCAGCTCCTACTTCTGCATCTACCTGCTCAGACAACAATGATACAGTCACCGAGCAGACTACCCCGTCCCCCTCATTCTTCAGCCGTAGCTGCAACGAGATGTCTCTGAGTCCCGGAACCCCTGAAGACAGACTGTTTCTCACCAGATGCCTAACTTCACGTGAACTTAGCCCTACGCCAGGCGCCCGCGGCCACGAAACCTTTGTTGAAGCAGCTTCCGCCATACTCGACCTACCCATCTCTTGGCGCGGAAACGGGACCCTTCGCGAGTTTCTAGATGAAGAAGATGAAGACGGCTATCTTCCCGACGATGAGGAAGACGAGGAAGAAGAAATAGACTACACTACCCCTCAACCCACCAAGATGCGTCAGCCTGACTTCCATCGTAGTGATTATCAGGTGTTCCCGGACCTAGGGGGTCCAAAGATCTCGCTTGGGAGTGCGTCAGCTAGCGATAATTCTAACCTTGGCGCCCTTGACCAGCCAATGGCAGACGACACTGCAACTACCGACATTGTTGATACTACAGCTACCAAAACGGCTCCTCCTACTTCTGCTGCTGCTGCTGCTGCTGCTGCGGAAAAGAGCGTAAAGGGCGTCGACCCCGACACTAAAACAATCGGACCTTTTTCTCTCGCTCCGACCGCCGAGGTTGGGCCGTCCAACATCTAGGATGCAGCCGACTTTATTGTTTGTGCATGGACACCCCCACTAGGATTGAAACAAAACGGCGTTGTTTGGGAGTTAAATCCGTTACTGCGATATGTGGCATGGACCAGGAGAATGGGGCGCATGGCTTTGTTGAATACCTACTTTTTCTGCATTTTGACCTGGCTAGTGGAAGATGGAATGATCATTGGAAGGAGATGGACGGGTGAAGAACACAATAGCTAGTCTGATACATGTTGTTTTTTTTATTTCATTTTTTACTTCTTTTAAATTTGAAATCAACTTCTCTTCTTACATTTTGAGCATCGCTGTTTTGTAGAACTACCCATCATAAGGGACAATGAATCCATCTACTTACTTAGTTGCTAGCAATTAGAGAAGGTGGTTTAACCTACCCCTGCATATCAACATCCCCTCCATCAAACCCCGTCTCCATGCCCCCCTCGCCAGTAACAGACATGTCATCTTCCAGCCCCTCGAAAACCATAAACTTCTCATTCTTCGCATCCGTCTCATCAGGGACGATGTTTCCATTCTGCACCTCACAGTCCTTCAGCACACAGTCTCGGCCAAGCTTACTTCTTCTCCCGATGATGCAGCCTACAAGCTGACATCGTTCGCCTATCACCGCCCCGTCCATGAGTAGACACCTAGTCAGCCTCGCACCAGTCGCGATGTGGCAGTTTGCGCCAATGACAGATTCTTTGATAATGCATTTCTCTTCCACCGTGACGTTTTCTGCAAGTAGGCAGTCTGCTTTTGACACCGTGCAGCGCTGTGCGAGGCCGGGTGGGTAGGCGATCTTGTTGGTGTGGGCTAGAGGGGAAAGTGTAGTTGTGTTGGGAGGATGTGTATCGCTGATGGCGTCGAGCTTGGCTAGACGGAGTGATATTGATAGAAGTAAGGCGGAGTTGTCTACTCGTCGGATGAGCGGCATTGATGGCTTGGATGGTGCCACGTAGCCGAGGAGTGGAGGGGTGTTTATTTTATCTGCGGCGGCTGCGGAAGAGCCCTCAGCCTGGTCGTCAGCCGCATGGAAGCTGCTGGCAAGGCTTGTAGGGATGGCGCGCGTCTGGGTATCGAATTCACGCGTGAATTTGGTTGTGCTCATGCCCAAAAGGTCGATTTCCTCCTCAATGTGGCTATTTGCAGGATCACCTGCTTTCACTTCTTCGCTCTTTTCCGGTGACTGAAAAAGGTCCTGGATGCCGAGTTTGGCAGCCAACCCCTTTTGCCAGCCTGCCTTCGCCCACCAGCCAAGGAGGTCCTCGCTGATGCTCTGGAACTTTTCATTACGTTGAGCCATCTCCTTGACCCAGTATGGAAAGAAGTAGATGTGGGCGTCACGGTAACCATTGAGGATCTTGATTCGTCCATGCTGCTTGAGCAGTGAGTACCGAATAAAGAGTGCCTTTTTCTCCTCTATCGAGTCCTTTAACGTGTCCATTGGCATGGTGTATGCAATTCTATGCAGGCCTGCGCGTACCGAAGCAGGAGTCGCAGGAGACCCTTTGACAGCAGGTGCTTCATCCCCACTCAAGGGGGCAGTGACCAAGAAGTCAGGCACTTCATCCTTGATTTTCTCCTCGCCTGTGGGCAAGGGGTACCAGACACCAAGACCACCTCTTCGTCCAGCCTTTTCTCCTGCAAATCCGAGAAGACTAGATGATCCAGGCAATAAGGATGCGCCACCGGCTGTCCCGTCGAGTGAGCCCTGGGTCATCATCCATGCCTCTAGGAGGGACTGCCCGGGCATATCACATATCAAATCGCAGGGGAGAACTATAAAGTCTGTTTTTATGCATGCCTGGACCTCGGGCAGTTGAAGGAGCTCCGCAGTTCCAGTCGTAGGAGAAAGGTCCGCGGGAGCCAGCAGTGTAGGTGTGGGGAACTGGATAGATGTGAGATGAGGGTTTTGTGATAGAGCAGTCTTCATGACTGACTGGCTGGTAGGCGAGGTGATGAGCGTGACATCTACACCGACGGGTAAGCAGGCAAACATGAGAAGAATAATGCGGGTGCAACACGCTACGAAACAAACTTTTACGACCAAAAAATTCATAAAACAATAACAATGCAATGCATGTAATAAATATCATCCAGGATAACCGCACAAGAAAGCAATAAATGATGTTCAATATCAAGGGAGGAACATACTGGTAATTCCTAGGCGATAACACCAGTCCATGGGGTACCATACCATCGGCCGATTTGCAACAGGTACCAACGCCTTTGGGAACTCCTCCGGGATAGACGTGAATGTATTCAGCGAGGCTCCTGGTCCGCAGAGGATCAGGGCCTGGAAGCCTGTCTGTGGCAGGCCTAGGTGAGGCATGATAGTAGATGTTTTATTCCTTTGCTCGGCGGGGTATCTCTTGTGATCAACCGAGAATGTATGTGGTTTATTGGTATAGGTTTCGTTTATGCTCTATTGTATAGTCCTGGTAAAGGAGGTATTGAGTGAGATATGTCTCAGGCCAGAGTGAATTTCTATCTCCCCCGGTGAAGCAGCTATGCAGTGACACTGGCGCTCCCGATGGATGTAACAGCGAGTCCGGCTTGATATTGACGATGTTTGATGCAAATGCGGGATGTCGAGCTTGAACCGTCCATGTCTCGCCCTAGTTCCAGTCCTAACGCAGTCGCCTATGCAAGAACAGAGTCCATCTCCGGGTCTAATCTGCTAATCTTTCTTTTTCTTTCTCCTCTCTTTTTACTATAAAATATTCCTTCTTCCTCTGCTTCTTGTGTTTCTCTTCTCTTGTTTTCTTTCGTTCGTTACTTTTGAGTCACCTTTTTTTTTGCTTTGGTGGTTCCTGCTTAGTAAGCCATTACTTAATAACATTACTAATTTATTAGTAATATTCATCAGTATTAGTCACATGTTTTGATGATGACATAAGCAAAGTCCCGAGGTTGGACTTCGTATCTCGATCTTGTTTATTTACTTCAGCTTCAACGTCGATAGCCAACATCAACGGTGTTACTTGCTGTCACGGAGCGATACGGATACCACCCACTGCATTGATAAAGAGACCGTGATGCTTAGGAGGCGCAGCTAACTTCACGAGAAAAGCGACTGTTGACACCACATGTCGGAATTCAGCCGCCGGCGCTCCTCTGGACGGTCCGCTCTGGGGTACTGGGTGCCGCTGGTGGTCACCGTTGGAGTAGCGACAGCCGGACTCGCAGCTTGGGTATGGAGTGAGCGCCAGAGTGACGATGATGATGAGGGATTGAGCTACCATGATGATAATGCGCCCATCACCATGGACCCCGGGACCGGGGATAACTACTCGAGGGGTGCCACAACCGCCACTGACGATGGCAGCGTGATATCTCGTTTTCAGGGCGCCTGGCGTCGAACTCCCAGCCCGAAACAGCTTTTTGATGGCGCAAGCCGGTCGGTTGTTGCAGGCGTCACTGCTGCGGGTGCTATGGTCGGAGGTGCCTTATCATCTATACGCGAAGAAGAACGAAGTGAGTATGACGATTACGACCAGCAGCACCCGCGGAACCACGAGCCGGCTGCCGCCCCCGACGCATCTCGCGAGGGCCAGTCTATGCCTGGCGCATTGCCCACTGATGCCACAGGTACCTCCCAGTCACGTCAAGGGCCGAAAAAGGTCAAGACGGTTGCCATCGTGGTATCTTCCGTTCTGCCTGATTCGGAGATCGACGAGCATGTCTCGGGTCATGCTGTAAGTTTATAGATCTTATACCAGCTAAATCCCGCTAACATTGTCCCCGTAGTCAATCCTAGCGCACCTTCCTGAGTATATTGAACCCGAAACGGCTCGCGTTTTCGTCCTCATCTATGCGCCAGGTGTACATCCTTCTGGTGCCGTAGGCTTATCTAGGCCAACGCTGTCGATAACTTCTTCCTATTCCAACATTGCATCTGAAGAGGCTGCTGGCGCAGAGTCTGGTGAGATCATGCCTCTCACTGCCGTTGACCCCGACCCAACATCCGACGAACCCCAGCAACCTACCTCTCTCTACCATACTCTTTATACTCAGGCCCAGGCAATCGTGGACAATGAGACGATGATTATGCCATTCAGCACGCCTGGTGGCCATGTTCACATTCTCCGCCATCTTTCTCCTGAGATCGTGTATATCCAGGAGAGCCTCACTGGTAACATCGGAGAGAGCGTCAACCAGATCTCTGGATGGGTCCGCCAGGTTGTTGTGGTTATAGGTGACGAAGGTGGGCGAGGTGGTCTCGTCGATAGTGAAGACGAATCCGCCGTTGCTGACAAGGGAGAACGGTGGTGGCAGAAAGAGGGTGTCACTGGCCTCGGCAAACGAATCACTGTCGTTGACGGAGTCCGGATTGGCGAGGAATGGAAACGACGGGTTTGCGGTCACGAATGATCCTAGTATGACGGAACGGTGGTAATTTTTCCTCTCGGTTTCTGCGGCGTTCATGTTTCACGATATATCAATTTGGCTTCCTTTTCTCCCATTTTCCCCTATCCTTCGTCTTTTGACTTAACCCTCAGTCATCTTTCAGGTCCCTCCCGATGAGCTCTGGCATCCCGTATATGCCTGGGCTAAACTGGGCTGCACATATTCGTACATAGCCTGCGTGCGCTTCAGCAAGTCGTCTGGTGAGGATCTTTTTTGTATACGTTTAGCAGCTATCTACTAGCTATTTATCTATAAATAATTGGTCCAACGAACATATTTCTTATATCAAAAAACCATTTATACTGATTGACTCATAGATATCTCCCGTGTACTCCCTGAGTCCATTTTTGCAACCCTTGAACCTCTGGAAACCTTGGCACTTTCCTCAAGATACCGTCGCGTGTTTTGTGCTGAGTCCGGTATTTCAACTTTGTCTCCTTTCTCCACGCCTGAACAGTGCAAATATACCATATGGCTTGGATTTATCGTGATCAAGTAGGGAAATTCATACCGAGAATGATGCCTTCATATTAGCCCTATTGCTTTCGCCATGCGCATGTAGATTTGCTAATTATATGTATACACAGAAAAACACTCCAGCTCCACGCCTGAACCCCAGAAATAATCGACAAATAACTGAGAATAAAAAGGAGAAATATAGTCTTGGGACGGCCCCGGTGCAATCAATTATGCTTTGCTGGAGTCGTTACCAGGAGCAATGATTTCGCAGATCTGGTCAATGACAGGGAGCATGATTTCACCCTTTGGAAGCTCCTGGTAGCACCCGCAAGCCTATCATGGGAAACATCATTGTCAGAAACTCACGCCAGGAATACATTTCCAATACAGAAGAATGAACAACATACCGTTGGAGCATTAGTCCCAGCACAGATAAGGATCTGAACCCACTCCCCCTTTGCGGCGCAAGAGGCGATATTTTTGGCTAGCTCTTCGCAGTTTGGAGCGGAGCCAGGTGGAGGAAGACCTGGAAAGCCCGGAAGGCCGGAACCAGCGACACTAGGAGCGCCGGCAGAGCTTGAAGTTCCTGGGGTAGTTGGGTTTCCCACAGCCTTTGAGGATATGCCGTTGGTGTTGGTGTTGGTGGGAGCAGCCATGGCAGCTCCGGCCATGAAAGCAGAGAGAATGAGGGCCTTGAATTGCATATTGAGAGAGCCCTTGACGTTATACAGGGGGTAGAAAAGAGATGAAAGTACAGAAAGTACGGAAAGTGTGAAGGGAAGCTGGCTGATGTGCGGATGAATTGGATCAAAGCGTGAGAGAGAAAATGGCCAACTTCGAGGGCACTTCAGCCCTTTTATGCCTTTTCCTCGAATCCTTTAACCCCATCTTCTGTCTTGCTGAGACCGTCTTCCTCCTCCTGTCGTCCGATTACGGAGTGCCGACTTGGCTGGGGGATACAGTCTTATCTGGACGGTTTGGTTTATGTCTCATATCTAACCTCCACATACTGGTAGGCAGGGGATATATTCACATGTCTGGCCGATGAGGGATAAGACTGATCTCCAGATTTTCACAGCTGTCCCTGAATTGGGCTGAGCCTATCGCCGGCGCCATGTGCAGACTTGTCGCGGGTTATGTCAAGTGGATTGGCTTAACCGGATATTTCTTCACAGTCCTGACCCACTAACCAGAGATGAGACCAAGCAGGTATCCAAAGTTGAGCCTATGTTGCCGCGGAATACTAGCTTTTCTGAGCGGTTATGCTGAAAAACGGTGCATATGAGCATATGATAGCGGGTAAAAAATTGAGTTTGCGCGGCAGATAGGGGCCTCTGTGGGTGCAAACGTCTCCATCCGTGGGACCGAGTGATCCCCCGCGATCACGGCTGTTTCTTCGGGATCTAGTTAATAGTGATAGCGTCTAGCAACAGGGTCGTGCAACATCGACCTGGGTATTCAAAGGCCGATTCAGGTGCTCTCTCCGAAGCCGCGGCGTTCTTTATCGGGAGAATCGGGGTATCTTTATCTCCTACAAATCCCAAAGAGCTCACCTTCCATCGCCACAATCGAGGAATTGGACCTTTATCTTCTCCGGCTTTCATGCACTCCAGTCCCGATATCAAGCTCCCTTCTATACCCACGGGTATACTACGATATACAGCAACCTATCCAAGAAAGGAGAATGGGAGTTTCATGCCTGTCCCAAAAAGGCGATCATCGGGCACGTTTCACCATAAGTGATGCGCAAACACGGGGGCGGCTCGCTCGTATATTTAACTAACGAACCAGCTATCTGACTTGCGCATCTTTCCCCAGTTCCACTCGAACGATGGGCATAACTCTTGGACCCATCTTTTTCATAGTTTCACCCACGTCAGAGGATAGCCTCAATCTGGCAGTTTTGTGAATTATATTCCTCATGCCGTCGCCTTCTTGACGATACCGCGGCTCAGTGGTGATGCGTCGCCGCACCTCTCAGCATATCTATCAAGCTTGTAGCTACCTATAACTACTTACTAGCTAGTTAACCTGGTTTCCCACCAGTTAGTAAACCATGTACGTACGGAGTACGTCCAACCCACAAAAATGATACTGGAGTATTATTCGCTATACCCGCAAACTACCTTCCCTACCGCCAGACAGATAATTATATGGTCAACTTCAAAATATCCCCTCGCCCGGTACCTCCATGTCTCTTGCTACGCAGGTGGTTAATACGGGATTGGCTAATGCCAGGGATGGGCTCCGAATTTTGGAGGAGGGGGGTTTTAAGGTTGGTCCCGAAATTGCTGCAACAGAATCCCTGTCGCATCAGTTTTGCGAGATCATATCATTATACATATGTCAGATATAGGATGGGATACCTTAAACACACTTCCAATTATCGATGGAGCTGTTTATCACCTATTTCATCTTTTCGATGATACTACCCCTACGCATACCTCATACCCAGGAAGCAGGTTATCGCAACTCTTGGATCCCACTGCTGGATTCCACCGGAGAAAATCACTTAAAGTAATCCCCGTGAACTTCAGGATTATGCTACATGTTTCCGACCTACATAAAGAGTTAGACGGAGCTCTCAAAGAGGCTAGATATGTTGGAGACTTTACTCAGAAACAAGCCAACGCTTACGGCAATTCGATGGGAATCCTGGTTGTGTCGGATTAGTAGCGGTCGGACTCGCTGGGGCTGACATGGTCCGGGATCGTGGTGTTCCCGGCACTGCAACGCAATACCAGTACCCTTCCTATGTGCCTTCAGCATGTATGGCTATACCAGACTTCATGAGCTAACACACAGAAGAAAAAAAAACTACCGACCTTGATATTTGAGCAATTCTCCTGGACTGCTGGGTTCCAGGAGATGAAATCTCCCCTGGAAAAGGCGCCAAACATGATAGTTATAGATTCACAAGTATCGCTCAATGTCATCTGATACCAAGCTACGCAGTTGCTCACAGAATTCCTTTGTATTGGCGAAGGGGTTGTTGTTACCGTTGGAGGCTGGGGCAAGTTCTCTTCAGAAAAAGCCCCAGCACAATACCAGTAGCCAGCCCAGAGACCAGAGCAATCTTTACCCAGCGCTGGATTCCACCCCAGGAACTGTTGTTCAGTGATATATCCGAACTGAGAAAGGACCTTGGGGCACGTATCACCCTGTTTGATCCCAGTAAAAGTCAGTTACCTGGTAATAGGTTTTGCTCTAGGCTGCCCACCTACCGGCCTTGCTTGATAAAACTTCTGGCAGCCCAGTACGAAGCCTGGCTGGGTTGGAGACGCCGTAAACTCTGCTGTGTCTATGGAAGTCGTCATTGGCGTGTATCTTGTAGGTTCTGGATAAGATATGGTTGATCCAACTGGATAAAAGAGACTCAAGGAGGTCCTGGGTTGGATTCCGACACATACCCACCAGCCGACATAGAGGCCCGAGCAGTCATCTCCGAGCCCCTTATTCCACTGATGGCTATATGAAATATGAAGAAAGTATTAGGGACCGTGATGCCGCAAGGAAAAGGAACCGACTCACAGTTCTTCGAGTGTCATTGATGTCCCGTGAAGGATTTGGATAATATTACACGTATCGCCTACCCTAACAAGGTACCACTTGTTGCAATATGAAGGTTGTCCGGGCTGGGTCCTTTTCGGCGGCCATATCGTTTCACCGGTGAGACAGTCAGCCTTTCCGACGTGACTGGATTTCTGATTGAATACGTTGATGTGATGGTAGTTTTGCTCGCGGTTATCGTAGTCGAATTTATAGAATTCGTCTCGATAGGCGTGGCAAACACTGGATGGTCGCTCACTCCAACGCAGTATGAATATCCCACCCAGAAACCTTGGGAGCAGTCCTTTGGAACTGATGGATTCCACTCTAGGAACTGATTGTGTGAGATTCCATAGGTACCTTCGACCATGGGACACGTATCTCCCTTCCGGACGGTGTGCCATCTATGACACTTCTGGGCAGTCCTGGATTTTGTAGGGCCAGCAGGCGAAGTCTCCCCGAGTTCAATAGGCTTTGGGGCGAAGGTGGTTTGGCTAACAGGCTGCTCTCCCAGGGCGATACCTACCCATAGGAGGAGGATAAAAACGCAGCAGTTCATTCTAATGGCCAACTATGAACAAGGCTTGCTACCGGAAGGCGACAACTGGTAGGGACACTTTTCACCTTTTTGCCTCGGGGACTTCGTATGCCTCATCATAATTTATTGAAGATGATTCCTAAACACAACTTGAGGTCATCTTCGGGGCGGCTCCTCTACAGCAAACGACCAAACGTGCGATGAATAATTCCACGAGATTTGGCTCGGCCTTCGCGGTTCCACCCCGGTGCAGCCCTCGTCGCGATCGCTACTCGTCTCATGTTCCAACGCGAGGAAATGTAGACCCTGCCGTGATGGGACCTATATTGTTGATGGTACATAATAAAAATTGTCCGTTGGTGTGAGAAAAGAAAGGTGAGGTATACATGAAAATTAGCTTGATCTGGTCAAGAGATACTCGCGTATAGTATCATTGCTACCTAACAGGCATAAGAAAGGGGAGTTTATAACCATTCTGGCGTCTGGATAGCTCTAAGGGGGGAAGAACACATATATCCCCCCCTTTAGCTGCAATTGAATACCTCTGGATCAGTGGAGCGGCGAAAAGTTTTACAACACCCTAGATCCAAACATGAACCCGTGCAAACCCAGCTTTCTCGTCTTTTCCCTCTTATATACTTCAACTCTCTTTGGCTTTGCTTCGCCTAGCCCTGCTGTCGGTAGCGACGACAAATCCCCGAGTGGTATTAAAGAGTATATATGCACGGCTACGAGAAAGTGCAAACTAGGATGCTGTGGCCCTCTGTAAGTGGTAATTCCATCCTTTGAATTCTGAAGATAGGCTCATAGTTGGTTATCGACCACTAATTTCGACCGACTAGAGACCGCAAAGGCAACGGAGTCTGCGGCTTAGGGCCCAAGTTTTGTGGCCCAGGATGCACATCTTCGTGCGACTCGAAAAGCGAGTGTGATCCTGGATGGGGGAAGAAGTGGTCAAGCTCCGAAAAACGTCCCCTAAATGTGTGTTGCAGCAAGTTTGGCTTCTGCGGTAAGCATACTCATGCTATAACTATACCACTCTCGATCTAACAGCGTCTTCATAGGAACTACTCCCGAGTTTTGTGGGGGTGCTGTAGTTACGTCTCCGAATTGTGGGAATAGTAAAACCGCCTATTCAAGAATAATTGGCTACTATGAAGGTTAGAACTTGCAGCGGCCTTGCGGAGGTAAGTTCAGCCATGCTAGTCATGGCCGCCTCTCTTAACGCTATATGAACTGGGTATTGATATGCCATAGTCATGAAGCCAGAGGATATCCCTTTAGGCTACTATACCCATATCAACTTTGCATTTGCGTTAATTGATCCACATACTTTCCGTATTGCTCCAATAGACCCTCAAACTGGCTCACTTTACCAGAGAGTAACGGCACTAAAAGACAGGCAGTCTGATCTGGAGGTTTGGATTGCCATAGGAGGCTGGGCCATGAATGATCCAGGGCCTACCCGAACTACTTTCTCCGATTTGGCGGCATTTAAGTCTAGACAAGATGCATTTTTTGAATCCCTTATTACTTTTATGCTGAACAATGGATTCGATGGAGTTGATATTGATTGGGAATATCCAGTAGCAGACGATCGAGCGGGAAAACCCGAAGACTTCAAAAACTTTGTCACGTTTCTAAGAAGACTCAGGCAGCGGTTAAACCAGACTGGGCGGAAATTCGGTCTCACAATCACTTTGGTCAGTTTATCTCGATTTTAATGGTGTATAATGGCATAACTAACCGTGTCTTTAGCCAGCATCTTATTGGTATCTTCGAGGCTTTGATATCGTGAACCTTGAACCGCACGTGGATTGGTTTAATGTCATGACATACGATATCCGTAGGCCACTCACGTAGCATCCCTTTATACATGTCTATTCTCTACTAACACCATGCTAAACCTTCTAGACCGGACGTGGGACGCTGGGGTCACATCTATAGGATCATATGCATATGCTCACACAAACCTTACAGAAATTAACATGGCCTTACAAATTCTCTGGCGTAATAATATTAATCCAGCTCGGGTGGTAATGGGTCTGGGATTTTACGGTCGAAGCTTCACAATGAAGGACCGGAATTGCTTGGACCCTGGCTGTGAGTTCAAGTCTGGAGCTCGTGGAGGCGAATGCACGGGAACTTCGGGGGTATTATCGGCTGGAGAAATCAAAAAGGTCATCTCTCAAGGCGCCTCTATTAAAATGAACTCTGAGGCAGCAGCAAAAATAATTACCTGGGACAATGATCAGTGGGTCAGCTGGGATGACGAACAAACACTAAAGATCAAGATGGATTATGCAAATCAGCGCTGTCTCGGGGGTATTATGGTCTGGGCCATTGATCTAGACGATGGGACTTTGATAGATGCTTTGGGAGCTGCCATGAACAAGACGAAAATGGAGGTTTTCGAAGGGTCTCAATCATTCATAGGGTCAGACCTAGGGACAATTTGGCCTGGAAAAGAGGAGCTATAAAATATATACTAGGCTCTCTGATTTCGCTATTTGGTTATTAAATTTGATCTCTCAATTGGCACGCTTGCTACAATGTAAGACAACTTCAAAAGCTCCCCAGTCGACTTCGGCATAGAGCAATGCTCCAGCAACCAAAAAACGAGAAGCATCTTTAGTCACACTTTGTATTCTTGGTCGACTCCTCCTTAAATTTAGCGTATGCCGGGTTTGACGGGTTGTTAAGCAGATTTGGTCGCGGAGTATTGGTTGTCACTTCATAAAGAGTTATCAAGGCGTTTATATCCTGTTCACTTGGGGCGAGATTCGGCTTGATTTTCTCTCCGTTGGCTTTTAACAAGACGCTTTTCCGTAGGTCATTTTCTGGACCAGTACCAGCAGGAGAAAAAGCCCCAGAGCCGCTAGGGTATAGCATAATAGAATCCCAGTCAACATCGTCATAAGTTGGTACAGCCGGGACCCTTGGTGTGCGGATGATGGTAGAGCGAATTGGAAGATATTCTGAAGCACTGAATCTATGTTTAATAGCAGTGGCACGGTCCGAACACGCCTTTTGAAGATCTAGATGGCCTAAACGATATGTCATTTTCTTGTAGTCTTTCAGATTTGCGCAGTTGAATTTAAATAGCGGCTCGGAATGTCCGGGAGTTCCCCAGAAGGCAGAGATCTGATGTTCATGCATTAACCCAAAGACATGCCCGATCTCGTGAGCGATGTTGGCACCAATATTTAGCATCCCAACATCCCTTCTCAGGTTCAAAATCATTGTTGGCCCTTTAATTCTGTTCTTTTCGTCTTTTGGTGGTATTCCCGGTGTTGCATATAAAGCCGGTTTCCTAGTGAATTTTATGCTTAGGGTATTGGCTCGATTCTTTTTCATTTCTTTCTTTGAAACTTCAATCATTTTGAAATCCCTGGGAAGCCCTGCAGCGTACCATATCTCCATTGCTGCAACAATCCACGGCCCAAGGGCTTCTTTTGACCTCTTGTCTGCGAAGCCGAAGGTAACTGTTTTATCTGGCCACAGATTAAAGGTGCCCAATGCTGGATTAATAGTTGCCCAGCGTTTAGGAAGAGACTGACTCGCATTATTGGCTCCTATACTATGCCGAGCGTTCTCCCATAAATGGTTCCCGGCATTTGATATTGAGGCGAAAATGTAGCATAGGAGTAGCAAGGTAGCTTTGATAATCATGGCTGGTAACCGCGATGAATGCCCAATGGATAACATGCGTAGGTAGGCAAACAACCTCACTGAGCTTTAAGCACTATTGCATCTTTATAAAATTTGGCACTCCATTTGGATCCGGTCATAAAGCGTAAAGTGCAGTACGGCGTTTGTCGCGACACTACCATTAACTTCGCCTGAAAAAAAGCGTTGTAACTACAGGAGGCCAGTTTCGTTGCTATGGGCGGGCGATGTTGGGTACCAGGTGTCTGGACAGCAAAGCCTCGCTGTACTACATCATAGATGAACAAAGGAGAGCCTCGAATCGGTCGAAAGTCGCCCTCTCTGATATTAGTGATATTGTATATATCAGTTCCGACTGCAAACGCGAATGGATAATCTATATCCACACGCCAAGCTCCAGCTACGGCAGCTATAACAGTGTTTTATAGGTAATGCAGGTATTGCAGCATGGGGTATATATTTAATGGATAAGCTATAATACATTTCGATATTATAGCTGTCTCTTTATCTCTTTCTTTCTTTCTTCCCTTCTTTTTTAGGTGTAGTTGATATCCAACACATGAGGGATATGTTGAGCTGAAATTCATAGGTAATTTTTGGGCCTTTACCATTGTCGGGGAACACAGCGCCAAAGTTATACTTGCTCGTAAGTACCGCAATAGCCGTTTGTCGCCTTCAGGCGGCAAATACTTTATAGTTAAGCTGTATTGCTCCTCAGTATTTATAGTCGTCTCAGGAAGCAGGCCATTTAATTTGGTTTCGGCAACAAATACCAGCACTATGGATAAGGTTGTTTTGGCTATCACAGCATTAACAGGCATTGTCAATGCTTATGCAATAGGAGGCCATAACTATGGCTGGGCAGTCACCGAGCCGGAATCACCCCTGAAAACTCGAGATTTAAAGGATGCCGCAGATTTCGGATGGGTGAAAAGATGGGCTGCTATTGGCGATAGCTTCACCGCAGGAATAGGAGCTGGAAGACCATATTCGCAGAGCAAAAGTGACCGAAGCTGTTCACGATATGATCTCGCATACCCTGCGGTTCTCAACAGGCTCTTCGGATCCGTAGTGCAGGACTTTCAATACATCGCATGTAGTGGCGATCGATCAGTTCATATATACGAGCAAGCAAAGGCGCTAAAGGGGGACTTGAACTTGGTTGTCCTGACGGCTGGAGGGAATGATTTATGTCTGGTAAATTCTGCGGTGACGAAGTCCGTGAATGAAAGATCTCTAGAACTGACATGTAGCTGCAGTCAAAGATCATCACTACCTGCATCTTTCTGCCGTTTTACTCGGAGCAATCGTGCCAGGCAGTTCTGGACAAGGCACAGCTGAACATTGACACAATCCTAAAACCGAATTTGAAAAGTATTCTCAAGGCGCTTAATGATAAAATGCAGAAAGATGGCATCGTGGTTTTCAATAAATATGCCCAGTTTTTCAATATTGAAGACGAAGGATGCACAAAAGAGCAGTCATGGTCTTTTCCACAAGTACCATCAGCATTTTGGTTCCCCGGGATGTTTTTTAACACCTTGCCGCTGACCATCGAGAGACGGAAGAAGTTCAACACTTTAGTACAGCATATCAACAAGGCAACTCAGGAGGTTGTAGAAGAGATATCAGAGGACTCAGAAATTGGTTATTCTATCGCAACGTCAGACTGGGGCCCATGGCCAATAGAGGTTTCAGGACAATTCTGTGAGCCAGGTTCCACAGGCTACTACCCGGACCCAAAAACGACAGAGCTTCACTTTTTCAAACCTGACACGCATAAACGATCATTTTTGGAACTTCTCGTAACCAGGCGCGATGAATCTGACACAAACGAAAAAGAGAAAAGGCAAAAACTCGAAATGGAAAGTATATATAACTCCTTGTTATATAAATCAGCCGATCCACGAAACGAGGTATTGCATAAACTTGGTGCAAGGGCACCCGACCCTCCTGGGTGTCCGGGCGACGGCGGTTTGGACTTGACGTTTGGGTTTGGCTTGCCGGATCGGTGGGGGAAATTTTTCCATCCAAATGAGAAAGGCCATGAGACAATCAGTGCATTCGCACTTGAGACAATGGTATATTTGCGCTCAAGACAGCTTGGGTTGCTGAAGGAATTTTGCTCTACCAAATCTGAGTTCACGTGCTGGCAGGATGAAGGCCGTAAGGGTTATACGAACCCAGACAGAATGAATGAAAATTATAAAACATTCTGCAATGGCATCAAGGCCCCTGACAATACTATCAACTGGAGCAAGTCCCAGACATTTCATGAAGGTACGCCAGACGAACATACATTTGAGCTGAGGTTATCAAATAATGCTCGAGAATACGTCAAAGAAGATTGCCTGGTTTCGTTCAACCGGATTATCAACGGATGTGATGGTAACGACGCCAACAACCCGATGAACTGGAAATTCGGAGGGAAATGGGTAAGGGGAGGATATACGTATGAGATCAACGTCAAGCGTGAAAATAGACCGTGGCCACCGATTAAGAAACCCTACGGAAGCTGTGAGGGTTGGTACAAAGGAGTGTACTCCGACTTCAAGCTTCACGGCGCCGGCTGGTCTACATATGACTCCGGGCGGCAGACCATCCTGCCTAGTGCAAAGGGCTGCCTTGGGCTCGGAGTCACTGCCTTCAAGTTTAAGTACTTTGACCAGCCGGACAAGGATGAAATGAAGTGGGAGCTAACCTTCCACACACCTATATGGGTTCGAGCAAGGTGCTTTAGTAACAACAAGGTAGCGTTTTCTTCTGGCGGCTTCACCGACGGATGTAAGGGCAACGACTAGGTATTCTGCCATTCAAAATGGCGCCTGGTTTCTCCATTATTGCTTTGCTATCTGCGAATGAATAGATCAACTCAACCTATGGCTTCCTTGTAAACCATCCTTTCTTTCGCTTCTTCGCGGATGGGTATTAGCCGTATATTCTCGCTCAATGCTTCAGTAACAATCAGTTCTGGGTCACAACACCTCATCTCGGCCTCGCCGGAGCCCTGTCTCACAGCACTCCCACTCCTCGCTGGATATCTCTTGAATGTTGTTGATGTTGTCTTCCTTCAAATTTTCTTTGATGTTGAAAAAGAGCCTCTGCTTATTATAAATATTACTAATCAAACTCTCTCATGATATCACATAATTTCTTACTAAGCAGGGAAACAACGACAGCGAAACGAAAGATAGAAAGATCGAAATCTCACGAACTTCCATGACTTCATCCTGACCGGCAGCCTGTCCAACCCGCCATCAGCGCTGCCGTAGTGCTTCCGCCGACTGTGCTTTTGGACGGCCTGCGTCTCCGATTTGATATCTGCCTGCTCCCCGGTTTGGCCGTCCCGCGAACAGCGCCTCTCGCCAGACCTCCGTCCCCTCATGTCCGGCATCGCAGCCGAGCATCCAGTTCCTAGACTATCGGGCGCGTTTCCCACTGTTCCATAACATCTGGACGTCGTCAATACCCAGCGGGAGGTAGCTCGCTGCCTGCTGAATCTATGGCTACCGCCGTTTCGACCAAGCCCATGGCACATCCGGGCAAGATGAAGCGGCCCCCTCCCCCAGCCTTCGTACAGTCTGGCGCCAACAGCTCCCGGCCGGCGCAAACGAGTTCCTCGCCTGTTTCCACTTCTACGAACCGGGTGGGAAATATAAAACCATTTGGAGATTTTTCACTATCTGGTGCTGCGGTGAATGGAACCAGTGGCCGGCCGGTGGCGAAGGTAAACGGAGATACATCGCAGAAACCGCAGGACCCTTCGTCACGGCTACAGCGTCCATCAACTAGGCGCTATGCCATGGCTAATGGCGGCGCAGACGGTAAACAGACCAAGAAACTTGTAGAGCCATATGGTGGGGACCCTTGTACCCGTTTGCGCGGCTCTGTTATATCACTGCTAACTTAAAGGCCATCGACTGAGTCTAGTCAAAACTACTACTTACATCTTGAAGAAATTTGCAAAATTTCCGCCTTCTTTGACCATCCATCTTCACCCAACTCATTTTCGGTTTGATAAGCAAGATGGTAGCTTTCCGTATAACTCGGAAATGAAAGTGGTCATTGAACATCTTAAGGATGGCACAGTGCCGCATGATATGATGGAAGAGCTTATTATGGGGAATGTGCGGTTCTATGAAGGTATGCCTTATATGCAGTGCGCATTACAAACTCCATATTGAACTAACGTGATATTTTAGGGTGCTTAATCGTCCGAGTTATTGACCATAGATCCCCTTCCGCTGAACCTGCCCCAGTCACCAAAGCGTCATCCGGGCAGAAACTTATTCCATTCTCCATCCATAACTACAACGAACACATGACACCCTCTTCTTATGTTCCATATCCTAAGCAGAGCCAGACCAGTGCCAACGCCGCCAATAGTCAATCTACCGCAGCTGGCCAGGCTGCACAGCCAGCTACATCTTCCGAATCAACCGAAGTTTCGGAATCCAGCAAGCCTAAAGCGAAGCAACCCTCGTCCGCAGAATTCTCCAATGGAACGACTACAGGGCCCAAGGTTTTCACCACTGTCTTACACCCTACCCCACGCTCTCTACAAGCCGAGCTCACTATCCTATCCATGATTCCTGACCCTCGATCCTCTCAAAGACGCCAATCTCAGGGGCTCAATGGCCCCCGCACTTCAACATCTAGCTCGCTTGCTCCACCCTCCACTCCGCTGTCTGCAGTCGCTCCCTCCTTGGAGCGGGGACATCCAGCAAAGCGCCAGAAGATGCTGGTTGAGCCACATGAACTTCCAGAAGTTGAGTCAAAGCTGATTCTTGCTACTGCGCCTCCGTTATATCTCGAACCGGTTGACAGCCTAGAGGCTAGCCAACGGCTCCTCAAACTCCTAGAATCACCTTTGCATTGTCACAAGCCGCCTTCGCCGAAGACCAGAAGACGCACTGTTGCAGAGCTTGCCGCCGACGAAGCTTTGGCCGCCGCGGAGGAACGCTTCATGCTTATCATGGACGAACGACTCGAACCGGCAATTTCAGGTGGTGCGAATGCTGCTAAATCGGCTGTAGTTGATGGAGATGGAGGTGCTGTTCCATTCGAGCCGAGATTCTCGAGATTCAAAACCCTCGAAAATATCCGCAGCCAGCACGAAGAAAGAGCTAGAAGAGAGCACGAGCGAAAGCTACAGCAGGACCACGCGAAAAGACAACAACAGGAAGCCGAGCGAGAGAAGCGTCGGCAATTTGAACAACGTCAAGCGGAAAGCCAGACTCAGGACGATGCCCGTCGGCAACTCTATGCCCAACAGGCCGCTCAGTCACAGGCTCAAGCTCAGGCTCAGGCTCAGGCGCAGGCGCAGGCACAGGCACAGGCACAGGCACAGGCTCAGGCTCAGGCTCAGGCTCAAGCTCAGGCTCAGGCTCAGGCTCAGGCTCAGGCGCAAGCCCATGCCCATGCCCAAGCCCAAGCTCAGGCGCAGGCTCAGGCACAAGCCCAGTCTCAACTCCTCGCCTCTCATAACATGCGGCCAACGTCCCAGGGGAATTCAGGCATCCCAGTCACACTTCAGCAGCAACATATCATATCTGCTTCGCAAGCTCCCCATTCTTCACCCATTGTTCGAAACCTCACTCCTCATGCTCCTTCGCCTCATGTTATGAACCAAGGTGTGCCCATGGCGATGACCAGCTCTGCGCAAGGCGCAGGAAGCCCCATGGCAGCCTCCTCGAGCATGCAACATGGCCACCCAGCCCCTATGGGTCACCCAATGGCTGCCACTCGTAGCCAACAGAGCCACAGCGCCCACGGCACACCCCAGATGACACACGGAACCCCTGTAATGCATGGAACTCCGGTAATGCGAAATATCACCCCAACTCAGCGAATGGCTCACCCTAGCCCCGACGTTTCCACGATAGCCCAAACGCCGGTCATGACGCAGGCAATGGTCAACCCGCCTATGAACGGAACGATGATGACACCCCAAATGATACAGCAACGACAGAATGCACTTGCAGCGCAGCGCAATCTCAATAACCAACAGCTTGCACAGCAACATATGTCTCAATTCCAGGCGAACACCCTCGCACAGCAAGGAATGCATCAACAGATGATGGCAGGACAGCAGCAGCAGCCAGGCCATCCAGGTGCCCAGATGCAAAATTCTTACCAATCCAGCCTCATTCAAGCGCAGCTAGCTCAGATGCAGGCCGCCCAACAAGGGCAGCAAAGACCATTGCCTCAAATGACTCAGCAACAAATCATGGCTGCTGCCGCTGCCGCTGCAAACGGTCAGAACCGCCAAAAGATGGCGGTCAGCCTCCAGTACAAGCAGTTGTATGAGTATCATCTTGCGCGTTTGCAGGCTGAGATGGCCCAGAGGGTCATGCCTCAGTACGGCCCACCTTCAAATTACCCGCCTAATATCAAGCTACAATACGTTAATGGGCTGGGCAAGATTGCTCAAAACCATGTTAATGATATCATGCGAAGGGAAGCCGAGTCCGGAAAAAATCGCGCTGCCACACAAATGGCTATAGCCAGAGCGCATGCTTTCCAACAGCAGCAACAGCAGCAGCAACAACAACAACAACAACAACAACAACAACAACAACAACATCAGCAGCAGCAGCAGCAGCGAAACAATATGTCATAAATAGTGATAACATGTACTCTACGTTGTTTATACGGTTTCTCTTATTTTCACCCGAGGCTGGCGTTATTTTGCAACTTCCCGGTGTTTTCCTCCGGGTATCCATGAGGATTGTTTTCCACCTTTGATACCTCTTCCCCCGTGACGTTTACTTTATGATATCCTCTTCTTTCTATCTCTTTTTTTCTTGTTCCCTTTTTGTTGCAAAGGTTTTGGATTGTTGAAGAAACACCACCCCCTTCCCCCTTTTTTGCATCTCCCTGGAGTAACTTGCTTTCGTTCGAAGCTGGCCACCCTGCTGTTCCAAGTTTGCTTTTCTTCTTTAAGGCCCTTTTTTTTTTCTCACACTTTCCAGCCCATCCCGCACTAGTTCAGTCCTTGATGATTCTGCATGCTACGGTTTCTTTAGGGTTTCTTACTGGCAGGGGTAATAGGTGGCTTTGTTTTATGTTCATGTTGATTAGGCCCTGGGGATCTTTTACATAGGTATATTTTTAATCGTGCTCATACTTTAACTGGCAGCGAACATCTACTCCCAATGACCGCTTTTGTGCCACAATTTGTTAAGTAGTACGGATGAGGACGATCTTGGGTTATGTCTTTAGGTGTATGGTAATAATCTTAAGCATCGTTATGAATGAGTATCCGTAACTACAGTAATAGTATCTAATCCAGCAGTCGAGTGATGTTTACACCATCCCAAAGCGGACAAAGCCAGTTTTCCAGGCGGTCTGACTTCGTGATGGTGTCATTATATGCCCGCAAGGAAATGATATCCTCCGATTTCCAGTATTCGCGACGGTGTTCGCCCCAGTCAAACTGACGCCAGGGGTTACCTTCACTGTCATCAGCCACAAAGCTGCATCTGAGGGTATTGTCACCGATAATCAATCCACCGGGGCGGAGTAGACGGCTCTGGGAGCCAGGTTGGGACGCCTTCAGAATAGTGTCGAGGTACGCTGGGTATCCACGTTTCTGGGCATCAATGAAGATCATATCGTATGGTTCAGTAGGTGTGAGAGCTGGGAGGCTATATTTTAAATTAGAACACTGCTGCAGAATTCGACATGTAGTCAATTAGGCATATCAACTTACGTCTCAAGCGCATCACCCACGACCAGCTCTACGTTTTTCACGCCATACTTCTCAAAGGCCTCCTCGGCCAATTTGGCGAATTTAGAGTCGAATTCTAGCCCTGTTATCTTCCCCTCGGGACCAACGGCGTTACTCCATACAAGACTGGAGAGACCAACATAGACACCGATTTCAAGGACTTGATTGAGAATAACCCGTCAACATCACTGTAACTACTGAAATTCCACGAACTTCAGAAACATGGGGAACGCTCACTTCTCTTTGCCCCTACAGTCTTTGCAAGGAAGGACATGGCCTGCGCCTGGGAGATGGAAATCATGTAGTTTGCCGTGTCCGGCATGGACACCCGGATATGTTCATGGTAGTCGATGATATGCTTTGGAATGCCCGTCGAGTGTTCTTTGGCATAAATGCCAACACGCTCTCCAACCTGCTGGTTTGGGTAGAGAATTGGTGAGTCCTCCTTCATGGCTGCTGTTCAATTTGATCCCTCGTATACAGATGACAGATCTCGAGAGGTTGTCAGAGTATGGATCTACCTAGTGACGTGTTTTCTGGGTATTTAATGAAACTCGCCACCACCCTGTCCTTCGCTCTTTAGCTCAAGATTAATTCTTTCAGTTTACCCTTTGTGGGGCCAACTTGACTGCGCGACTGGCGATATAGATCGCCCGCCATGTTAATAATAGTCATAAAGGATGGAGTTTGTCACGGCATCTCCCGTAGCGAGTGACCACGGGCCCCTCGTTGATGCCCCGTGTATGGAAAATGGCATTCTACTCCGTACCATTGCTCGGTGTAGCATGCTGGCCAGGAGGTCTATATCCAGGACATCCCCACAGCGTAGGAACCGGGCAGTCGATATTTAAGTGCTAGCAAGGTGGTTACTTGCCATATAACTGATCGAGTCACCCTGTGCTTCTCGTAGTTCATAGTTCCTCTTCTCCGTCGGCAACCACAGGAGAAATGATAGACGAGCGTCTGCTGTGTTGACAGCCAGCTTGATAGGCCTCCCTCTCGGTAAGTTTCTCCGAAAGCGGAACCGGACGCTGGACCCCGGCTAAGGGTCGGTTCATCCCATCTGGACTCCGACATCGAGCTGGGTTGGACTCACGGGTGCGCTCGCGCCAACAAACGAGGTACGCCGGCGGCTAGTTGTTGACTCAGGGGGCGCAGCAACTCATTCGAGGGCGCGTAGGGGTGAGACAGATGTATATAAATAGCTCTCTTGATCTCCAGGCATAGAGGAAAAGAGAGAGAGAGAGACTCCATCATAAGTCTCGTCATCGAATCAGTCCGGCCAATATTGATAAACCCGCATCCCGCCTCCTGGCTGAACCCACCGCCACAGCGATCCGTCCGTCAAGAATCAGATCTTTTAACTATCCGTCCGCCATGAAGACTGCCAGGCTCGAGCTGGTGCGCATCACCAGCGAGCACCTCGAGGGCTTCCACGCGATCTGGTCGAACCCGTATACCGCCCGCTGGAGCAGCCGAGGAGCGTGCAAGACGCTGGACGATAGCCGCGAATGGATGTCCGGACTGCTGCTGGAGAACAACCCGCTGGGCGAGAACTACGCCGTCCTCATCCGCTCTGACCTGCCTGCCTCCGAGCTCGAGGAGATCCAACGCGATGCGCCGGCCGATTCGCCCCTGCGGCCGGGTGGCATGATCGGGAGCATGGGCACCTTTCGATCAGACCCGGTGCCAGAGCTGGGCTACACCTTTCACCAGTCGGCCTGGGGACGCGGCTTTGCGACAGAGGCCGTCACAGCGTTTGTGCAGCTCTTCTGGGCCAACAAGCCGCAGTTCGATGCGGTGGAGTCTTTCTGTGATCCAGAGAACAAGGGTTCGGTCAAGGTGTTACTCAAGTCGGGCTTCGTGGAAGTCGAGCGACAGCTGGGCGTGTATGAGGTACCGACGATGACGCCCCCGAAGCGCGACCTGATACGATTTCGAGTGACGCGAGAGAAACCGAATTGAGCTGCGATACGTCGCGATACGCCGTGATACGGAGTAACTTGGTTGTGGTCTTTGGCTGGTGGTGATAGATGTTTGGCTGGTGGTTATGAGTTGATGCTGCATATACATGTTCAAGTTCACGTTCGTGTTGATACATTCATACCCTTCATATAGTGATCATATAGATACAGACTGGCGTCAGTAGCCAGCATTCTTCAGTCTCGCATTCCGCCGTCCTTCCTCCCGCTTTGCGTCCACCCGGCCCAGGAAGTCCATGCGGTCCATGTAACCCTCCTTCGCTTTGCTGTGCACGTCCAGGTCGTCCTTGATGCCCTCCCGGTCGACGTACGCGGCCCAGTCAAGCTTCGATTTCATCACAGTGTTCAGCTTGGGGCCCTTGGCCGTGTTCTCCGCCTCGCCAGGTGCCTCGACGGCTGCGTGTTTCTCCCAGCTCTTCTTGATGGCGTCCGGCGGGTTAGGGTCGAAGCGTGAGAATCGTCGGAGTGGTCGTCGAAGCGGCCTTTTTGTCTCGCCAGCCGAATCTGCCTTTGAGTCTATATCTGTTTCTGTATCCGCTTCTCCTTCTGTTCCCTTGGCCTTCTTCTTCTTAGCTGCATTCAACGTGGAGAGGTAGAGCTTCGCCTCAGCAGAGTCCTTGGAGACAACTTTCTCCTCGGTTATCATTTCTCCAGCAAACTTGTATGTTCGTCGTATAGTTATCATCTCCTCCTGCGGGAGCTTAGAGGATGCAGTCTGCGCCTTTGTCGCGCCTGTATCTGCATCTGAGGATTTCGTCTCATCCGCCGCTGTTTGCGCCTGAGGCTGGTTCATCTGCTGCCATATTGAATCCACGTCAATGGTAGCACCGTCAGTCTTTGCCAGAGCTTTCTTCTCTTCTTGTCTATAGAATAGTAAAGGGCGCTGCAGTTAGTTATTCGCTCTCATGAATTGAACGCAGGGTACATACACTTGCATCCGCATCCTCCGAGTCCGAACGAATCCTCCCTCGCCCCCCTCGTCATCGTCATCGATGTCAATGTCATCGCTATCACTGCCTGCTGTACCGTTCGCAGCACCACTGCCACCAGCTTTCTGCCTCCGCCTATTCTCCTTCTTCTCCTTCGCATGTCGTATCATAGCTTCGTCTCCAGACTCCAGCTCTGGTTCCGCAAACTCCTCATCACTGCCTGCATCCGGTCCGGTAAGTTCGAGAGATAGTCGCCTCTTCTTCCTTGGTCTCTCTCCGTCCACATCTTCCCGTTCCCCTTCATCTTCCGATGCGCTCTCTACCGCGTCCTGAGCTGCCGCTTGCTCATCAAAGTCCGAGTCTTCCTCCGAGTTATAAGCCTGGGGGTCTTCATGGGGTATTGCATCGGTCCCGACAGTTGCGGCCTCTCCATCCGCACTAATCCTGCTTCCACGCGCCATCTTTGCTTGCTCGTTCTTCTTTGCTGCTTTCTTGACCTTCTTTTCTTCCCTGGATCAATTTGATAAAGATAAGAGATTAGTCAGGGCTTAGTAAACTTTTGTATCATAATTTATCCGTTTCCTTGATTAGATGAGTAAGCCGTTAGTCATCGCTTAGTTATCACTCTCATCTAAAAAGGGGAAAACAGAAGTTGAAGAATGGATGATTACACACCCTCAGTTACTGGATAGAAGATTGAGATATATGGAGCCCAGGAGGAGTAGGTGTGATAATAAAGACTATAGGCCTCAGTGATGACACTATCTACACGGAGTTGTGGCGTTTCTCTACTTGTGATTCTCCAGAGGCAGCGAAGCTCCTCTTCTTATTCATCTCAACCTCCAACCACCATCCACAGCCCGCTGAAAGACAAGATAGGAACTGAACCGCAATCATGACACACATGATGGCAAAGGATGCGCGAGTTTCTCTGCAAAGACGATTGAAGTTGGACACTGGCGGTATCTGGATCCCCTCGGAGTCGACGCCCCCGCCGTAGCTCCAGGTGCACGTCCACGAATTGATAGTCTGGCCCAGTTGTGCGCCTCCGTCAGTGTAGTGAGGATTGTACGCGATCACTGAAGTAGCAACCGCCGCTACCGAGGCGATGAAGCCAGAGAATGCAATGATGGTGATGAAAGCGTTTAGCAACAGCACTCGTGACCGTGGCTGTCGTCTATCAGTCTATACGGCCGCAGAGAGACCTGCAGATCGGAGAGAGACTTACAGAAGGCAGAACAGCAACGATAGTATAGGCCAGGTTGAAGACGAGCAGAATAGTCCCGCAGACGATTATGGCGATGCTTGGACCCAGGTTCAACCCCTTTGGCCAAAGAGGAAGCCAGAACTTGTCGTACTTGACTGTGCTCTTGTAATAATTGAGAGCGTGGCCTTCACAGCCAACAGCAGCAGCCGCAAGGACAAGCGAGAGGGAGGACAGGGCGATGCGAACCCAGTGAATCACCCGGCTCCTGGAAAGGTATGTAGATTCATCGTGGTCCGACGCAGCAGATGGGGCATTAGAGCCGGTGATGGAAGATGCAGGCGACATTTTATAGGGATTCGACGTATTTTTGGGCTGGAATATACAACTGTGTATATATAATATTATAAACAATTACTCAAAAACGGTGAACCAGCACCGGACCTGAAGAACGGAAGATAAAAAGAGTGAAAGGAAGACGAAGAAGGTATGCAAAAGAAAATTGGCCTGCAATGATAAGGGAGAAAAGAGAAGAAAAGTCCAAAAGGGAAGAGGAAAAAATCCGCATTTTATCAGTCCTTCATGGTCTGCCCGGCATCGACATGGTTCGTTTGAGTTACCAAGGGTTCCTCGCACGAACGCAAAGATCCAAAAATAGCATCTCTGTTCGAGGAGGGGAGTTGGTGCTACATGAAATGATATTCATGCAGCCAGGCCACATTACGGCCAGCGCCAGTTCCACCGCGAAGTTGCGCAAAGGAATTCATTCGCTGAGCGAGACTCGTCCATAAAAAGCATGCCGACGACAAACCAATCGTGTCTTGTAGGGCCATTCTTCAATGCAGGTTGAGATCTTGCCTAAGCGCCGGGGACCCGCACACGTTTTCTGCAGAAATGACTGGCTGACGGGCTAGACGCTGCTGATTGCAGGGGTCGTTAAAGAGGAACAAAAAAGTAAAGCTAGCAAGTATGTGATATCTCTTTCTCTATGCGCCTGCTACAATGCTGTTATGTCGGAAGGTTGGTAAATACATACATACATAGGTTAAACAAGTGCTTGTATTGAGCATATATATGACTAGCCAGTACGCATAGGCATAGGCGTGGAGAGATATTTGTATAGGGAGAGTACGGAGTATATAGCCCGTGCAGAGTAATGTAATTATGAAGAGGAAACAGAGCGCACAAGCGCCCTTGCCTGCTCGCACGCCATACCGCTGAAGATAACGCGCTGCTCAATGGCAAGGATCTCAAGGATCCCCCGTCTCGAGACTATGCTCTTGTTTGGGGCTTTGTTCTGCCTGATCAACAGTTCCTTATGAGTGACAAACCTGTCTCGATCCTCAAGCAAAACGGCCAGCTCCTTAGTCTCTTGGGGAGACAGGTAATCGTCTGTCTTGTTCAAGTATGTGATAACAGCAGCCCCACAGTGTTTTTCGGTGAGGTTTGAGGTTTGAAGGGCGTTGATGAATGGCTGTCTTTCTTCCCAGCCAGAGGGCTCACTAAGCGCATAATTAGGATTGGTGCTATCAGCCAGTTAGCTAAAGGTGTTAGATCAACTTACTTGACCACAGGAGTAGGCCAGAAGAGGTATGTAATGTACTTTGTGATTATCTTTGTCAGAGCCAAGCAAGCATGAGATGATTTTGTTTCACCTCCCACTGCCATGGCTGCTGTGTATGCTCGAAAGCAGTGGTAAGTGCACCAGTGCAAGTGAGCTGCAAGTAACCGACGAGCATAACGGCGCCAGGGGGTTGAGAAGGCGTTTTATACACTCTGGGGCCAGACTTTGTCAGGTCTATGACGATATTGTCAGTTAGTGTTGACTAATTCAGAAAAGGTTGAATTTGAAGGGCCATCGCATTTACCATGGCTCCCAGATCCATGAGCGGATGATCACTTTGAGAAAGTCGTTGCAATACCCTCGAGGGCCTGCACCTCTTCCGGGTTTAGTCTCTTCCCTCGAATAACGCTGTGGCCTTGTTCAGATTCACTGCTTCCGCTCGTTCGTTCCAGATGCAGCTTAGCCCTGCTATTGATGTACTCTCTTCTCTCGCCCTTCTTTTGATCCAAATCCATCTCACTAACGGATTTAGGAAGGGTCTGTAATTTCGTGCGTAGTTGCGCCAACACAGCTCGCAGGGCGGGTAGTTGAGAAAGGATGAAAGTGGTATTGGTCGTAAGAGGGGTATGAGACGGGCCAGCACCCCCGTCTCCTATCCGCAATTTCTTTGCACGAGGGTCGAATAGCAGGAAAGACAGGTTGGGAAGCTGCATATCGACACCACTGTTTACATCCGCAGAAGCAGAAGCTGTGCCATGGCTCTGCTGCATGGTTGAAACCATAGACCTTAGTTGAGATAAAACCGCGTCATTCTTCGAACATTCCTCCGCCAGCATACGATTAAGCTTCTTCGTCTCGCGTAACTTTTGCCTCTGTAACGTTAAAGACTCTTCGGTTGGAGAGCCTTCACGAGCTGGTTCAAGCGACAACCCCTATGTATAAAAGTTAGTCGTCCGGTGGTTAGAACAGGTAAGAGTGAACAAGATCCAACCTCATGATGGCTCAGCCGGATCCATCCAGTCAAATCTTCAGGCACCGTCAGGACATTCCTCAGTACGTAAATCTCAAATTTATCAAAGGCCTTATCGACAGTAGCCTCCAGTAGAGTCTCGAGCTGGTGTAAGCCATTCTCTATCTCCAACCTGGCCTCAGGGTACTGTATGTTGCCATCGTCATCTGTGTCGGGGATGGTTCCTGGTCCATGTCTGAAGCCTAGTCGCTCTGGAGGCGTCGACTGAAGCCCGTCTTCAAGGCTTGATATTGCCTGGTAGATGAGGTTGTTAACTGAGTTAATAACGTCGTCAATGAGGGACTGTGTGCGAAGAGTTAGCGTGAGTGAATAGCATGTCGGGCGAGTTTACACGTACCAGCGGCGTGTAGCTGAAGTGCTCCGTGAGCAAGGCCGTCGAGGCGTCGTTCATTGCAACAGATTTACGAGCGCATCCAGCTCGTAGCTTGTCACGTCTGTTTCGTGCTGTTATCGCAGAAGTCTGTCAACACGCAGAGAAGTGGGGCATCGCGGTTGCGCGGCTAACTATTGTCGCGTCTGCGCTCTAGCTACCACTGCGCTCGGGGTTTGTTTACCAACTTCCTAGAACAATTACCTAGGTAACGGGAGATAAGGATTTTGCCAAAATTACTTGCTAGTACTAGGTCTGTATCAGCGTGGGAGGAAGGAGACATTAACCACCTTGGGGCAGTGGTTTCATCAAATCTGTGAACCAGCCAAGATTGTGGTTACTCGACGGACTTGATTGTATACAACCACTCTCCTGCAAGACTCCTCCATAAAAGCAAAGACAAACACAACCAGGTCTAAGAGAATTGCCAAGAGTAAATTGAATCATTATCCTATAATATTTTTCTATGTGATAGTCCACTCCTATAATGGATTAGGGGTCACCCTGGCAATCTTGCATTTCCAGAAAACCTCAGAGCAGATATTCCCAGGCGGTACTCGAGCCGAGCATATCCATCAAGAATCACAGAGCTAGTGCTACTTAGTGGAAGCTTTTATTTGGTACTGTTTAGGTCTATATTTATTGATATTTAACGCCTAGTTAAACTGGGCACAGGATGAAAATGTGGAGGCTAAATGCAACTACAACCTTTATAGAGTACAGTCAAGAGACTCTATCGCTAAAGATTCTTCGCTGGCCTGCGTATAATGATAACCTTTATTAAAGTGGAGGACATCTTTCATTTTGCTTTGTTCTCATGCCTGGCTAGAAATAACCCTATAAACGCGGCGCTTAAAAGCAGCCAGCTGACAGATGAAATAACCCTCACCATCCCTGGTAAACCCTGTAATCAGCCGGACGCCTATATACCCGTATTAAAACATAATTAAGTGGCTCAATAACCGGCTAAAGTGCCTGCACTATCGTATATTCCCTTCTTTATTGGACGATGAATTGTTTCTCCTTCTTGATCTGTTCAATGACCTCAATTGGAACATTGATAGCAGCGGCAGCAATATCATGTGGAGTGAGTGCGAGCCATTGGGAGAGGGAGATATCAGCAACACGGTCAGCCTTGTAGAGTTCAAGATAGACGAGGTCTTCATCCTCGGAGGTATTCTCGATATAGTGGCCGGAGTTATCGGGGAAAACACCAGTATCTCCTGCGGTAAAATCGAACGTACGGGATAGACCGCCGCTAACATACACAGTGGCGCGAGCATTTCCACTGTGGAAGTAGAGCCATTCCTCAGCCTAAAAGATATAGGGTTAGATCTGATTAACCAAGAGAGACAGGTTAGGTGCATACCGTTGGATGCCAATGAAGCTCACGTAGGGCACCAGGCTTTAGGCGAACAACAGCACAGGCAACAGTCTTGGAGATAGGAAAGTTCTTCGAATCAACGATTTGAATAGTACCACCACCACCAGGGACCTGAATTTCCGGAGCATCGCGGATATGGAAGGTGTAAGAGCTCTTGCCCATCAGAGGGCCGTTAGGGCCGCCAGTAACGTTGGGGTTACTTATGGTAGAGTTAATAATCTCAAGTTCAGTTTTACGAAGCTTCTCAAAGGCGCCAACTGAGGTATTGAAATTCTTAGCCACCACGTCCCTAGGGGTGTGGGACATCCAGTCGGCAATCTGGAAAGTAGTTCTATAAAGGTGTTAAATGGCTTCAAAGACGATAGGTTTGAATAGTAAGAGAACACATACCCGTGCTTGTCGAAGTCACCGTCATCGAAGGCGACGAGCACCTCGTTCTCATCCTCAAGACCTATTAAAATGGTAACTATAAGCCAATGGTCAGGAATATGGGGATCGATCAGACTAACCTTGGAAAGAGTGGGCAGCTCCCTTGGGGAAGTAGTACATATCACCAGGGGTGAGTTTGTCAATTTGATACTGGCCATCCTCAGAGACAGCAGATACCAGAATAGCGCCAGCATAGACGTAACCCCATTCAGCCTATAGTCAAATTGAGATCTTAGTAAGTATTCCACAGTATATCAATCAAGACATCTTATGAACGTACAACTCGGTGCCAATGCATCTGTCGGATTCCGCCTTTAATTAAGTGGACTTGGGCACCTGCAATATCGTGACTCGCAGGCAGGTCCTGGATAACCTGCTCGCGAATCCAGCCGCCATGGAACATACGGGTCTTCGAGAGAGAGAAGCTCCATTTGAGGTTTGGAACAAGACCATTGTCGGTGGCGGGCTGGCCGTTAATATTGCTTGGGTTCTGGAGATCTAGCTCGGGGTTGGTACCGCCTGATAACTTCATATTAGCGACAAGGCCGTCATATCTAGTATGGGATGAAAATGGAATGTACATACCAGAGAAAACACCTCCTTTTCCGCTCTCTTGGATGGGCTGGCCAGGCACTCCGCCATAATCTTTTGCGGCAGTTCCTGCTACAGCAGCGATCGCGGCCACGAGTGTTGAGCCGAACTTCATTTTGATGCTGTGTAAATCTCCCGGCTTTCCTTCTATCCAATGCTCCTTTTTTACCCTTTTTGCCTGTCTTTTTGTATAGTGGAGGAAAATTGGATACTACTTATCCAAAAAAGAATGAGCTTGAGGGTGTTCCACAAGGCAGTTTGTTGAAGGGCAGGAGTGCTCGTATATCTAGGATCCAATGAGAGACAGATGTGTATATATATACTCCGTACAGATCTATGATACAAGGAGATTGTCAAACCATTACATGGCGTATCCCTGCAACGCCCGTGTTTACAAGGCCGTTTAAACCCTGTTTATATCGCTGCTTTACTTACTATACGACCTTTACTGATATACATTGGTAGGCAAACCTTGAAGTTCTTTTAAACCAGCATCAATTCCTTATAAAAAAAAGGAATAGCTTGAAGATCCTGGCTGATGCTTCTGTAGCACATTTTTGCAATCATTTCCTCTTATAGATGGTATGTTCTCCGTATATACTTGCTTGTATATATATTTAGCCACTGTACCCACTTGTTTCCATACCAATAGCATTCTTGCTCTCTTGGTAGCCATCTTCAGACGCTGATTTTGCACTGATGTTTCCGGAGCAGCCGAGGGAGACCGAGAACCAAGAATAACCAAGAAGAACTACGGAGCAGTATCTGTCTCATTAGGGCAGCCCAAAGGAAGAGTTTCTGGAACATACATTGACTACCCACCGGGTGCGAGATTCGGCCAATATGAAGTGGAGCCTTGTGTTTCAATTGCATTCCTTCAGGTTCAGTTCCACAAATGGTGCCTGGAGAGGTTTCTTCAGCTGATCCACCCACGTGGCGACTGCCATGGCGCAAGGCGTTGGAGGATGGAATTGTGTAACCCTGATGATATTGTATGCTATGGCTGTATGGCAGCAGAGGGTCGATGTAGCTTTGGCTAAAGTGCGCCTTATCTCTTGGGCGTATGGGGCTTCTGTCGTGATAGAATATATATAGAACAAGCCTAGAAACCATCGTACCACATCCTGCCAAGACCACCAAACTTAATGCACGGAGGAGTTCTTCGACCTTTGCTACCCTTTTTCTTAAAATAAAAAATAAAAAAAGGAGTAGCTTTCTAATTAAAACGCTATGGAGAGGATAGGGAAGATCGTATAGTGAAGCACGAGAGAAAAGTAAGGATAAGCGGTGCCGATGTGTTAACAATAACATCGAGATAAAAGTAGCTTTAAAGTTAACATCTTACTTGGGTAACTATAACCTGGATATTTGTACATGGTTATAGCGCCAAGCAAGTGGCACGGTGACGTCTGCAAGCAGCTGTACATCTCTCGCCTCTGCCGTACCTATCATCCTACTTGGAGTAATTTGACACGACACCAGCACCAACACCAGCATATGGCGCGATCGGAATGGCCCCATCGGACAGCTATAATATGTATTTCCTTATGCATTCGGGAGTGCCTTTTAGCTCCCGCGTACCATCCTACGCCACAGGATCAAGGGTTTGACAAGTGCTATTCGGGTCAGCCATGTACCGAAAGTGCTGGATGCAGTCAAGTATATAAAGCTCGTCGGATTGTTATTTTCTGCTTTGCTGGATCAGCGTGGTGCCACCGTCATAGCCTGCGGCTGGGTCATTTACACGCGGCGAACCAGCGATGATACCGGAGATGGGAGGCTTGGAGGAAGTAACCGGGGGGAAAAGGGGCTCCGAGAGCGCCCTGCCATGGATGGAGAACAGGGGGTGAACACTGATACATACATGCATACATATATATATATATATATATGTACTTAGCTAGTGAGGTATCAGGATCCCAGTCCGTCCACGGTCTGCTGTGCGCTTGCAAGGGGCAATTCATCCGCAATGTTGGCGTGCTGCCAGACACGAGCAAGCCCGTATTGTTGGTTCCCTTTGGCATCGTAATCGTTTCTGATGCTCTTATTTTCCTTCCTCTAACCGAAGCCGAAGCCCGATCAACTAGTCACGTGATCCCCGATCCCCGGCCTGGCAACTGCCTTGGTATCTAGCCGAAAACGGCAAGAAACAACAGCTTCATCTTCATCTTGTTACAGAGTTCTTCTCCATACTCCATATACTCCATACTCCTTGCTCCTTGCTCCATGCTCCGAATGATATCAAGAGACAACCCACCAGCCCTTGGATTGATCCTCGCGCCACCGATGCTATTAAAAGAAAACGGGAAGTTAACCGCGACACAACACTCACACTGTTTGTTTATAAGAAGGGGCTAACTCCCCAGTGCTAGTAATATAAGCGATAGTTACAGTAGCCAGTTCCGTTACGAAGACACGACTCATCACTGTTGAAAACTGCGACGATTTCATGACGCTGCACCAGTTGAAATGACTGACTGTTGACGTAGCAGCCTCTGCTAATGATTGCTTCACTGAATACGATTCCCGATGTCAACCAGATTGCGAGATTATCGCCAACTTTCTATCCTTACCATCGAACATCGTATGATTTTCAAACATATAAACGAGGAGTACAGAGCATGTATGTATATATAGAGTTGACGTATATCACCGTTGTGAGCCAGGGTAGCCGTCAGGGGTAGAGGCATGTTTGCTGGGTGGTAGAACAAGGACGGAACCCTCAGGGTGCCCCCCGAGGACCGAGGGCCTGTCGATCCATCCTCCGATCTCACGAGTCAGAGCTCTGGGCTTACTGAGTCAAGACATACCAATTTCCTCGCCGAGAAACTGTATCAAATTTCAAGTCCCGTAGGCAGCCGGTCGGTGGGAAGATCATGATAACGGGAAGTGGATGTTTGATTGACACAGCTATTAACCAAATGATACCCTCTTACCGGAATCCAAAACTGCCGAAGGTAGATCCACTTTCCGCGAATCCTTGATCGGGGGAGCTTCGGCTTTGCCTAGTAGATTGCTTTGACTTTACGAGCAGGTCGAATAGCCCCATCCAAACCCCGACAGGCTACGGGGTATATCAGTACTTAGTGCGTTCCATATGTATGCGGACAGGCATATACCCAGTCTGACCCGCTGAATGGGTTCAACCGAAGGTGCCAGAGCTTCCCGAGTCACGTGAAGGGCCCCTGGGCAAGCATGCCGAGCGACATATTGAGGTCACAGACTGGTCCTAGATATAGGGGTATATTGATACTCTACTCCGCGGAGTTCCCTCAGCAAGGAGAAGATTGGCCAAGCTCAATGCCGCGTGTTGGCTGTGGTGAGACGTGAGACCGACTGCAATATACCACCAGGCCGTGGTAGCTAAACCCATGGCAGGATACCCCCCGCGAGTGAAGCAGTTTATACTACAGAGGCCACCCGGACTCAGAGCATACCGCCAGATAATTGTACTATATCGCAACAACTACTGGAACGGCCAATGCCATGTGACTCAGGCCAAGGGAAGATATCAACGCATAAAAGGCGGAGATTGGCGTATCAACTGAACAGATAACGCCAAACATCAATCAGCATTGGCAGGCCAAGTACCAGAATACGATGGTGATACTGCATTTGTATCACTACAGACTTATACGCTTATGCGCTTATGCGTCCTTGTGTGTTGGTTCATTAACCATCTAATCTACATACTGCCCAACCCATCGCATCCCTACATATTTGATACCCACTCGTTTCCTGTCCTACACCCCGGCATAGCCATTAACTCGCAGATATCATGCAATGTCCCGTACGATGACTTGGATCCTGAGGGGCCACATTGAGCGAATGCCTAGAAATGGTTCTCAGCTTAATGGCTAGCGTCATAGTTACCATTGCCAGATGGCCCAATGCAAATATCCCAACCGGAAAGGCCCGGGAGAGAATCAATATAGAGCAAAGATAATTGCGGGCATTGAACGCCGTATAGGTTACTTCTACCTTGAACCTTTGTTACATGAATTAATTGGCTGATATAACAGAGCCATTGAAAATATTCAGAACAGAAGAAGATTACGAAAATAAAGAGACAGCTTTGTTTGTTTACAAGCTGCTCACGACGCTCCTGCCATTGAAATATATGATATTCTCTAGGAAGGAAGCCTCCGGTAAGATACTAAGATTGCCGTTGCATTGGTCCTGGGTCGCGCCTTATAATCCATCCAGTATCGCCTTCCCTTTTTGACGTAAGCAAGCTCGTTTCTGATATCTTCGGTCTCAACTTTATAGGAAGACCTTAGTGTTTAGATCTATACGTAGTTAATTTAATAACATCATTATACACCATTAGCCATGTGATATTACGTGATCTCTATCGGCGTCTTTATTCTATTTGGCGTGCTCCAATTAGACGATAATGTCGGTTAGGTAGCGACCTGCAGTATTAACGATGGCACTGACTTCCTCTATTTGTGTTGATACCTGGCTGTCAACACTTGAATGATTAAATCTCTCTACTTTGAATTACGACTGACCGGAAAGCTCTGCCAGAGACTACACTAAATAGCTAGCTTTACATCATATTCATGTTGCCAAACCGAATGGTATAGAGTGGGTATGTGGACCAAAAATGGCTAAATTGTTTGTAACTTGACTGTTTTATAAGCTGCCTGTGCTGGCGGTACACCATTGTAACCGTGACCCTTGCTAAGGTAACTGGGCTGGCGTACTCTAATAATTTGTTGTCCAGTTAGGAGGAGCATTAGCTGGCTCATTAACTCGCAAGATTCCAACGAGACATAGTTGTGCTCCCTAGGTATGCAACAAGGTATTGACTGGATATCGACTTTGCAAGCCTCCTCGAAATCGGTGACCTTGTTGTCATCTGCATCAATGATGCAGAAAAATTTCTCCTCGCGAGTTTTATCCGGATGGCAGAACGATCCTTTAGCCTTCTGACAAGCAGACTTCGTATCCTCTTCACTCGGTTTCACTTTGCAGGCGCTGTGAACGGAGTAAGCATACTATCGTTGCTCTTGTTGCACTGGCTCAACGCAAGCTAGTGCGCTCGCGGTAAAGATGCTAAGCGCTAACAGGTAGGCGGTATCGGTGGGTTTCATTTTATGGCCACAAGTGAAGTATGACGGCGCTGTGAGGATGAAACGCGGCCATAGCACATATAAGCAGCTATTGAGGCGAGAATACTCAATTTTGAGTTGATCCAAGATAGGTATAATAGGTATGATTGGCAATGAGCCAGTTATCAACAACTGGGACCGTACATGTGTCCAATTACATTCATCGAAAGGAACGGCTGAAGCCTTTGCTACAATATGTTGCTCAGAAGTCGAGCATAAGTTGTGGGTATGCCCTTTCTAGATCCTCCGTCTAAGAAGTGTTTGTCAGCGCCTGCCAAACAAGATGTCTGCTACAATCCTAGGTGTCAAATGGAGGGGGTTATCATACCTCTAGATAATTCCTATGGTCAAGGTCCGTTCTCGTACCCAGTGTAGCCATCGCAGCAGTGTTACTTGCGCGTTTTTCCTCGATTGACCTACTTACAGCTTCGGTAACGAAGCTTTCAATATATTTCGTAAACAGCTTGACTCCGTCTTTCGTTACCCGAGTTTTCTGCTTCTTAAACGCGACCTCGTGCAGGATGGTGGTAATGAGCTTATAATCAATTCGTGGTTCAGAGGATTTGCTATCAGCGGGATGCTGTTTCGGCCCGTCAACAGTGATTATCTCGGCAAGAATGAAGTCTGGCTCCTCGGAAGAGAACCTGTCTTCCGCTTCGGAGATTCCCTCATCTCTGTTCGACGATATTGAAGAGCTTGTTCGTGATGTTTCCTTCGTCTGCTTCTGTCTTTTCGAAGGAATAGTTGAACTAGGAGTCGTCTGATTATTTCCCCCTGCTGTTGAGCGTCTCTTCAACGGCAACTTTTGCTCTGTTCCCTTCTTAGTGGCTTTCTCTCTTGCGTCCGCAGTCTGGACACTGGGTTTTTGAGGTCGGCCAGCTTTCTTGCCCTTGATCTCAGTTGGAGCCATTGTACGGAATCACAGGTTTGCGGGTAATATCATAAACACGTCTTTCCAGTTCATTATGGACTTTTCTCCCTTCATTCCATCATTACATCTCATATTGTTTCGCTTCGCGACGTTCGAAAACGCGTAATCACGTGGATGAGGCGGCTGACGGAGTAAAGTTGTTACGACCGATGTATATAGTTTTCCTAATTGGGATATGACTCTAAGTTGAACTATGGATCTTCAACAACTCTGAAATCAAGAATCACAGGAAAGCAGTCAACAACCTTTTAATGTTACAAAGACACATTTACAAGATTTTTTTTTTTTGATATTAGAACCGTCAACATAATATAACTTTACCAAGCCATGGAGAATATAACTGAGATAGAAGGAGACATATTCCTGGCTCCCGAAGGGGCTGCTCTTATCCGTATATCTCCTTTTTACACCATTCACCGTTATATACCTGGGAAGTTAACTCGTTTTTATAGATGCATGTAATTGCCAAGGGTCCTGGGGGAAAGGTATCGCGCTCGAGTTTAAGATCAGAGTAAGTTCCATGGACCTGCATATCCCTTTATCTAAGCGGCTCATACTAGTATGGAATACTGTATAACTAATTATAAACTTCTTTTCTGCTGCCTCCCGTATTTTAGTATCCAGCTGCATACAAGATCTACCGTTCATATTGCTTAGATCTTCTTGCGAATCCTCAGACGAGTCTATATCCAGCTAGTGATACCCAGGCTGGAAATAATAGTGTTAGAAACGATACACAGCACCGAGTAACTAAACTTCCCGAAGGGACGGCTTTAGTTATACCACCTCAACCAGGCGACTATGACCCACAAGGCTCCCATATAGGCTCTGCTACTGCTAGCCAAACTAGGGGTAGAGGACGTGGCCGTGGTCGAGGTAGGGGCAGGGGTAGAGGGAACAAAAGAACACACATTTCAACTTCTCAAGCAGCAGGCAAGCGACATTGGATAATATGCCTTTTTACAGCTTGGCACTATGCGGCTGGTAAGCGTAACCCTTCCAGTGAAATCATTGAAAACACAACGACGGCTTTAGCAGACTTAAAACGTCAGATTGATGAAGGAATGGCGGATGAGGATAATGAGCTTCTGAAAAATACTGAGCTATGGTCCTGTCGTATCAATGCCGGGCTATTTGGGGTTGATTGGGAGCAATCCAAGCACATTATGGCGGAGTCTACATTACATATCAAGGTTGTGACTCCACCATCGGAGTAGCGGAGCTATATCAATTTTCCAACATACACTAGTAATTAAAATATGGCGCAGCAAAACATGTCCGCTTAGAAGACGTATGTTATTTTTTCCGGGCATCCATGATGACTTTGTCAGCTCTATAATTAATAAATTTCTTTAAACCATACCATACTATACGCCTGGGAAAGATGGAAAAAACTGAGAGAACCTTAGAACTCCGAACTCCCTTACATCTCAAATTTTCTGATTCTCCGAGACTCTACCTTTCACTTTGGCTTCTATTGGAGCCCATATCTATCGTCATTTCTGCTTGTTTGTCTGTCTGCCAGCTAGATGGGCTGTTAAAATTGAATTTAGATGCAATCTTCTTCACGAATCGTGCAGCGGATGAGGATTTCTTCGAAGTACTCGCTTTCCGGGATATGTCTCTAGTGATTCCTGTTGATGCATTTTCCAGGTCCTTGATTTTTTGGCCATATGTTGTTCCACCTATCCCCAAGAAATCTTCTGGCATAGGCGAAAGTCTGACTAGCCCATGATCTGGGGAGATATCCATTACCTTACGAATTTCCTCCTGGATATTGGTGGTGAAGCGGAAGTTGCACAAAGGTGTCAGCATTGCAGCAAGAGCCGTCACCGTGACAATATAGGCTGGCTCGTCAGTAAACTCAGACATGGAGATTTTCACCTCATCATCAATTGAGACCGTGATGGGATGATTGTCAAATAAGGTCTTGAACTCCGATATTAATTTGGATATAATTTCATATGGATCGTCAACCTATAAGACAGAATATATTAGCTATTGCGCATAGATAGAGCTCAGTAGCATGTCTAAGCGGCAATACTGCGGTAGAGAGAAGCGATACCCTCTTGTTTGTTCTTATTTCGACGATGATTACGGAGTCGTGTTTTACCCTCTCTCTGAAACTTGTATATGAAAACCCGTCGTTAAAGTGTTGCTTCCCTCGGAGCCGTTCAGTCGCTATCATATCTCGTTCTGCCTCGAGTATGTCCGCCAAGTTGGGGTTGCAGCTGCCGCTGCTCATGAATCCGCCGCATCCCAGGTCTCGCGCAACGATATCATTTTTTGACGGCCTAGTAGAAGCTATTGAAGACTAGACACGGTCAAGTCAACATTTCCAACACGACATGTCCGTCTCTTGGGCTAATAGGAAGTCAAGTAGACTTACAATCGCTATTGACCGACGAGGAGACTTGGTTTCTGGCGTCTTTGCACGCGCGTTAGAAGAGTATTCCTCATCCCCATCCATGGTATAAACAAGTCAAAATAACTCTAAAGTAAACAACAAGAGGTATCGGAGGACAGCGCTCAAAAGGCAGAGTCCTAGAGTGTAGACAGGGCAGTGAGTAATATGTGAAGCCGTTATGTGTTGACTTGGTGAAGGTGCAGAAGAAAACCACACAAGGAGATGAAGTGTTGTTGAAATCGCCTAAACAGGAAACTCCCTCTGCTTACCTGCAACCTCAGGCTCACACTTGATTTTTGCACTTTTTCTTTGCCCCAACCTCAGAATCCAAACGATGTCGAAAGTTTTTCTAAACCTGAAGGAAGTTATCCTGCGAGACGGCGAGTTCAAGGGGTTTTCAAGAAACACACCCTAGGAAGTCGGGTGTGGCATCCAAGAACGCAAACCAAGGACAAAAAGTACCAATTCCGATTTGATGCTGGCGAAGTCATAAATGGAATGAAAAACATCTACCTTCAGGTCAACACTTAAGCGACAAATAAAGCACTGAAGAAGTATCTCAAAAAACATGGTACTCACGGGAATATTGCGGTTGGGCAAATCAAGGAAGATGCAGAACCATCGGAGCAGGAGGAGATACTGAAGGAAATGTTGGACAGCTTTGAGGAACAAGTCAAAGCGAATACCAAATAAATGGTATGTACATTATAGGATGATTGAACTATACATCCAAAGTTCCTGACTAACATCCTAGCCTATGTGCAGATCGTTGTTCGGCTGATCTGGGTATTTCCTTAGAAAGGCCACATTTCCAAAGCTGCTTCTGGTGGCATATGTTTCGACATTTCTTTTACATATCTTTTAATAACAGCTCGGTTGCGCTGTTGAATTTCGGCAAAGTCCAACTCTGGGGATATCCAGCCGTCCGCATCCGTCTCGAGGTATCTTTTAGCAAGTTCTTGAACGTCATGCCAATCTCGATATTCTTTAAATTCTGCTTCGATAACTTGAAGCTCATCATCTGTGAATGATAATGGACACTCTCCAGTAAACCCCAATGAATCCCATGATTTGTAGAGTTCAGCCAGGCAGGCACGTAAACCTATTGTGCCTTCAGCACTTGCCTCTCCACAGCGTATGAAGGTTTCTAAGAAAACAGATGGCAGATTTAGGCTTCGATACACATCTTTGCAATGCAAAGCAGAGCGTATCTCATAGGACTTTGTGACAATTGCATCATTTCTGTCAGAAATTGCCAGTTTTTTTTCAGCTTCATCTAGGGTCTCAAAGTCGTCCGGAAGCTGTGGTTGAACAACTCCATAAATATACTCATCATTGGGTTTGAGAAAATCAGGCCAATTTACTTGTAAAAATAAGGGGCCAGCGGATATAAACTGCCAATCGATAATCGATACAATTTGTGTTGGATCCTGCTCAGAGACAAAGATGTTCCCTGAATGCAAGTCTGTGTGCCACAGTATTGGTTTTGAAATTGATGCTAGTTCAGGATGCTGAGACTCTAATATCTTGAAGACAGTCGTTGCTTTTGTAAGGTCGGCAATTTCCCTATCAGCACAACGATTACGATTGTAAGGGCGGGTATCTTTAGCTGACGTTGGGATCCGAGATATTTCGCGCTTGGCAATGTTAATACCGTACTCAGACAGTGATGTCCCTAAGATGGGATTGATGCGGTGTTAGTTATACTATTAATGTAGAACGTAATGCTGAATACCTACAAGGACCAGCACTAATTCCAGGCTCACAAGTTCTTGCACCTGTTGTTTTATTCCAGGATCGTTCCATGGATGGCCCAATACAATATGATTGGCTTGGGTCAATCGAGTCCGGGAGATTCCAACTCCCCTTTGGTACGCTAGAGCCTCTGAGGTATAGACTCCCGGAAGCTGGGAAATGTATGGTTGCTAGTTCACTCTCAAGATTTCCGAGATGTTTTGTGAGTTCAAGTCTCGAGGTGCCGTCCATGTCTCCCCATTTCTTATAGAGTTGAACGCCAGGAGCCTTTTCCATTATTATATACTCGCATCCAACATCATTGGATGGGTCACAATTCCACGCGAGTACTCCCGGAACTGGAATTTTTGTATGCTGTCTCACTGACGAACGAAGAGATATTAGTGGTTGACATAAAAGAAGGTCGCTAGTGTTCCATTAACTACCGAATTTCAAAGTAGCAACTTCCGAGGCCGTGGAATAACTTGGAGGTCCGGCCAACTTCGATGGCAGCTTTGCAACTACCTCAGTCCCATCTGCTTTTCGCATTAAAAGTGCTTTACAAAAGCCGCCTTCCATCTTCTCGATTGACATAACAGGAGACGCGGACGCTCCAGCTGTGGCAGCCACGGCGCAAAGCTGGGGGATGTCGAACTTGATGTAACGCTGCTGGCATTGGTGTTCCTCGTTTATAAGGAACCGGCCGCTGGTATACTTGAACATATCTTCTTCGCCAATAGTTTTCCCTGTAACCAACGTCAGCTAAGGGTAATACTATGAAAAAGAAAATATGACGTCAACAAACCATGGCATGTAATAGAGACATTCCTCGCGCCTCTGATCGTATGGCGATAAAGGCGAGCGCGTATTGATGCGACTCGACTCGCCCAGCACCCTGATGGCAGTATCATCAGCGTAAAGTGCGCAATGAAGTAGTATAGTGATTAGACCTCAATTGAATCGCTGGGTTAAAGGTAGGAATCGAAGAAACCACGGCTTTAAACAGTTTTAAGGGAAGTGTGTGTGTTTTGCGCCAGTGCTGTGATCACAGTTTCGGGTATTTCTAGGATGTTGCTGACTAGTTAACTAACACAGGTAGTTACTAACTATATTTACGTCAGTACTCCGTACGGAGTAGTTATCCCGTTTGACTAGTATTCCGTACAGTAAGGGGACAATCTTAGTTAGGTATCTTAGAATCTCTATTCTATATTCTATTTCATATGCTAGTTAACTGCTCATTTAGTTGACGTCACGCAGATGGTAACTTGTAGTTAATAAGAACTCACTAGCTAAAGGGTTTGTTTGATATCCTCAACTAACCACTGACCAACGGATCAGGAGTGATGGTAACACTACTCCTCTCTCTATTGCCATTAGCAGGCTCGAGACTATTAATGGGTGTTCCATTTCCATTTCCATTTACTTGGTCCTCCGTAACAGTATTGACCTTGTTGTTAACAAGCTGTGCTTCTTCAGCAAGCTTATCCTTCTTCTTCAACTGCAATGATCCAATCTGCAGCGCTTCTTCAGGTAGCGGTCGTATGAATGGCTGACACACCCACCAGGGCCTCTGATACTTCTCCATCGTAGCCTTCGATTCATCTGATTTGACCACTCCAGGTTTTGAGGCGGGAGCAACGTGTTTCCAATTCGGGTTTTGCTCATATTCCTGCATGCCTTGCTTCACAGCCTGGTCGACTAGTTCGACTACTTTTTCGAAATTAGGCATGTCTCCTCCATGACATCGTGCAAGAGCATCGCGGATATCTGTTCGGTGCGAGACGAGGTGTCGAAGGAGTTGGAATAAATGGCCCTGCATGGAAGATAAATTGGTTGAAGGAGTTCTCTTCACACGTTTCCCTTGCTTCTGTTTCTTCCTAGGCGGCTGTTCACTTTCGTCCTCAACAGCTTCATCGGCACGAGTCTCACCGTTTGATCCCGCCCTAGGCTCGTCATCTGGATGATAGAGCGGTGCTCTCTGCGGAGGTTCCTGCTCGAGAACATATTTATAAATGATATCCATGTACCGCCGGAGCACAAAGTCAAGTCTGAATCCTCCTCTTCCGTCACGACCACGCCAATACATCCTCCCTTCCTCCCCTAGAGCCGGAGGTGTCGAGAAGATAGTAGGATCCGAAAGATTGCCTTCAGCACTCATTACGCCGTCTGCCCCCGTAGCCTCCAAGCACCGACTAAGATCATCATGATTCAAAATATTCCCGTTCGCGAAGATCACAGTTTCAGGCGGCAAATTATCTCGCAGGTATCGAATATATTCCCAATTCGCCACGCCAGTATTATGACCTTTCTGCTCCCTCCTCCTGCCATGCACGGATAGAATGCTCGCGCCAGCGGAAATTATCATACGAGCATACTCGAGCGTTTTCTCCTTTGTTTCAAGAATTCGAAACTTGGCTGTCACAGGTATCGAGAGTTCAGTATGTAACTTGTTAATAAGTTTGTATATCAGGTCTGGGTCCTCCTGCAGAAATGCACCGTAGTGGCCTTTCTTCGCGATACCCTGGGGACACCCAAGGTTCAGGTCAACCGCATCGCAGTGCTCTTCAACATGGCGTGCAGCTTTGAGTAATTCATCTGGATTGTTGGCACAAAATTGAACGATGAACGGCCTGTCATACTTCGGATTCCCATCGAGGTATGCCTCTGCTGTCGCTTCATCAGTACCGGCCTTGGTCTGACGAATGGGTTCAAAGTGTTGTGTGCGGTAAGCAGGTGCCTCGTTGAAGAACCGAGCGTGGAACATAGGTGAGTAGGCAAGGATGGGAGGGGAGCTTTCCTCCCCCGTGAACGAACGAGTGAGCATTCGCCATGCCTGTAGCAATTACCATGACATTATCAGTAAACGCTCTGGTAATTTTAGGTGATTGAAACGTACAAATTCAGATCTATCCACCATGGGCGCAACGATCATTTTTGGACAACCTATGCTCTCATAGAATTCACGACCATGTAGTTTTTTCTTCGACAGTTCAGGCTTTATTTCATTAACTGCCTGCATTATCTCGGGGGGTTTCGAGTCCGACACGACGCTGACGTCGGCTGTGTTTGCGTTTGTGCTCGACATAACTGCTATTTTTGTCCGGTGGTGGAGAGGGAGCTGGGGGAGGGTAATCGCTGGCTTCTGCAGCAAGGCGCGCCGCCAGAAGCAGAGTCGAATGAATTTCAGGATTGCGACGGATCGGATAGTGGTGCAAGGTGACGAGACATAGATGGCGCTTGAGGTGACTCTCCCAGTCGCAATTGTCATGCAGCGGTGGTTCCCTTCGTGCTTCGTTGCAAGCAAGACGGAAAAAGATATTCTGGTGCCAAGACATAAAATATTTTAGAGTTTAATGATAAGCTTAGATAAAAAAATTACTTATGTAAGGCGACAAACCCCCTGAATATCGATATGCGGATATGGGAGGATCATGTTCAAGTAGGGATATTGATGTTGATTGTTCACTATCTCAAGAAACCGACTGGCTGTATGCAGGATCCACCCACATCAGCCCCATTAGAGAACCAAACCGACCAAAAAAAAAGTCAAAAAGTAAAGCAAGATTTCAGGGTCTCGAAGACAGACCGTTTTGACTAAAAGAGACAAGACAAGCGTTGAAAAGCCAAGTCACTGAACAAGATAAAAACGCCAATTTGACCAGACAAAGGGAAGAGATTTAAAACGAAGCGACAGGAGGGAATGCTATTCTATATTAGCCGAGGCAACAAAAAAAGGAAAGAACAGAAAAGGGAAGATAGGTAGAACGAGAGAGGACGAGCGGTGTATATGTCAGTGAAGTAATGGTAGGTACAGTCAGACGAAGCAAGTAATGGTGAAAAAATTCGTAGCGGGCATAAAAGTGAAAGAGGTCAGTAGTTGATATATATAGATATACCAATGTCAATAACCAAAAAAGTTACTCGAAGTGAGAGGTAACTTGGGAGATATAACGGAAGGAAACTTCCATCTTAGAGCAGAATCTTTCCAAGTCACGTTTTGCGGCAGTGCTGACTTTATCGGACGTGCTATTTGTTGAGCCTTCGACAACAAGGTCAATGTGGGAAGAAATGTCGTCGAGTTTCACGCCGGTGAATACCTTGTCGGAGGTTTGCTTGGAAGCGGGTGGAGTGCATGGCTGGTCAAGGTAGAGGGCAAAGCAAGGGTCACTCTCGTCAATGTCGAGGTCAGCAGCAGCGACGGGGACGGAGGCTTCTATCTTAGTAGCGTCCAGATTCTCGATGCCATAAGATCTAGCATCGATAGAAGGAACGACATCTTTGGTTTCATCAGAGGGAAGAGGGCCGACAGAATTGGAGCTTTTGCCGGTGATTGCCTCCATGTCTAGAGACGGCCCGACAGGAACATCAACAACGGCAAAGACGGATGGGTTGGTGAAGTTGAAGTCAATACCCGAGTTCCAGCCTTGGTCATTGAGGTCAATAGAAGCAAAGTCGAAGGTCTGTTCGGGGACAACTGGAAGGCCGGTCTGCAAGTTTGGTACTGATACCTCTTGGTGGGGCTGTTCGATGCCGTCTTCCTTGGTTACGGTGGGCTGACTTGGAAGTTGGGGTGCTGGAGTGGTCTGAGTTTGGGCCTGAGGCTGGGGCTGAGCACCTAGGTTTGGTGGAAGACCATTGGCGCTTAGTTCGTTGAGAAAAGGCGCAAAGTGAGAGGAGGAGAGAAGCATGCGAGTGAAATCGGTGAGTCTAGCGTTCTCAAGAGCGAGGGCATTGTTCTTCTGGCGGAGCTCGTTCGCCTCGTTAGTCTTGGCAGCAACCTCGCCTTCAAGCTGGCCAATGTACTCTATTGAGCCGAGTTAGCGATGAAGGAGAACTACAACCGACAGGAGGTGGAAGACTGGACTAACCTTTTCGTCTTGATCGGAAAGCTCGGGCAGAGACTTTGTTACGGAGTTGTCGTCGTTCCTTGCTGCTGAGTTTCTTCCCCTCTTCACTGGCAAGTAATCGCTCATCTTCATCCATATCTTGCTCGTCCTTCTTGTACTTGGTAGGTTGAGGAAGGGCGTTGGTCTGTTCAGTCTCTTCCTGGCTGCTGACACTATTCTGTCTCATTTGCTGGAGTAGACGGGATATCCTCTCCTGCACGAGAGGGTCTGTGTTGCGGTTGAATTTAGTCTGAGGCCGACTCTGACTAACCTCAGGAGTCTGTCTCTGTTGTGGTGACTGATGTTGCTGTTGCTGTTGCTGTTGTTGCTGCTGCTGCTGCTGCTGCTGACGTTGGAGCATCTCTTGTCTCTGCTGAAGGGCAGCCTTGGCTCTGGCGGCCTGTTGCTGATGGATACCAGGATAGACACGCCTAGCCTGGTTTGGAGTGCCAGTAACAGGCATCTCCTGCGCACCGAGTGCACTGGGGTCGACAAACTGAGTCTTGGTAGCCTGAGCGGGCATAATGTAGGCTTCGGAGTCGGCAAGGTTCTCATCGAGGTCCATTTCAGTCGAATCCTTCAGTGGCAGGGCAGATAACGAATGCATCGGCTGCCCCATTCGGCCGTAGACGCCGTCAACAGGATGCACCATGCCCATGGGGTCGAAGCCATAGTTGTTTAGGGCCATGGTGTTGGCGAGACCACCTGGAGGTAGACCAGTCTGTTGTGTGTAGTGGGTGTACTGATGACTTGGGGCGGTATACTGCGGCTGCTGAGGTGATTGCTGCTGGTGCTGGTGCTGTTGCTGCTGAGGTTGTTGCTGCTGGTGCTGGACGAAGCCATGCTTGCTGGCAGTCTTGCTGTCTGAACTGGCAGGCGAGACGGAGGGCGAGGGATACATGGCCGGCTCGAGGTTGAGGAAGGAGTCCATGTCTGCGGCGACGTCGTAGGACTGCTGCTGGCTCGCGAGAGGCGAGAGCGTCGGCAGCAGTTCTCCCATCGCGGCCATGATGACGGTTCTTGCAGCCAATCGTCGAGCCTTATGGTCCCTTTTTTTCCTGTGCCAGCGTCTTGTGTCAAGTGTGGTAGGGGCGGTGGAGATGACGGTGATGATGGAAAGAGCTGGTGGTTGGCGTTGTTGATGGTGGTGATGATGTTGCTGATGTTGATGTTTGACGTCGAGAGAGTCGACGAGGTTGAGATAAGGAGAAAAGAAGGAAGGAGCCAGCGAAGAAAGAGGTTAAGCGCCAAGCCTTCCTAGCTGGGACACGCGTTTTCCTTCTTTGGCTGCCTGTGTATCGTGCGTACCGTCCTGTAACGCCCGTATTATACGCTTGGCACGACTTCGCCTCCTTTCCCCCGCCAGCCCCTGGACCCGCCGGCCATCTGGCCAATGACGGCGCTGCCTCGCCCTCCCGTTCCACCTACCGGTACTATTGGGAACCTAATTATAGACTTCCTTGTATTCATTATTACCAGATAAATACCACAGCACTATTTCCGTTGACGGGCAAAGTAGTAGTAGCTATCTATGAAACACTACCGCGGTAGACGGCATCAAGCCATCGGAATGGAGTGTGAGGTGGTACATGTTCCATTGAGTAGAGGACGACACTGTGGGTGAGTGAGTCAGGTGAAGGCCTTGCAGAGAACATCCTGAAAGGATCTCCCTCTCATGCAACTCTGACACACCCGGAGTGGGCCGGCAAGGCGCCAGGAGGAAGCGAAAAAGGCGGCTGTGCATCCATTTCCGCTTTGGGGCATAGATATGTCACGTGATTAAGCAATTACGTCCTTTGATTGACTGAGACAGGAAATAAGCAAGTCACGTGTATAAACATGATTATATAAGATAAAATATCACGTGAAGATGATGACAAACCAGCGGATGGAGGACGGGGTCGACCAGGAGACGACAGGGAACAAGGCAAGATGCAGGACGACGGCGATGATATGCAGCATTAAGATGCAAGAAGAAGATGGAGAGGGAGATAAGACATGCAGTGGTGGAGATGGTGATGATGGTGATGGCGGGTATGGAAGCATATAACACCACGGCGGATGAGAAACAGCCCATAACTATCCCACAGCTGATGCCCAACCAGTACTTCCGTACTTTGATTGGTACTGACTATCTATACCCCTTGGGCTGATACCACTGGAGACCGAGTCTGCATATGCAGTAATTATACAGTGAGAAGCCAGATGCTTTATGGCTGTACTCAGCATGCGATGATGAGTGTGGCATGCCTACCTGCCTGCCATAGAGCAAAAGGGGCTTCCTTTGCTCGCGCTAGTACGCGTATACTTCCATATACCCAGGTACTCCGTAGAGAGCACTTTTTATAATACAATGTGCGAAACTGATCTCGCTAATGTGGCATGACTACCAATAACCGAGCGACTCTATGGAATTGACAGTCGATGCAGAAAGCCAGACCAAGTTTTCATCCCACCTGGCTGCTTCCCTATTCGCTGGCACCCTTGCTGGCTGCATGGTATCCTCCATTCATCCATATGTACATTCATACGTCCACTACTTACCTCAAGTTCCCCTCGCCCGTCGGCCAGCGCACGCCCCCTTTTTTTATATCCTCTCGGATTTCGTTGTATTCGGATTTCGCTTTGTTCTCGTTTCAAAGTTCTACTCCCACCTTATATAGATATCTATAACGACTACAGCTAGCCAGCATGTCCCATCAGGCCACAGAGTCATTCTATGACCAGTTCTTCCTCGACTATGAGAACAACTACCATAACAATGAGGGCCTTAAGGCCTTTGTCCGCGAAGCTGCCTCGAAGCTCCCCGACCATGCAAAAGTGCTAGACGTGGGCTGCGGTACGGGGCGTCCCATAGCCGAAGCCCTCTGCGCGGCCGAGCTTGATGTTACAGGCATAGACCTGTCGACTGAAATGGTAGAGATGTGCAAGAAGCGGTTCCCCTCCGCGACGTTCATCAAGGCGGACATGACCAAGTTTCACCCCGAGCAAAAGTTCGACGCCGTCTTTGCCGTCCTCTCGTTATTCCACGTTTCTCATCGTGAATGCTACTCGATGCTGTTCAAGTTTGCCGACTGGCTGAAGGAGGGAGGCCGCCTCTTCATCACTACTATATACAGCTACGATCTAGTGGACAGGGGAGCCAAGCCGGATAGCCAGGGCATCATCGATCTTGCTGACTGCCAGTTCTTATCCCAAGATGTACCCCTGACGGCATTGTCCGGCGAGAAATGGGAAGAGTACCTGGCTGCTGCCGGATTCGTTGGGTTCCATGCTACCAAATATGACTTCCAGCCTGCGGATCCAAAGCTCAAGGTTGCCCATCACCACTTTATCACAGTGCAACGAGGAGATAACCATCCGCTTATGGGGCCCTATCCTTACCCTGATAAAGTGCGTGGGGCGTACTCTGTAAATAAGGAGGCATACAAGTCTTTCATGGAAAGGCTCAATGATGTCGAACCAAAGGCTCTGGCGGGTGTAATTGGAAACAACACCAACATTCTCACTATTGGTAATATTCTTTCTTGCTCTAACCCTTCTACCTCCGCGCCCTGAACTACAGCTAAGACAGCTTTGTATTTTCAGACCCGATGAACCGCAGTGATTCGTTCCCATTTAGCACCAAGGAAGCTTCCAGCAAGTTCGACTGCATCGTCCTGTCCCGAGTTCTCGATGGCCTGGAAGGCATTACAGAGTCGCTTCAGAAGGCCATGAAGGCAACCGGCAAGATAGTAGTCATCCAGGCTGCTCCAGACAACGATATCCTCAAACACGCCAACCTCAGCAGCAACAAAGCCCCGACGCACCACGGACTCATCCTCCAGCGAGCTGCCGAGATCCTAAAGACAAACGGCTTTGGTAGTCAGGAACTAATTCACATTAGTGATAGTGCATGTCGCTTCCCAGAGGAGGATCTGTCTGCTCGATGCAAGGGTGCTGCTACCTTGATTGCAGACATGTTCTATAGCAATGAGGCCGACTTGCAGAGTATCAAGGACGCTCTTGTCTCTAGAATGGAGGCCCTCTTCAAGGAGACTCCGCATGATGTTGGCAACCAATCTGTCATGTTGGTTGCACGGCCAGCCACTTAGGTCAAGCCAGCATGATGTTTAAAGTAATTAGCAATCCGTATGGTCTAATCCGGGAAGCCATCAAAGAAACATCCGACCCCCCAGCTGCTGATCCCTTTCCTTAATGTGGCGGACATTTCGTCATTTAGAACAAGTAAACACAGCGACTCAATAATCAGACCACCCATTGTGATATAATAAATAACCACACAACTAGCTGGCTAGCTATTAATCAATATATACGTATAATTCCAAGATAAAAAGGCTCACAGTTTAAGAAATTGAAAATACACTAGACAAAGCAAACATGTCTGTTCCTCGCGTACTCCTTCTCGGCGGTCATGGCAAGATCGCCCTCTTCCTGACTCCCCTCCTGCTCGCCCGCGGCTGGGATGTGATCAGCGCCGTCCGTGACCCCAAGCATGAAGCTGATATCCTCAAGTTCAACAAAAGCGACGATGGCAAAGCAGGCAAAGTAAGCATCTCGCTCGCTGACCTGGAGAAGATCAAGAGCAGCGATGATGCTGCGGGCGTCATAGCCGCTACTAAACCAGACTATGTCGTCTGGGCTGCTGGTACGGAATCTCCCCTAACTAACTATAACTAACCTTCTCACCCTCCATACGCCGGCCCCATATGCTATGCTATGCATAAATATGGTAACTACATACTAACCTGCTTGCAGGAGCCGGCGGCAAAGGCCCCGTCGACCGTACCTACGCCATCGACCAAGATGCTGCAAAACACTTCATCCACGCCATCATGGCTGGCCCCAACAGCATCTCCAAGTTCCTACTGATCTCGCACATCGGTAGCCGGCGCAAGCCCGCTCCTTGGTGGTCATCTGCAGACTGGGAATCGGTAGACCGCATCAAGGCTGCACTGCCGGATTACTACAAGGCCAAGCTTGATGCAGACGAGTACTTCTCCGTCATGGCAGCGCAGCGCAGGGAGAAGCACGGAGATAGTAACTTCCAAGCAATCAATTTGCGCCCTACCACGCTCTCTGACGAGCCTGCGACGGGTAAAGTTGAGTTCGGACGTACGGGGACAGGAGACCGAGTGCCGATTCCGCGTGAAGACGTAGCTCTTGTGGCTGACGAGGTGTTGGCTTGCTCGAACGTGAAGGGTTACCAGGATTTGATCAGTGGCCAGACGCCGGTTAAGGAGGCCGTTGATAAGGTTGGGAGGTCGGGTCTTTGCTGCTTTGAGGGGGAAGATCTCGAGGCTATGCGTGAGAGGTTCAGGGAGTCTCTTGCTTAGTGGACACTGGTTTACTGGTGATAAATATGAATAGTGGACATCAGAAATACAAAGAATTGTCATGCTGAACAGAGTACTGGGTATTGGACATATACATCACTATCACTACCCGATAGTAGGAGCCGGGCTGCTGTCCTGCTGTCGGCGGTTCGCCGGACGAGGCCCAGCATAGGGAGCAAGTATCTTTAAGTGCACAGCTGGCCATGTTCTAGATGCCGATGGAGACACTGTATCTTACTGGAGTCGATGGAGACTGGTCCACGTTATTTCTGGGCATTAAACAAAGCTGAGAAAATAGATTGATCCAGCATGTTTAATTGTCTAGGTATCCATGGGATTGTGGCTGTGACGATAGTGTTTTACCCCTTGATTCCATAAAAATAGACGCAACAGTGCCCAGCTCGGGGTAAACACCGCGCGGGTAGACCTGTTTCATACAGCTAAGACCATTGGTATGAGGAATATAGGTTTATACAATGGCTCAAACGCCGGGAGCGAGATTGAAATTATGAGCGGAGATGCGCTGTACATCTCCGTTCCATGATATGCAAAGGATAATTCTGAGAAGATGTAGGTATGTATTGTACACAAGAGAAGTGCTGGCCCGCTCAAGGAATGCAGAAAATCAAACATATAGATAAATAGGTAGACAGATAAGGAAGGAAGCGGGAAAGACCTGCATCATTCGTCCGATGTGGTTTCGAGGAATTTGGTCAGGAGAGGCTGGTGGGCTTCTGCCTGTATGGCGTCTGCCACACGCAATCTCATATGGTCAAATGCAAGCACGATAGGAGGATTGTTGGCGGAAGAAGACGGGCTTTTTGGCCTAGAGCGGGATGCTGGGCGAGATGTTTTCCCTGCTGCACCCTCAGCCATTGTGTAGTCTTCCTCTACATCCTCTGAGGTAGGAATATCACGGACAACCGATGGAGCTTGACGTGGTTTCTTATCCGCTGCATTATTTCCCCTATTGTTCCATCCCTTCGGTGGCTGTATATGTACTTCCTTTGCATTCGCAATGTCAGGCATCTTTCGATACCGCTGACTAAAGTGTGTCATGACAATAACTTTGGCTTCCATCCTGAGACCAACCGTCATGGCTTCGCTTACGGTTGAGTGGCGCTTAGCAACTGCGTCAGATATCATGTTGTCGTCAAAGGTAGCTTCATGAATCAGAACGGTCGAGCCACGGCCAATGTCGATGAAGCGAGTTGATGGGCGACAGTCTCCCGAGTACGAAACTTTGAATCCTGTTGGAAAGACAAGAGATACTGCCTTTGCACCCTGGCAGTGGGATACCGGAGTCGTGAGAATGGCATCTAGTCCAGTGCCTTGTTTTAGCAGCTTTGTGACAGGAGAATTCGCGTCATCGAATTTCAGCCGTGTTCCAAGGTGTTTCCCATCCTTGTCTGAGATGGCGGCACCGTTCCTCTGGCGGCGATGGATAGTATACGTATAATCTATCTTACCGTCGGGATGTTCAAAAGAGGAGGCAGATAGGGGGACGACTTTATCATATCCGTAGTTTTCGACATTTGTGTACTCGGCCATCCACTGCAGCATATGCTGGGCCGAGACAACGTAGAGTCTCTTCTCGCTTAGCATCTTAGGTACATCCTCCTCAGTAATGTCCATGTAGGAGGCCGTGCTAGGCAAATTTCCGTAAACAGCTTCGTGCCAGGCTTTAATAACTGAGACAGTTCCTAGATGATGGTCTGCATGCAAATGACTGATCCAGATAACTTTGAGATCACGAAGAACGTCTTTCAGTTCCTCGGGTCCAAAAGTACGCTTCAGCTGGCCGAGGGTACCTTCACCTGCGTCAAACAGGTAGTTACCATGGCCTGGGACTCGCAAAAATGTCCCGGATACGTTTCTGTACCGGGACGGACAGGACGAGCCGGTTCCAAGGGCGATTATTTCAGCATCCCCGTTGGGAATGCTTTCCTTTAGCTTCTCAATCCTCTTTTGTACCCCTGGCTGAGAGAGTATCTCGCCCATAACTCTAGAGTAGCTGTTTCTCCGTGACATCTTAATCGGCTTCGGGGGCAGCGCTGAGCTAGTTGTAAGCTTAACGCTAGGCTCGAGATCAATTGTCAGGTTAGGCCGGGCAATGGAGATGGAGGTTTTAGTGTCTGTTGCAACAAAGTCATTGACGGGCGACATTGCCTTGTTATTGCAGATTGTCTTCTGGTAGCGGTCAGCATCGATAGCTGAAAATTCAACAGTAGCGTTAGACACTGCTGGGAAGCCGTAGTTGTCTGGGCAGTAATCGGGCGATGAGACAATATGTTTGTATTTGGACATCTTCGCCACGAATTCCTGGAGGAGAGGGTGGCCGCCGACACCGGGACCAAGGATCCAAACAAAGACTTCCATTCCCTTCATTATTTCAGCATTCTCCCATTCCTTTCGATTGACAATGGCCTGAATATAGTCGACTGAAGGCAGCTCTAGCACGGCGAATCCTTTGCCTGGCCTGTTCTCTCCAAGGACCATGTCAGGGGTAATCGTCTTGCCATCTACTGATATCACAGTTTCTCCGGTAGCAAGTCTTCTAAAGTCTGACTTGTCCGCAATATTCAGAGACTCGGCTCGTTTCCTATCAAACTTGCCTCTGGAATCATGGCCACGGATGATATATGAAACTGCACAGTCTGAGGGGGTAGTTGCAGGCAAAGAATCAACCATCGCACCGGGCCACGGCTGTCGGACAAGAACATTGATGTTCGGCAGAGCTTCTCCATCACCAGGCTTTGGCCCTTCATAAGGCTTTACCTCCCCTGTGTCTTTATCACGAATAAAGAGCGTAGCTGGAAGAGACACTTCCGCTAGAGGCGTCTCAACTAGCGTATCTAGACGCCATTGAGAGTTGAACATGTCCAGGACAATTTTCTGCCTGGTTACTAGATCCTTCTCTCTAGCAGATTTTGTAGCTGCAGCTCCCTCCCCTCCTTCAAAGTCGTCCAAAGTCCTCTTTCCTGGCTGTAGTCTGGGGGAGGTAGATGGGTATACAGGTAAGGCCCAGACTTTAATATGATCGTCTGACCAAGCTGGCTTCGTGAGGTCAATGGTTGCATCCCGCTCTTCACAACCATGGCTGCCGAATTCGCGAATCTCGATCGGGACACCTGTCCTGCAGATAAATGTCCTTCCAGTGGCTAAGGTATGGGTCAGGTTAGGCCCACCATATAGAGATATCGGCCGCTGGCCATGGAACTCAGGCAGCGCTTCCAGTTCTAACTTGCGCCGTTTTACCCGCTCCATCAGTTCATCAGCATCCCTCTGGCGCACCGCTGCCTTTGCGCGTTCTTCAAGGTTCTTGATCTTCCGCGACTCGGCCTCCACCATGGCACCCGATGCAGATGCCATTGTATCCGATAACGTCAGAAGCATACCCAGCATCCCCCCATTGCCAGCCCAAGTGGTCTTTCCAGTCAAGAAAACCTCCGAAAGCTTCGACAACCGGACATTATTCTCTATGCAGGCTCGCTGCGTACCTTCAGACAGATTCCCAAAAAAGTACCGCTTATCATCGTAGTGGAGGAAGAGGGTGGTACCAGGCGTGTCGGAGGTTGGGGCCGTAACAAATTGGATAAACGACTTCATCCTGTCGGCGCCTGGTGGTGGCCTTTCCTGTTTAACCGAAGAATACTGGGACAGGCGCCTATCTTCGAGAATCCAGGAATAGTTCTGTCTTATGCGATGGCCACGGCGTTTTCGGACCCAGTCATCGAGGTTATTTGGGCGTGTTGTGTGGAACAGTCGAGTTGGCGATAGTAGACAATCGAATGTAGCAGAGACAGGAGTCCAACGAGGTTCGAGCTGGCACTGTTAAACTTGTATAAGCATGTTGAATCCTTCAATGGCTGAGGCTGTCTGAGGCAGAAGCCTCTATTTATGCGAGAGGGGAGGCATGCGACTGACTCACCTTTGCCAGAACTCTCTGTAAAGCAGCCAATATGCCGGCTCAAGGTAGTATCATGCAGTGACAACGAATAGCAAGAACAATAAATGCGATTCAAAGCATTAGGATTAAACAGCAAATCAACTTTTATTTACTAGCTTTACTTTCAACCAAATTTTCGGTCGTGACGTTACGAAGATTTGCGACTGTTCGTGGAGTCTTTTTTTTTTTTTCATTTTTGGTGAAGCTGCTGCTGAGTCAGCAGGTTTATCGATAGCGATAAGACGAAAGGGCGAGATAAAAGAAGATCCAACATTGCAGCATTATATTATGTTCTATGGAGCCCTATAGACTGAATTGTACATAATTAGTAACCAGCTGGCTGCTGCTCTCCCTCAGGGAACATGCCCTTGTCGAGGTTCAAGCCACACTCTTGTCGCCAGTTGGCAGGAGTAAACTTGTCAACAATCTCCTTGAAAGCTTCGAGAGTGCAGAATGACTTGTCTCCCGGCAAATGTTTGGAAGGGCTTGCTGCACAACCTGGGATGGTGACCGGCCTGTCGTTGTAGCGGATGCGGACGTAGTGATTTGATAGGGCAGGCTGCTTGGCCTGGGGGGTACGAGCAAAGCCAGCAGATGAGCTAGCGGACTGGCTCTTCTTACCTGTGAGCAAGGAGAAGAAGGATGGCTTGTCAGATGCTGGCTTCTTAGCAGGTGGGCTAGAGAACTCTTCCAGGATTGCTCCAGCCGGTGAGCTGGGGACATCCCTTTCGGAGACATCTTTGAATAGTTCCACGGCGATCGACGAGGTGTAAGGAGGCCATCTCTCGCCCTTGAATGCGCCAACACTTGAGAGAATAGAGGCAAGAGTGGTATCATGGCAGCCACTCATGGCTAGTTTGACAGAGGGACTTTCTTCGCCTGGCTGATATGCAGCAGCCATGGGCCTCCAGCCCTTGTGGGAAGCGGCATGGACCATTCTCTCGACAACATCTCCCATAAGCGCACCGATGGCAAGTTTGCGGTACTCCCTACTCTCTTGACTACCAGCAAACCACTCGTCTACTCCTATCCTATCAGCGATCTCACGGGCCTTGGGATCATAGAACTCTGCAGGAAGACGAGTGTTTGGCCCGTGGGCATAAGTGGACGCAACGGTGTCCATGATTCCAGACAACCGAGGGAGCGAGTCAACAGCCACTCGAGGGGAATTTTCTGGCATCCACTTTGACCAGAGCGAGTTAAGGTATGCCATCTCTTCTGAGTCGTTCCCTAGACAGGTCAGTATAACATGTGCGCCAGAAATACGTGAAATCAGAGTAGTTGGTTACATTTATCAGCGGCACGCTGGGCAAAGAGCCTGGCCAGCTGCCTGAACCGGTGACAGCTCCCCTCGTTAGGGAATAGAGTCTCCTCTGCAGCTGACCTTAGAATTATGGACGGCTTAGCAAAGTCTGAAGTCCTAGCACTGGATGGGTACAATCCCCAAAAGGCACTCTGCAACGACTCTAGGGCTCGCGGGACGGGAGTCGAGCGGAGGTACATGCTATCCGTATTCGAGATAATCTCCGGCAAGAAACTGAGCCGCTCAACATAGAGATGTCTGAGCCTCTGGCCGAGCTCAAATGTAGTTTGGCGGCCTTTGTCTGTAAGCTCTCCGAGCTGGCTGTTGATGTACCCGAAATATTAGCAAAGTGGTCCATTGCATCGTTGTATATACAAGTAGCACGTACCATATACCGTCTACTTCACCATTTGGCCCGCGAGCAATAAGAGGCTCGTCGGCGTCCCCGAAGCGTTCCATCCTTCTCTTCCACTGAAAGGTGTCCCAGGAAGAAAGGTCCTGCTTGGAGGCCGCCATGGCAGCTAGTCGGGAAGCGATGTTGCAGTACGGCCAGTCTGCGTCAAAATAGAACGTTTAGATATCCACCGCCGGTCAGTATGGAAGGGAGGGAGGGCCGAGCGGGCTGAGTCAAGTACATGAGTGTAATCCGGCCTGCCAGCCCATTGAGTCAGTCAATTGATGCGCATGTCAACGCGAATAAGGAGACATACATTCTGAAATCTGTTTGCGATGGGAGTTCGTTCGCCTGTTTATATACGGTCAACAAGCAGGTTCATCATCCTATCATGCCGGACTTGTAACTACTCAGCGTCATACCATGTCGTAAAAACTGAAAAAATCCAGGTCAGCCTGACTGTCCATCAGCTCTAAATTAGTAGACGAAGATCTGGAGACTTACTATCTGCACCAGCTGGAGTTCGAGATCCTTTGGGTAGAGCTGCCGGAGCTCCTCGTCGGAGTAAGGTGCGCGGGGGATAAGCGTTGTCATTGTTGAGCCAGTCAGTATTGAAATATCGACCGGTTATTGACTAATATATATATAGGGCTTCTTTGAAGATGGAGTATGAGCAAACCCCCCAGTAAGGCTGATGAACCGGTGTCTTTTCCTAGCTGTCTTCCTAGCTGTTGCTCTGTAGACAGCTTGTGTTCGCTTTGTCTGTATGCTTCGTGTTAATGGTTTGGCCAGCCTGAGTCAGCCAACATTTAACTAGTTAGCTCCACACACTCCTAAACACGCTAACTGGTTAGTTAACCGAGGCAAGTAGTTATCCTTTAGTTACTCTTAGGACTATAAAAGATCGGCATAACATGCAATGTTCACCAACAGTATCAATTAGTGATGTGAAGGTAAGTAGGCGAGATTTCGTCAAAAATATAGCTTCTACGCTTCAACTCGCTGACTACGAGTGTAGGCTCGCTCTTTTGGCTCAGCTGTATATGGGCTAGAGCATCTCATGCTCAGCAACTCTCACGTCAAGCCCTGAAGCCATGGATGCTGTAGTGCTTGTTCTGCCGTTGGTCGTGTCTTGTCTTCGATAGTTAGAATATAGTGGATAAAGTCAACAAAACCCTTTGGAGCATTGACTTTGGCTAGCTCTTCTTCAAGAGATCCAACTTTGACAAGGCCGTGTTTCACAAAAATTTCTGCCAGGTCAAATTCAGCTTGGTATTTAGGGTCCTCATCTCGTTTTATGGGTCCAATGAGTTTGATGATATTGCCAATTGCCCAAGCAGACTTGTTCACTTCAAGGGGAAACTCCTGAGCACGACAATCTTGATCCCAGTTCCCAAAAATGACCCGATTTGCAAAGAAATGTGTTAACTATGTATGTCAATATCAGAAGTAGTTAGTAGGGTAGGATACTCGGGGTAAAACGGATAATTCAATAGGACCTACAGTCACACCAACAGACCACACCTGGCAGGGTGGGGTAGGTAACGCTCCCTTCCAAATTTCTGGGGCACGGATTTCAACCCCCTGTAGTCTACAGTGGTCAAAGCCCTCGGAAGGAATTACTAATAGATAAGGTAATAGTACGTAGATGGTTTGTAAAATGACATCTCTCAGGGAATAGGCAGCATACTTGCTCCAAGATCGCCGAGTTTGATTGTTGGTTTTGATAATTCCGCCTTAGAAACTAGGACGGATTAGGGTTAATATCTGTTGGGTTGATATCAATTCTCACGCGTTGTAATCATGTACGCTCTTCACAAATACCAGTATGCACGGCAGTGAAATGCCCATCCATATCTGAGAAGGCCTTTACAGCCTTGAGGATAAACCTTGCGGTGGCCTATTAAAAGGGTTGCCCGAGTTCCTGTGCCTTCGCCCTCAGTGACCATAGATCAGTATCTAAGTACTCAAAAACAATACACCGATCCGTCTCATTGTCAATGACTTCATGCATCGCTCTGATGTAGGGCAATTCGGCAACACAGCGGTAGCTATAGCAGTTGGCCTCGGTTTGGTATATGACGGGATCAGACCCCTCGGATCAGTCTGTTGTTAGTATAAATAACTATATGCTGAGTATCAAAACCGGGGAGGCAATGCAGCCAGGGTCACTCATATGGTGTGTTTGACCCCACGGTCGAAGCCTGAAAGACATTCTGCTTCAATGCTTTTACGACTTGGTATTGGCCTCGTCTGCCGTTAATTAGAACCTTTTTCCCCTTCGTCAAGAGGCCATAAATAGGACGAGGCATCTTGGGTGAAGCTGGAAGGACGTCACCATCCAGGCCTTGTTGAGTAAGGACAGTAACCAGTCAATGAATAGTGAGTGATAAAATTAAGTAGACAAAGCCAATTCTAGTTCTTATTGGCCATAAATAGTACATACAAATACATCCAATAGGAGCCATCGTTAAGCAAACAATTCTGTTTAGTTAGTCATAGGTGACTAATCTCATGTTCTCCCGATTTATATACGGGCCGTTCAAATAATAGAACAACTAGAGTCTTAGTTACTTCACCAACAGGATAATTAATTTATCAGGATATTATAATTCTTACTGGTCTCTCATTAGCCTGGCTGTCAATTATTGGATCGCCTACTCCGTACAGCGCTTCGCCTTGTACGCCACCAGCCTTTCGATACGGGAGCCGCCTTCTTTTGCCTTCCCTGGTGCGTCGTACAGTTCATATTCTATCCAGGGGACGTCGTATCCACGGCCAAAGAACGCCTGGGTTAATTAAATAATAGAGCCGTCTAATCACAGCGCTAGAGCTTATCGAGGATTGAGATACAGGCTGCCCAGCTCGATCTGACCAGATCAAGGTGCAGTGCGTTCCCGGTGTTTTTGTGTCTCTTCTGCGCCTGCGTCTGCTTCCTGTCTCGAGACGTGAGTTAACCAGATATACCGAACTACCAGCATCCAGGGTCTTTCAGCCGCTTGTTGTAGCTCTCTTGGGTTTCAGCTCGCTCTGCCTTTCTCGCCCTCGTCGGCCGAATTATTGAATCCTGCCGTCGAGCCGCAGGCTGAAGGCAAGGCGAAAAAGGCCCGTCAACCACTCAGCAATGGAGGTATGACACCGCTCTTCTCCCTTCTCCCTCTTCCTCTTCGTCCAATTTTCTTCTTTCTCGTTTTTCTTTCATATTACCCGGTGCCCCCTTTTTGTGGTGGAGGGCTTGTTTTCGTTCCTTTTTCCCCGTCGATGGAGCTCTCTCTCTTTTCCCCGGTTTAGTCTGCCCAAGGACGTCCAGGGCGTGTCTCAAGCCCGCCAAATATGAAATGTCCTCTCTTATTGTTTCGTTTCCCGGAGTTAAGGTGAAAATCAGCCAGCGTGGTACCGTCCCTTGGTGATGATGGTGATCATGATCACCTCCCCTTTTTTGACATGCAACACGATTGGCGGCTCTGGGAGACGCCATCGGGCCTTGTTTCCATACGACTATCTTCTATCTTGCCGTGACCGGTTTATATTAAGATGTTCGCCCGCAAGACTCCCATCTTCCTTTTCAGCTCGGCTTTTCCCGTCTTTTTTTTTTTTTTTGGTTTTCATTTCTTCTCTTGTTCAGCCCTGCATTTGCTTCTTCCTCCACACTTGCGTCAGAGTATCCGGTGGAATGGATACGTTCCATACCCTCTAGATGCCACATTCTATAGCTCCAGCCCTTCACACTCCAGATTGTCGACTGTTTTGATACATCGCACTTGACAACGGCGGTCATGCTGTGTACGGCCTTTCTATGGCGCTGCACAAGGTCGTGTTGAAAAAACCTTCATGTACTCCCAGGATCCCGTATATCCCTATCCTCCTTCCTCCTGACGGGCTACCACCTATATACCCTGTTCCGCTTCTTCTCGCATAGAGTATATTTGAGCCCCCATCTTGCATGATATGATGGCAGCCACACTACCCAGACGGGTACGCCCGACCATAGACCAAGGCCAGGAGCGTCTTATCTATTCAAACACTTCCCTTCTGCACGGTCGCCCCCCAGTCATTAAATCTAGAGCGCAGCTAAGTCTTGAGGAAAATTTACAGACAAATGCCTCCCAGAGTCAAGCGGCCGCTCGGCCTGCTCAGATATCCAACCCAAAATTCCGTGAAACACGGCCACGTCTTCTATTAATGGGCCTACGAAGGTTTGTGTCAGTTTGCCTTGTTTTAGTGACCTCGTACTGATACGTTACGTGCAGAAGCGGAAAGTCCTCTATTCAGAGTGTTGTATTTCACAAAATGCCACCGACAGAGACTCTTTTCTTAGAATCTACAACACGTATCCAAAAGGACGCAATTCAGTATGTTTACCCGATGCTATGTTAAATCACAATGTCACTTGTCTGACATGGATATAGCTCCTTTATGGATTTTCAAATCTGGGATTTCCCTGGGCAATTAGAGTATCTAGAGCCGTCATTTGATCAAGAGGAGTTATTTAGTAATCTGGGGGCCCTGGTTTGGGTGATTGATGCCCAGGACGATTACCTGGAAGCTGTCACTCGGTTGAACAAAACCATACTTATGATCCAGCAGTACTACCCGCACATAAACATTGAAGTCTTCATCCACAAAGTAGATGGGCTCTCGGAAGAATACCGCTCTGATACTTTTCAAGACATCGTCCAACGCATCTCTGACGAGCTAAGTGATGCTGGCTACGAAAATGCACCAATACATTACTATCTAACATCAATATACGATTATTCCGTTTTTGAGGCCTTCAGCAAGGTGATTCAAAAGCTGATTCCTCAGTTATCAACGCTGGAGAACCTCATCAATATCCTCTCAAACAACTCCGGCATGGAGAAAACTTATTTGTTCGACGTCCTTAGCAAGATATACATTGCCTCTGACACAAGGCCAGTAGACATGGCATGCTACGAGATGTGCTCCGACTACATTGACGTTATTGTCGATATCAGCGAGCTATACTCCTGGGACCACCCTGACCGAAAGGCTAAGGGGCCTCAAGTATCAGAAGCCGAAAGCCATGTTATCCTTCACGATAAATGCATGATCCATTTAATGGAAATGAACAAGTAGGCCAGCACACTCGCCTTTTCACAACTGAATAACCTCGCTAACATTGACTCTCTATAGATATCTGTGCCTTGTTTCCGTGATCAAGAACCCGGACGCAAAAGAGAAGAAAGGGCTCATCGACATGAATTGCCGGACCTTTCAAGATGCGCTCAACGAGGTGTTTAGTAGGACATGGGACCATGAGTAATCCATAGATGGTGGCATTGGGCGGCTATTTGTTTTCAGCATCAACATACTATCTTGAAAGACAAAAAAAAAATGTTGCGTAAGGGAGGCTGTATTGAATGCTTCGAAGTTGTCATTAATGAAAGTTAGCGGTCGCTGTATACACACACAGTTAGTTACCATGTGGTTAAGCCGAAGAAATAGACATGCTTTATAACATTCATCCACATAAAACCAGTAGTTCTTGCTGCGTTGTTAAATTCAATGCCAAATTTCTATTGATCTAAATACCTGTTATCTGCGTCATTGTAGTTACATGTGACCGCGGCTCAGCTGCAGGGTGACAATTTATTTTCGACGTCAACACCATCAACACCTGCAGCCCCAAAGAATAACCAGTTTAGGGTTTTTGGCCATATATCTCCTTTAAACCAGGCAGAGAGTATACCTGGTGTTTATTAATCTTTTGAGTGTTGCAATGGCCAATGTACGCTTCAGAGTCAGGGTAAGATTACTATCCCCAATTACAGGCTGAAGCGTGAGCTGATGTTATCCCAAGAGCAGCAACTATTCCCCGGAAGGCTTCGAGCAGTTCGATGATAGCGTATACCCCGGCAGGAGAACGGCGGTGGTGGAGGAATTGAACACAAGTGATGAAGAAGATGAGGGAGCCGCCCAGGTCGAGCCAACTGATGAGAAGACAGAGCAAGATGACAGCCCCAGCAGCATTGGGCTTGTCGATATATTACGGTTCATATTCCTGGTTATCATTGTATCATCAGGTTTATCCTACTACATTACTTCCGATTCGATAATATGGGGGTACCAGCGGCCATGGTTTACAAGGCCGCAAGTTTTGCTGAGATACATTGTGAGCATCACATTCCTGGCAAACTGCTTTTGAAGGAGTAATTATACTAACGCAATCGCTCATTTAGAAAGGCCCTTTGATCCTCTCTCGCTCCGAACTATCACTATACAATGGCACAGACCCCAATCTCCCCGTCTACGTCTCCGTCAATTATACCTTATACGATGTCTCTGCAAACCGACGAATGTACGGACCGGGGGGAGGCTATGGTTTTTTCTCTGGTCGAGATGCAACCCGTGCATTCGTATCGGGTTGTTTCAAAGAAGACCTGACCTCCGACCTGCGCGGGTTAGAAGAGATGTATATGCCCATCGAAGATGTACCTGATGAGGACTTGACCAATGCCCAAAAAAAGATTCGACGAGAGAAGGAGTTAAGAGATGCACGAGCAAATGTTCGGCGGCAGGTTTTACACTGGCAAAGCTTCTTTGCTGATAGCCATAAGTACTTTGAGGTTGGCAAGTTGATACGTGATGGTGAAGACGAGAAAGTGGAGAAAAGGGAGCTTTGCGCAGGCGCTCAGGCAGCAAGGCCAAAGAGGTCGGAGCTGAAGAAAGGAGCAGCAGCTAAGAGCCAGCCTACATATCCTCCAGGCGTGAAGAAGGGGGGAAACCACTGAATAGCGTTATGTCTTATATATATATATATATACCGTATCGATGTTAAGGTATAGAATTATAGGCAGCGTCCCAGAAGATATTGAGATATCTGACACGAGAAAGTAGTAGAAGACGCAGAAGTCGTTAACTTTTGCTTGATTGGCGTGGTATCTGAAGCGGTCTTCCTTTTTCTAATTCCGTTTTCATTTTCGGATGGCTGAATATTAAATAACATTAAGCCTCATTTGTACCATGCGGAAGGTTCCCTTTTTCCCATTTTCGTTTCAACCAACGAGATAGCAAGGGGCCAGGCACTAATGGAAGAGGAAAAAAACGAGAAAACATCATAATATTTCTCGTCGTCGCTACATGATGAACCGTGTCAAGTAAACGTAAGGTGTAACGCCAGAGGAATACAAAAGGAGAACAGAAAAGATATCCTAATGTGTTTTTTTTTACTCGGCGGCAACGGCACGGGCTAGATTGAAGAGGGAAAATATTAGCTCATTCCTCCACGTAAAAAAGCCGAAATATCAGGTTCCGCAGTACTCGGAACTCTGCGGATAATAGTGGTGTTGACATACTGTAGATGTTCATCTTAGAGTGTCCAACAACCTTCTTGATCTGGCCCTTCTCCTCGAGGTCGGCGAGGGCTTGTCGGGCAAGGGAGCCGTTGACCTTTAGTCTGTCGACGAGGGTTGCGACGGTGATCAATCGGTAGGACTGGACATCCTTGTAGAGCTTCTCAGAGGTGGCCTTGTCGAGAATGACGGCGTGGACAGCCTTGTCCTTGACTATCCAGAGCATTAGCTATCCGTTCCTCTTCCGCTTTTCACACCTTGTACACCGGGGTTCATCATGACGTTGTTCCGCCGCATCTTCTCAATCGAACATCGCCAAACAACCGGGTGCAGGTGAGCGCACCACTTATCCTGGATAGGAATATCTCTTACCCTTTCCCTTTGACCACTTCTTCTTTTGCTTCTTGCCGCCGGCGGATGCTGATGGTGCCTGTACATCAAGTTGTTAGCAACGCTGCCGGAACGTCGGGAAAAGCTACCGGAGTCGCATGACAGCTATGCGCATAGCCGTAGCCTTCCTTTCCGGTGAGCAGCACCAAGAATACTGACCATTTTGGATGAACTTGCGGATCGTTGTCGACGAGAAGAATCAGCGACAGGAAAGAATCAGCTTCGTCTTTCTTTTCGACGTCGCCAAAAATTTACCAAGTGGGGTATGACTAAGCAGAGAGCCCTAAGCCCTACTTCTCCCAAAGGATCAGATGCTGCTTTAATTATTAGTAATCTAAATCGGTGCTGCTTTAAAATTCTATTATGTAATTATTAATATTATTTTTATACAATTTTCTTTATTTTTCTCTATTTTTCAGTCTTTGGGAGAGGAAAATCAGCGTCGCCCAAGGAAGGCAGAAGATACGCAGCGTCATCGATGGCGGCCACTTTATGCAGTTGAGTTGATGGGCCTGTGCTGGTGAGATACCCAATTTCGTACCCTCGCTGCCCTCCAACCCAGAAGAGACCACCCATCTCTTTGTCCGTCTTGATCCAGTCTGCTTCGGCTCGTCCGCGTAGGTTGCGAACCACAGCCCCGCGAGGACTTCTGCCACAGAGCCATTGATGAACTGTTAGCGTGGTATCCTCTCCGCTTACAGTCATTAAGAGATCTGGGATTTCGTTGTTCCAACACAGCTGCTTGATGCTGGCGCTGTGGACAAGGGCTCCTGTCAAGGTCGGCTTGCTGCCCTCAACAGACCACATCCAAGCTATGTTTGGCATGCTTTCATCAATAGTTACAGCTGAGCTGCTCGTAGGATTGAATGATATGTTTGAGACGATGCGGTCCTCGGGTGATAGGTTGTAGGTGTATGGAAACACAGGTGATTCTGGGCCCAGCATGTAATCTGTGATATCTGGTACTCCCGATTCCTGTTCAACATAAACGTCGCGTCCAATAGGCTCCGTGGTTGGATCTCCCAGAACCGCTATAAGCACAAACTTTTAAATTCCAACAGAGTAAGCATTAGGATGAGTGTCAATGTGGCATATAGTGAAAAGACGTACCGCTGTTCCACTTATCAACTCAACGGTGCCGTCATGCCTACCAATAGCCAAAAGCTGAGAATCAGGACTCCATTCAACTGTTCTGACACCGAAGTCGTGATCATCTTCTCCAGTGCTAGATCCTTCATAGCTCCTAAATCTTTGGCCATCTGCTGTGTAAATTACTACCATAGTGCCTTGGCTAGCAGTATCCCATACAGCAATCCAATTACCATCAGGGCTCCATTTCAGGCCTCTTGCGTCCGTAGTAGGAAGATTCACAACCGTGATGACTTCATAGGATCCAACTTCATGCAATGATAGAACATCTCCTGTATTCCCTTTAGTCAATACCGCAAGGTGCCCTGACCTTGGTCGAAATGCATAGGTTGAATGTCCCGCAAACTTTGGGCATTTGATAACTCGCTGATGGCCTGATAGAAGGGAGAATATCGTCAAATGTGTGTTAAATTCCGGCATAGCAATAATTTCATTGCCCGATGGAGAGAAGTTCACATGGACCAGTCCCGTGTTCTCCCCAGCATCTATTTTCGCTGACCATGTTTCGTCATCGGCATCATAAACGAAAATTTTATTTCCCCCTCCGCATAACACGCGCGGTGCGATGGCATTATTGTCGCTTTGTCCAGGTAAAATCTGCTCTCCAAGCTCTCCAAAAGTCCATTGTAAATACTTCACAGGACCGATCAAGTCTTGCAGGGGGATTGGCCGAATATCCCCGTCTCCTTTGAGGGAATGGATTCTTAGCTCCTTGTCTGCTGTTGTGGCAGCATATCGACCGTCGTTAGACAGAGAATAAGGCATGTTGGAGTTATAACTTATAAATACTTGAGCGGTTAAGTAGTTAATATATCCGAAGGGCCTGGAGTGGCACCTGGCAGTGGATAGTCTTGTTATTGTTTACAATTGAATTTTGGTGTTAAGTAGTCCGTTATATTTAACTACCTATTTAGTTATTTATTTAGTTAGAATGGAAACTCAAAAAATGCAAACGTAACTTGGCTGTCATAACCACCAAAAACTACCTAGAAGATTAGGTTGTTAAAGCAACGAAGGTGGTTGTACTCCGTACAAATTGCTAGAAAAAATAACCACTAACCCTGGTAACTAAGTTACGCCGGTAGTTAGTGTAGGCGAAAATCCCAATATATAGAAAAATTGGGTATCGCTTGCCTATTCTATGCAAGTACTATCAAATATTAAGTTAGATCAATCACTTCAACGTTATGGCTGCTGGGAGCCTCCCTAGGATTTAAATCTAATGTCGCTGAGCGTTTTCTCCCACCGGTATCGGGGCCGGGGTTTCCGATGTAGTAGTCCACCGGGTGGTCCTTAACAACAATATCAAGAGCCATTAACGACTTATATGACGCAGAGCCAAGGTATTCCTCGAGTCGAGTAGGGGAGCCAATGCTGTTTATATTCTTCAAGGCATCAGCAGCCCTAGCCTTCCATAATGTGGCTGGATCTCCAAGCTTGGTGATGACCAAGGTAAACGGATTACCGAAACGATGAGTTTCATGGCCAATTGTCTTATCTTTATTGAGGGCTTTGTGTATATGGAATCGACGGCTTGAGCCCATCTTTAGCTCTAGTACCTTTCGAGTACCGCTTTGCAGAAAGTCATTAAGCTGCGTGCAATCACCGCATCTACATTGTGTCGCCGATTGGCGTTTCCAGCTCGACGCCGCTTCACTTCTCGGCTGGACGTATATTAAAACGTATTCCAAGATCATCCCGAGGACAAAACTCGACTCCGCGGATGCACTTTCAAAGCTGGTTATACTCAGGAATCCAGACACCATATCTCGAATGAAAGGGAGAAGTACTTCGGAGAAAGCTAGGTTAATTGACTCGCAATTCCTCATGGCCTTAAGAATTCCAATACGAAGAGTGGATAGGGATATATCGAAAGACTGGCACTGTCTGTAAAGACTGATCAAGTCTCCACTCTCAATACCCGAGGAATTATACTCTGGCCGTGTCCTGGCATTCCCGGTATAAGATGCACGTTTTTCAACAATGCCCTGGTCCAGGTTAAAATCCTGCATCAGATCAGTGAGAGCTAATCGGTAGAACGCGGGGAATCCTTCAACGGCGAGATCACCTGTTGTAAAGGAATCTCCTAGTTTAATAAGGTAAGACGCAGTAATACCACATGAGTTCACCTGTCTTCGTAACTTCATTGTTCTAAATAACGAGTTAGAGAAGGGAAGCTTGCCATATAGATGAGTGAACTGCGGGAAAATTACTCTTGTAGTCTGCCAATAGTCGGATATAACGTAACTATGCGGACGATATGGTCTAGTTCGTCTCTGCCGCCATATCGAAGTTTCGGTAGCAGGTCGAGAAGTTTAAGCTCCCTCCAAGTCAGCAAATCATTCCATTCGGCCGGCCTTTTGTCGTCTGGGATTGCAAGGCACGCTGAGACGAGACCGTCCGCAACTGAGACTTGGTTTTTTGGGGATTCCCGAGCTTTCAGAAAGGTATCATTGAGTCTGAATTTCTCAGTGTTAAAGTCTACTAATCAGGGGTCTATTTTGGCCAATATGAAGGAGCAAACTTACATATTCTTCACTGCTGCATATTCCTGGCCGATCAAAGACCCAGCTATACATGGGTAGACCTCTGGAGACACAAAGGCTGCATGTAGTTTTATGGCATCATCGAACAGTTTGTAATCCCTCATCGTATAGCAACCCTGAGCTATTGTGCTAAGGATAGCATCGGAAAATAGAAATGTGAAAGTACTAGATGTGTGCCAACTCGATTTCAAAAGTTCACGGGATTTTTGGTAAGCTTGGTTATGCGCCAGAACCAACTTTGCTAGCTGGATGAACTCTTCACGCGATTTGGAGCCATCGGGATCGTTTATTAACGGCAGCAACCTTTGAAGCCACGCTGACAGTTCGTTCTGATTGCTTCCCTTTATGCCTCGAAAGCGAAAGTAAACATTTAAACTTTCGGGAACAATAACTACAGCCTATTCATGATTTCAGTAAAGTGATATAACGGCAGTATGAGTAGTCTAGCCTACCGTGTTTCGATAAAAGTGGGATACGGATGTGCCTTCGTTTCCTGTATAGCCCGAGTACTCCTCATCCGTAGGAGTTCCACGTAGGACACTCTTCTGAATATACTCGGAATTCTCAACGGGAACTTCGCTGCAGACGGTTTTTCCTTGTGAGTCGATTACCGGTTTCATCCTGGTGGTATCTTGACAGATATACTCAATCTCATAATAGCCGTCTGCGTTTTTGTAATCGTCGCATGGTCCATCAACCATTCGCTCTACGTTTCCTAAGTAAAGGTGAAAGCCTGTTTCTTCGCATGCTGCCTGGAGTTCAGCCATACGAGGGCGGTCTGAGCCCTTCATCCGGTTAAAACTCAGGCCGGAGTCGGTGTACATGTGGGAGAGCTTGTACAGGAGCCAATCCGGACCATCGGATTCAACTCTAGATTGCCAAAACTTTAATGCATTTATCAATGGCGTAGACTTCGAGCTAGGAGCAGATGGCACTCCACTCGAGCCTTCCAGGATCAAATTGTAGGTTAGGACTAGACGATGTCCATTGGTGATGGGTTTGATCTGGTGGAAGATATCCGAGTACCACGCAGCATACGAGAATCCAGCTTTTGATGTGGTGGAGGTTTTGAATTTCATGCGTTTGCCTTGATGATTGAGAACGATTTCACCTCCTTCGTGCTCTGTAGGCAAGCAAATGACCAAAGTAGCAAACATTCCCTCTGCCTTTGTAGAGTCCTGATGGGACAGAAAGAATGCATCCTTTTCGTAAAGGAGAAGTTTGTAGGGGTCTGCTCTGATTGAGCCCGCCTTATCAGCAACCCCTAGGCCCTTGATAACATCAGCGACAATCCTCTTCATGTAGTTACCCCATTCAGGAGTCGTGATGCTGAACTCGGTAGTATTCAGCTCCCAGCATTTCCGGACAGACGTATCAACCAGCGTCTCCTCTCCCTTTCCGAACGGACTTCTGTGACAGTGATCGATAATGGCTTTGGTATCATCAGAGGACAGGGGCAACTTCACCACCCGATTAAGTCCGTTGATATGGAGGTTTGGGTTCAGTATTCCATTTAGACCGCAGAAATACGCAAAATCGCCATTCGAATCGATTGTTTGTAGCGCCTGATGTATCCTTTTCTTGATATCTTCTGTTTCTAGAGTGTCTTTATCTGGGTCTTCTTCATATGTGTCTTCTTCATATGTGTCGTCTTCATCTGTGTCGTCTTCATTTGTGTCGTCTTCATCGTCTTCCAGATCGTCCACGGTGGACCATTCCTCGTCACTCATGCTTGCGACTCGGTACAAGCTGTGTGTAAACTAGTATAAAAGAGTAACTACGTTGCCACAGATTCCACAATCGAGATGTATGTATATTGTTTTGTGAAAGCTCTAATGTCTCATTTCGACTGCCTCAAAGAAGCCAAGGCCCACAAAAGTCGCGCGCAGACGCGTCTCTCACGCGAGGTAAATTCGTCAATACGCGCGTTAACCGGCTTTTAGCGGACTTCTAAGCGCAACCTTCAATAGTGAACGAGTACTTAGGTATTCATTAGGCGAACGGCGAGCAAGATACTGGTATTCAGAAGTAGAGCAGCCCCCACTCTTGATGGATGCAGCTCTGTGCTCATGTTTGTTAAATGATATTGTAATTTAGCAGCCTCATTGGCCCTAGCGAATTTCCGGCTTAAAGATGTAGTTAACTGGGTAGTTAAAAGGAAAGAGAAAAAAAGAAGCCATGAAAATCCCGAAAATATAATGGGGTATTCCATTGTGAAGTAAATCTAAGTAATTTATATTGACCTTGAGGGAGTAGAAACAAGATAGTGAATTTTCTCCAAATTGCATTAGGGGATCTAGTTATCCCTTTCAAGATTTAGTCTTCTGTTTGCTGTAACTATGGCAGCCCCCCTTTTTACGGTCAAATAGCGTCCAAACTTGGGGCATTGGCTGTAACGAGCAACGACTAACTCCAACCAGCACATATGATGGGTACATGCTCTAGGTTTGCCTTTTTTAGAAATGCCTTCGCAATGCGGTCTACCGCTGTCGAAGCTATGGTACACAGACAGATTCAGTATGTCAAACCACTGCTCCTTACCAGGCTACTAGTAACATCCAACATAGTCAAGCTTCCTCTAAGCTTTCTTCAGGCAAATACCAGCTTCAGCCATAAAAAGAACGGAGGGAAATCAGATTCTTGCTGCTCAACGGCTGAGACGTCCGGTTGCTCCGCATCTGTTCATATATGAATGGCAAGTGACGTCGGTCAACTCATCACTCCAACGCATCTCTGAGGCTATTCTATCCGGTGGTCTGTATCTTTTTAGCGCGTCCTGCCTGGCATCCCCATATCTTGGTTTGGACCTATCATCAGATACCTTATCTACTGCTATGGCGACTTGCCATGGTCGGGTAAGGCTGCGGTGAAATTTGTCATTGTTTGGCCATTTATATGTGGTAGAGGAGAGTATCCTTGGTACTAAACCTGGGTACCTACTGGGAACCAAATCATTTGTATTAAGAGAATATAAGCTGCAGCCCGTTATCATGTCAGCCACTCGGCGAAAATGCTGTTGTTGTCTTCCTGCAGCCTTGTGTCACTGTAAGCTGTACGTGGTAGAGACGAATGTTGAACAATATACCCAGAATGTGCCTCCAGGGTTTTATAGCAAAAGTCCAAGCTAGATTTTGCTGCCTTCATTACGTGATTTTTCACGTCCTTCCCCTCCTGGATGGCTTTAACTTGAGCTAATGCACAAGAACATAACACATAAGCTTCGACATTTGTGTCTCCCGCCCGCAGGCGCTGAACAAAGACTTCAGTGGACTGTTCTATGGTTTCTTGAAACTTGCTATGGGACAGGCTATGGGTCATCGGGAATGAGTCTTCTTGTAAGCCGTTTACCAGTTCAACACAGATTATGACACTTGCCTGCCATAGCATGTGTCTAAATACGCCACAGCTTAGCACCCTTGAGTGAGAGACCTCACTTGTTGGTACTTGGGAGGTATGCGGCGGGTGGGTATCAGACAAAAGCACCAAAGCCGTTTCGGTGACACACTGCCGACTGAAATAGACGGACGGGTCGGATTTTGCTTTGGCAGCGAACGGAGCATGTAGAGCTAGAAGAAACCGACGAGTAAATATATGAAAGACTTTTATTTGAAAATAATTTGGCCTTTTCGATATATAAGACTGGAGAGCTGTTGAATGGGAACGAATAGCGGCGGTCAATTCAGAGCTCAGTTGTAGGGTATCTTGATAATTTCGGCTGGGGGTAAAGGCATTGATTAGCCGAGCAATTTTGAGTCGTGTCCGTATCGTTTTCATAAGTAGAATCTGGATGGTCGTCTGAGTAAAATTATCCAGCGAATCTACAGAAGCGTGAATATCTCCATGGATATCTATCTGGGAATCATCAATATTCCACGGCAACTGATAATCAAAGTCCCCGCTAGAAATAGGGGGAGGCATCCCGGAATCAAGGCTTAGCTGAGTGGAAATCTCCAAAACTGTGGCCCACAGCCGTTTCCTCATCTCTGCTTCAAAAACCGGTATTGCGGGATATATATAATGGGGATCTCGATGCAGTTGTAGGCTAATTGCAATTCGAAGTGGGAACTCTGCAGATATCCAAACCAGTTCTGACGCTTCTACAGCTGTAAGCCGTGCAACTGATAGCAGGCAGGAAACTTGAAGAACATCGAGGTCGACTTCCGACATTTCGAACTTATGGCATAGCCATTCCTGTGCGCCGTATACCCACTTAGACGCGAGTGAGTGTAGAGCCTGTTGGTGTGCTTTAACCGCGTTTTCTGGCTCCTCATAGAAAGATATTCCGGTCGTCATGACGAGTAGCAGCTTTTGCATAAAAACTTCGCTTGAATCCAGTGGATTATTCCAATATACTTGGTATTCCCGCTGAAAAGATGGAACATGTAGTATTCTGAACACAGATTCAAATGTGTGAGTATATAAGTATACAAGCCGATCACAGATTTGCTTAGGGGGTATTTGTGGTAGTGTAGATACCCCAGCAAAGCCGTTACTTCTGTCAGTTGACCGTTTGGCTTTGATAGTCTTTGCTAGCTGCCTGCACTTGGTAATCAAGGGTACGATTTCAACATGTTTGTCGGATGGGTTTGATATAGCATCCTTGAATAAAAAATCTACTCCATCAAGCTGTAAAAGTTAGTCAGCCGATCTTGTAGCGTATATTAACTTCATGTTAAAAGGTTTATAGAATAATTTTAACCTACTGTAGCCTGAATATAGTTTTTGTTTTCTTCAAGGCTCGACCCTTTAGAAACACTTCTCCAGCTACTACCGAGTGATTGTATGATGCTGCTATTACTGGTTGAATGCTGAAGGGGACAGTTATCAACTGCAGCTGGAGGACTACTCCCATTGCCAGATGACGTAGCTGCTACATATTGCGCAGCATTAGAAGACTCTAGCATTACCTGAGAATCCACTGGTTGATCAAGAGTATTGCTGGGAGAATCCCAGAATGGCACCAGCTCGGATGGCGTGAACAAGGTGGAATCAGGGGCATTGGACTGGTCCGTACCTGTGCTCGACAGGGGCCGGTGAAGGGTAGACGATGAGAGGTGATCGTTTGGCCAGGTATTCATAGGGCCAGGAAGTCCGCGGTATGCGCATGTCAGTGATGACTGGGTACATTGGCTGCATGGAAAGCTGCGGTCACACTTGACCTTTCGTCGCCGGCAGTCAATACACACCACCGCAGGCCGGCGTCGTTTCGGCGCTGGACTTTCCATGTCAAAGCCACGAAGGAATGGTATAGTTAGTTACCGTACTTCTAGGTGCTGACAACTAGACAGCGTTATCCTCTGTATTTGCTTGAAAGGCCATCTTTCCTCCTCCATGGCCTGTCCATCTCCATCTCGCATCCGTTGTTGGTATGTCGTTGCAACAAAACCCAGGGTAGTTACGGAGTACGGAAGAAGTTGATCTTTAGCGAGCCAATAAAAATCGCCAAAAGCCAAAAAAATGATTGGCTGAAAATAGACGTTGATCTGCCGCGGCGAAGCCCAATCGGGTCTCCGCTTTCATCGCTTGTTCGATATTAAAATCGCTTGTTTCTGTCAACTATATAAATGGACTGTTTGGAACCCCTGAAGGGAGTTGGTTATCACCAGATGCTATGTACTCCGTAGCTAATAACATAGTAATATAACTAGTCATAAGATACGAATCATGACCTCTGGAAGGCAAGACCCTGTCATCGTTGCGTCCTGCAAGCAGACTCGGTTCCATCTGGCTGAGGGGAAGAGTTCAGGCGAGGTAACTGGTTATTTCAAGCATGTGTATGGAACGATGCTTAGGATAGCTACTGACTCCTGTATAGATCGATATCCAGGGGCTGGATATACTCATTGCCTCTCGTCCATCTCAGAACCAGGATGCAGAGTCATCAGGCGCCGGAAAGGTGAAAGCACGGAAGAAAGAGAAAGCAGGCATGGGGGTCGAGATTCTCACAGGTGCGAATCTTCGACTAAAGGCCGGAGTCCACTATGGCCTTGTTGGTCGGAATGGGACCGGAAAGTCAAGTAAGACTAATCCCGGAACTCTTGTCGACAGAATTGACACCTTATGTTGACATGCATGAATAGCCCTACTCCGAGCTATGGCCGACAGGCTTATACCTGGGCTACCTGAGTCCGTTAGGATTGCAATTCTTCAGCAAACCGACGTTGAAGTTGATGTTGATCCTGTGGCATCGGTGACTGGGGAAACAGCGGCATTGCAAATCAACGACGAACAATCAAAAAAGGAGCCAAAGACTGTTCTACAGCAGGTTGTGCAAAGTGATACATCACGGAACGAGATCACACGGAAAGTAAAAAGTATGTAATTTTCTGTCACCATTTGATGTTGAGTGATGCTGAGAGCATTGGTGATAGTCCTATCACATGCGCTGGAAGACCAGGAAGACTCCCTAGCACCAGTAAAGGCCATCAGGCAGCTACGCCACGAAGCCTGTCAACACCAGCTGTTTCTGGCTCGGAAGAATGCAAGCCTGAGAAGTGGTGCTAGAGGCCTACAGGCTAGAAAGGACTTGAAGGCAGCGGAGAGCAAGCTTGAAGAGTCCACAGGGTGGTAAGTCGATCTACCTAAAGAAGGAGTATTACCACTTACCAGGAACAGTCTCAACGAAGATCTTACAGCATTGGATGACTCTAAAATTCAGGAAGAGACCCAGGCGGCAGTTGAGTTACTTGCGGACGTAGAGGCTCAGCTTGAAAGTGTACGTACCTTGGGCTAATCGAAGCATGTCCTGTGCTAATTGAACGTCGTGTTTAGATTAACGTTGTAGACCTGGACCAAGAATCTCGAAAAGTCCTTCTGGGTCTAGGCTTTAAAGAAACTGATTTTGACAGACCGTTTCTATCTCTATCAGGAGGTTGGCGTATGCGATGTATGCTGGCTGGAGCACTGATTCAGAGTGCCGATATTATGATCCTGGATGAACCAACCAACTTTCTCGACATGTTGGGTGTGATATGGCTGGAAACATATCTCAGCCGAATGCAAGAGGGTTGTGATAAGACAGTGGTAGTGGTTTCCCACGACAGGGCGTTTCTCAACAATATATGCGAGGAGCTTATAATCCTCAGGGACAAGACGCTTACTTACTTCAAGGGCAATGTCTCTGCGTATGAGCAGGACCAAGAGTCTCAGAAGCTTTACTGGGGGCGTATGAAGGAAGCGCAAGAACGACAGACTGCTCATATTGAGAACACGATCAAGAACAACATGAAGATAGGCAAGAAGACAGGAGACGACAATAAGCTGCGAATGGCCAAATCCCGGCAGAAGAAGCTGGATGACCGGATGGGGGTGCAAGTAAGCGCGACGGGAGGCAGATTCAAGCTGAGTCGTGACCGGGTTGGATGGCATGATTCTATGCGGGCTGAAATTGAAGTCCCAGCGGACGAGAAAGGGGTATCGATTGGCCTTCCGGATGCGCCAGACCTAAGGTTCCCAGGGCCTCTGCTCTCGCTGGAGGGAGTGACATACCAGTATAAACGCGGTGGCCCCGTTGTACTCAAGTCCGTTGACCTGGTAATGCACATGGGTGACCGTGTAGGTATCCTGGGCCTCAACGGGTGCGGTAAGTCAACGTTACTAAAACTGCTGGTGGGAGCCAACGAGCCAACACAGGGGAAGATATCTCGCCATCCCCGACTGAAGCTGGGCTACTACTCTCAACACTCGGTCGAGGAGCTCCAGGAGCTCGGCAGATCATCACCGACAGAGACGGGACTGAGCCTTCTCTGCCGGGAGACTGAAGGCGTGCTCGACGAAGGAGAAGTCAGGGGTATGCTCAGTTCGCTGGGATTGCCTGGACGGACGGCGTCAGACGTCCCCGTCTGCCAGCTGTCGGGTGGACAGCTTGTTCGGCTTGCCCTTGCGCGGATCCTCTGGCCGATGCCACACATCCTGGTGCTTGACGAGATTACAACGCATCTTGACTTCCACACCGTTCTTGCACTGGCTGCAGCTCTCTCATCGTATAATGGGGCACTGCTCCTGGTTTCCCATGACCGATACCTGGTTCGGAAGGTGGTCGAAGGCAAGGAGAACCTAGACGGTGATGATGACGGCGGAACGACAGAGCATGAAGCCAAGGGCCACGGAACGGCAGCAGTGGATGAGTCTCAACGCCGAGACGTCGTTGTGCTCAAGGCTGGCAAGCTGCAGCTGCAGGAGGATGGAGTCGACCAGTTCGAGGCCAGCCTGCAGAAACGGGTCCGGAAGATGGTTGCTTAGCCGGCTCCAGCGGATATTCACAGACACCCACACAGCGGGACAGCGTGCCGGGCCATAAGCAGATGTCGAATCTGGAGACGATGGGTACATATGATATGGGGGAATGGGTTTCCCCGGGAATTTGATCTCGCCTCTCGATGCATCTGGATCGGTGCCTGGCTATCTGACCAGTGTAATATCCGCTGGAAGGGCGGGACACTAGAGTATTTCTGGCTTCACTCAACGGTCTCGTCTCGCCAAAGGAGACGCCTTGGGAACAGTCATGAGGCCCAAGTCCATATTTTTGAGTTGGCAGGGCGTCCGTATCGCTGCTGGAGAATTACAAAGACGGCCGTCTCTCTGTTTCTGCAGTCCCCAGCGCCTCTCCACCGGCTTGGTTTGATATATGGAGTCGAAGATGGAGAAACATGGAGAAGCTGAGAATTGTCTAGGGAAAATGTCAAAATCCACACCTTGGCCAACAGTAGTTATATTATTCTATGCGGAGTATCAAAATATACGTGTTCGCCGTCTGGTTGTAGTGTCCTGTCTGGTGCGTACAAAAGCAGTGCAGATAGTAGTAGTCTGTAGTTAGCTGTATCAAATAGCTACGACAACCAACGTCGAATAAGGTCCATGCAGAACACAACGCCGTCAAGACTTCGGCAAGACATCCGCTTGTCTTCTGGAAAATGTTAGCTCGGCTTGTGATCCTTGGGAAAAAATCCCATAGCACAGAGAATATACGCAACGCGGAAGACGTGGGATGGGACTGGTCGGTGGAGAGCTCAGTATCGTGATAATGGATCAGCGCAGCAACGGCAAGACAACGATTATCAATCAAACCAGCGCGAAAAAGACTCTGGCAAAAGCAAAGACGAGAGACAAAAGAGACGAAAAACCGGCGATTGGCTTGAAACGGCGGTTATACGGAGGATAAACCTTTGCGCGTCTCGTAACAACGGGCTGAACCATGACTTTGAACGCCCTTGCAGATGGCTTGTACGACGAAGAAAAGGCTTGTGAGTCAAGAGTCAAGAGTCAAACCGGCGGACATGACGGACAGAAGGACACAGAGATTTGAATTTGGTCTAATGGGGTGCTTGATGCTGGCCTCTGCAGCGGTATAGCGGCTATCGTGATATAAGGGAGCTGCTGCCAGCATCACCAACCACCAACCAGCACCAGGTCCTTCACCAGGCCCTTCACCAGATCCATCGTCTGCTTGTGATGGTTCACGAGCCAGCGGACTTCCTCCTCTCCACCGGAGAGATCCCAAGGAGTTTTGGGTTAAGGATGCTGAGACGCCACTGGCACCGGCGCAAAACTCCACCAGACGAGATTTGACGGTCAGACTTTGTCCAGCGCCCTTTCCGTATCTTTGACTTCCCGGTCCCCCAGGCTATTATCGCCATCAGAGAGACAGATATTCATATTCTAAGTACTCCGTACTCCGTATGGATGAGCAATATAGATCCGGTGCACGCTGCTGGCCAATTAACTGCGACTGGCAGCGGGAAACATTAGAGAGAAAGGGGTTAGAAACCACCCCCCCTGCCACGGCCAGCGGGAGGCTTTGGCGACCCAGGACCCCTTGTCGAGGAAGGAATTGGGCCGCTGGTTATTGGCTATCGGCAGGCCTATGTCGAGCTTGCTCTCTGACCCCGGTTTAGACGCCCCCGCACACCCCCAGAGCCAGAGAGGGCCCATAACTATGTGTCAGAGATGTAGCCTTTGAAAATTGATAAAAGGGCTGGCATCCCTCCCCTGCGACAGACCTGGATTTCGGAGAATAGACGAGCTACTACGATCGAAGGGACTGGTGTGTGTGTGTTGACGGTTGGGAGGGTCTGCTTGTGACATCTCTTACGGTAGCTGAGGAAGAACAGAACGGGACCATGGCTCGAGACCAGTACGAGTTGAACGAGGCCGACGACGGCAAATTTGGCATCTCAGAACATGCGAACAGCATCTCACTTGAGGATGAGCCGCGCAAAAACTCAGTCGCGAGCTTCCGCACTCGCTTTATTGATAGCTTTCGACGAGATCCCAATGCATATTTTTCGCGGCCGGCAAATGCGGACAGCGGGTTTGATGCAGAGCAGGCTGCGGCCGCGACGGCCGCTTCGCCTCTCCGACGAGCGCTGAAGTCGAGGCATCTGCAGATGATCGCAATAGGAGGGTCTATCGGTGAGCTAATTTGCTTGTATGGTTTACTTGGGGGCTGGTCTTTTTTGTCTAACCGGGCTTGCTATAGGAACTGGACTGTTTGTCGGCTCTGGCAGGGCGCTGGCCACTGGAGGACCGGCATCCGTCGTGATATCCTTCTGCCTCGTCGGGATAATGTTGTACGCTACCATCCACGCCCTTGGTGAACTCGCCGTGTGCTTCCCCGTTGCCGGATCCTTCTCTCACTACTCTACTCGCTTCATCGATCCGGCCTGGGGTTTTGCCATGGGATGGAATTACGCTATCATGTGGCTGACCCTGCTTCCACTCGAAATTGTCTCTGCTGCGATCACGGTCGGATACTGGAAGTCGAGCGTGTCTCCTGCGGTCTGGGTCGCCATATTTTACCTCCTCATTGTTTGCATCAACATGTTTGGAGTCAGAGGCTACGGTGAGGCGGAGTTTATCTTCTCTATCATAAAGGTCGTTGCGGTTATCGGCTTTATGTATGGACCCAAAATTCATCCCTGAGAAAAATGAAGAGAGAGAGAGTCTTGCTAACTAGATTGTAGAATCCTTGGAATCACGATCAACTGCGGCGGTGGTCCGAATGGAGAGTACATCGGAGGAAAATTCTGGAGGGATCCCGGTGCGTTTAACAACGGATTCAAGGGCCTCTGCAGCGTCTTTGTCACTGCAGCCTTTACTTTTGGCGGAGGAGAGCTGGTTGGTCTGGCTGCCGCAGAGACCAGCAACCCTCGCAAGTCAATCCCGACAGCCGTCAAGCAGGTCTTCTGGCGTATTGTGCTGTTCTACATGGTCTCCATGACGATCGTCGGCCTGCTGGTGCCGTATACCGATGGGAGATTGCTGAATGGAAGCGCCAGCGCCGACGTCAAGGCCTCTCCCTTTGTCATTGCCATCCAGGACGCTGGCATCATTGGCCTTGACTCTGTCATGAACGTGGTCATCATGATCTCTGTCCTATCAGTAGGCAACGCAGCGATCTACGGCTCTTCGCGAACACTGGCTGCCTTGGCCGAGCAACGCCAGGCTCCTCGATTCCTCTCCTATATCGACCGCAAGGGCCGGCCGCTGCTCGCCATCGCCGCTGCTTCAACATGCGGGCTGTTTGGGTTCCTGGCTGCGTCGGACAAGCAGCAGGATGCCTTCACCTGGATGTTGGCCATCTCGGGCCTCTCGTCCGTCTTCACCTGGGGCTCCATCTGCCTGGCCCATATCCGCTTCCGCCAGGGCCTCAAAGCCCAGGGCCACAGCGTCGACGACCTCCCCTTCCAGGCGCAGGGAGGCGTGATCGGCTCCTGCATCGGCTTCGCGATCAACTGCATCGTGCTTATTGCTCAGTTCTGGACCGGGTTCGCACCCATTGGCTACGCCGAGCTCTCCGCCGCCGGACGAGTCAAGAACTGGTTCTCGACTTACCTCGCTGCACCCGTTGTGATAACATTCTACATCACCTACAAGCTATGGCATCGCACGTCGTTTGTCAGAGCCAAGGACATGGACCTGGTAACCGGTCGCCGTGACCTCAACCTCGCCCATCTGATAGCGGAGGAGCGAGCCGAGAGACTGTCCTGGCCGACGTGGAAGAAGGTCTACAAGTTTTTCTGCTGAGCTGCTTTAACGAATTTCTCCTTGAACACGATGTATAGTTATGTATTAAAAAAAAGGGGTGGGAGGGGGCGAAAGAGCAACGAATGAAATGATACCCTGTTGCTTGTACATAATACCATAATCTGATTCTTCACTGTCTACTGTTTACTTCTTCACTGTGCGCTGAGTGACTCGGTGACAGAGGAGCGTCATTCTTTCACTTTATGACCTCGACCGATTATGCTGCGTCTATACCATCGTCTCGCGCCGACCTGGCAATGTTTATTGCCAGAACCAGTCCGAAACTCGCATATCTAGCGAAGATCATGTTAGAGGCCAGGGTTAAGAAAGAAAGACTGCTGCTTTTTTTACGTATCAAATATGCAAGAGTGGCAGGAGCTAACTCTAGTCACCTGCGCCATCGTCACTGCTGCCTCCGGCGTTATCAGTGCAGGGAAGTGTCGAGAGAGGTAGATAACTCCCCCTCCCCTAACCCTTTTCAAACCAGCTGAAGAACCACTGTACGAGACCCAGAGCTAACCACGGCCATAGACCCTGGAGAGAGACAACTGGGGCTTCTACCACTTGCCGGTTCCGCCGAATCTCGTATCCCAACGCGCTCCCTGGCCACCACAACTCCCACCGCCATTGGGGCGGAAGCCTCAGCGTCCACTGAACCAAGAAGAAATCCTGGCGAGGGAAGAAAACTTCGTATGTATAGTTATACTTTCCCCTTTATTTACTCTGTTTATCTGTTTGTTGCTAATATTGTCACAATCTATGTAGTGGTTGATCTTGCTACCATTCACGCCCGCAGAGTAACTATCCAGGAGAAGGATATGAAGTTCATCCAGCGCATCCGTGAGCACATGATTGGCCATGCGCCTGGACCGATGATTTCTAAGTGGATAGAGAGTGATAATAATATGGCAATAGAGCAGTAGTTAAACTAGATACTACGTATTACAGAGCGGAAACGAATAATGATGGCATGGTCGCTATCGTCCGCCATAGTGTTAGACAAGACCAACACCCCTGGAACTCCCCGGTCATATATTTATAGTCAACTATATGTTAGAATGACGCACACAGTATACTTCCCACTCTAATAGAATGATTGTCGACTCATCGGCGCGGCAGTTGCTCTAGTTGAAAGACTGTAGTTATATCTACAAGAGGCTACAAAGGGCGTGGAAGCTCTAGTACCTAGAAAAGACAATAATTCTACATGATAATATATCTTGCCCGAGCCGTTGACGTTAAAGCTTTTAACAAACTACAATTAACTAACTAGTATTAACTGTCTACATTCAGTCAAGCCGCCTGCAGCATCCTCAACTAGTCAACTAAGTTTATCGAAAAAGTCTGCAGATATCACAATACCCTACTCCGTATAAAGATTCAAGCCACTGAATTGAGCTCTTGATACCTATTCTTCTTCCACTTTGATATATACGTAGGGCATTTAATCTGAAGAAGAACCGGCCTGCTCGACACTAGGCTTCAAGCTAGCTGCGACTTGGTTGCTCAGAATCGCCGTCTTTGCGGCCAAACCAGTCGGCCCGGCGATGGGCATGCTGCTTATGATATCCAACAGGGGAACATCTGCGCCAACGACCTTTGCGAGCCATACACGGAACTCTACAGCCACAAGACTGTCAACCCCGTTACTGCTTACGCTCTTGTTAGGATCGATATTCTCAACTGAGATGCTCAGCAACTTGGACAGTTTCTGTCTGATGGCGTCGGAAATAACAGCAGTCACCTCCACTGAAGAAGCTGCAGATGCCAACTCCCCTATGATATTCAGTCCATCCTGATCATGTTCTCCCCCAAGGGCACCGGAGCTGGCTGAGCTCTTCGAAGCTAGATGGGTGAAAAGTGGCATATACATCCATGACGGTGCTGGCATGCCACGAACTGCATACTGTTGTGCTGTTGATATGGCTGAAGCGACTTGGATTGGGCGAGTGTCATATCCATCAGGCGTGATGTGCCGTTCGATCATGCTGTGAATTTCGTCTTCACGAACTGAGCCCAGGAGCCCAGCAACCGTCTGGCCAGAAGTCAACCTCTCGCGGTTCTGCGCCACATACCCAACGGTCAAAAGAGCGCCCAAGTTCAGAGATGTGCCGGGAAGGCCAAGGGATACTCGATGTGCCGCTAGAGCATCCTGGAACGTATTACCCGCGGCATAGTTGGCTTGACCTCGATTTCCTATCAACCCATTCACGGAAGAAAGCATAATGAAGAAATCTAAATCTTTTGGGAGAAGACAGTGCAGATTCCATGACCCCTGAACCTTGGGACGGGTTGCTGTCTGGAATTTCTCCAGCGTCATGTTTTCAAACATCTTGTCTGCTATAACCATCGCCCCTTGGATGCATCCCTTGATAGGGGGCAGAGTCTCTTCACATGTCTTGAGGACAGCTGCCACACGCTCCTTATCCGTCACATCACAGGCAAACGCCTTGACTCTGACTCCTCGGCTTTCCAAGGCCTCAATAGTTTCCTGGGCATCGACGCTAGATGGGCCAGAACGAGATAGGAATATCAGGTTTTTGGCACCCCTGGAGGCCATCCACAAGGCAACACTGCGCCCAATGCCGCCAAGACCACCGGACAGAACGTACGATGCATACCCCTTAAGTGTTGGTAGAGCCTGGGGCTGTGGAACGACAGGGACAATATCGTCGCTTTTTGGCATTAGGACCGTCTTTCCCATACCTTTTCCGGACTGCATCACTCTAAAAGCCTCCTCCAGCTGCTCGTAGCTGATCGTATTAAGCGGGTATGGCTCCTTGATTTTTCCTTCAGACCATAAGTGTATGATCTGAGAAAATAGCCGCTTAGCTGTCAGAGGCTTGTAACGGTTGATGGTTGGCAGCTCAACACTAGCTAACACAACATTGCGGAGAAGAGGGTTCTATTGATTATTGAGGTCAGTATATCGCGGACTTCACTGTCCCTGGGTAAAAAAAGCAATGCTATACTTACCAGTGATACTCGACCGTGATTTTGGGCATCCTTCTTGCCGATTTCAATGAACCTGCCAAACGGCGCAATGCAGTCCCATGTTCGACGAAGGAATTCACCGACAAGGGAGTTCAAAAAAACATCGATACCCCGGCCATTCGTCATTCTCATAATTCCCTGGGCAAAGGATAGATCTCTGCTTGAGAAGATATGATCCTTTCTCACACCGTAGCGGCTCATAAGAACCTCTGCCTTTTCAGCCGTTGACACGGTAGCGAAAACTTCAGCGCCAACTATGTTCGCAAGCATGATGGCAGCTTGTCCAACACCTCCAGCGGCGCTGTGAATCAGGATGGTCTCTCCTTTGGCTAGCTTAGCCACTTCGTATAGACCGTATATGGATGTGATGTAGACGGACGGTAGGGACGCTGCTACTTCAAAGCTCATATTGTCTGGCATAATCGCTGCCAGATTCTGGAGAGACCGCCCGTAGGTTTGGAACGCTCCAGTCTTCGTATGGCCATCCATATATATCACACGGTCTCCTGGCTTAAAGTCCTTGACTCGAGAGCCAACGCGAGTTACAACGCCTGAGCCTTCGCTCCCAAGTGTAATGGCATCATGCTGTCCCATCGCAATCATGATGTCTCTGAAGTTCAGTCCTACGGCTTTGACCTGCACTTCAAGCTGGTCTTCGCCCAGGGGCTCGAAATACGTCATATCGCTTTCAAATTGAAGTTTGTTCAACATACCGGGGGCCTCTGTTGTAAGCCTCACGGGCCCCTGGGCTTCTGCTTCGCCAAGACTCATCATCTGAGCCTTGGGTTTGGAAGATTTCCTGGTCAGGTAATCATTCATCTCAGTGGCACTGACAAGTCGGTTGGTATGGATAACACCCTCCTGAAGGCGATATTCTGCGTTACTTTTACTCTCATGGCTTTTTGCAAATTGATGGTCCACAATATCTGTAATAGCCTGCACAATTGTGCCTAGTGGCGTTTGGGGGCTCAAGATTTCAAGAGATGCCAAGTTGGAATTCTCAAGGTCCCTCTCCCATCGTACTGTTCGCATGATGCCTGCAGCCATGTTGAGATGCGGATCAGCTGTTGAGTCTCCTGTAATCCATAAAACATTCTTGCAAATAGACAGAAGGCTGCGGATATTGTTGTATTCCTGTTCTGAGGGGTCGGCCAGGATAGGGTGAAGCAGTTCAATTAGCGAGACACAAAGTACATCAGCGAGTCCACTCGCATCTATTTCGGACAATTTGGCTATTTTGTAGTGCAGATACCCATATTTCTCCAATAATCTGTCTTTGAGTGCGGTAGCGACTGCTTCCTGTCCTGAATCTGCCATGAGAATAAGGATATCATCCGGTATTTTGGCCCTATATGTTTCGCCGCCAATAGCAGACGCCACAAAAGTGCTGATACCGTTCAAATCTGCATCATCCCAGTCTTGTAAAGAGATCTCAATGTCTGAGAAGCGGGTATCTTGAAGAGCTTTTGCCCATTCTCCTTTATTGATAAAAGGGCACCATTTACGGACGTCTTCAACACTAAGCCACCAGCCTTCTAAGAAACCGAAAGCCACGGGTACAAACAAGAAGTCTTGTCTAATACCTTCATGTATGATAAGTCTCCCGTCGGGTTTGAGAAGTTGGCGAACGTTGGTCAATGTCTTCCGAAGGTCCTTTGTTGCATGCAAAACGTTGCCTGCAACAATGATATCGTATTCCCCTAGAGAAAATCCCTGCTCTTCTAAGCCATTTTCAATGTTTAGGGAGGAAAGTTTGAGAATGGGCTTCCAGGCTTTGAATCTCTCCTTGGCTTTTTCAAAGAAACTGGCAGAGATATCAGTGAATTCATATTTAGCAATATTTGACCCACTGCCGGATGTATTATCATCCCGATGGATGGGGCTGAGTGTCTCGAGGAGGACAGCGGTCAAACTGCCCGTCCCAGCGCCAATTTCAAGAATGTTCAGGTCAGTTTTGCTATGTGCGATCAGTTCAAGGCAAGACCGCAGCAGACCCCCAAGGTTCCCAGCCTCTGTCGATTCAGCATACACTTGATCCAGGAGATCATCACCAAATAATAGATGTAAGGGATCTACCTCATTTTTTAGAACTTTTGCAATGTTAGAGCCTGCCTTGATACATAGCTCGCCCTCTGGACTTCTTGAAGCCACTTCCTTATAGAGATCTGATTTGAATGCCTGGTCGTCCTTAAAATCTAGCCATTTTGCCAGAGGTAAGTGAACCATTTTGTCAGCCTTCAAGATGCTGGCCTGGAGCTTCAGCCAGCCATAGTAATTTTGAAAGTGACCTTCAAGGGATTCAAGCGAGATACCTTCTAGTTCGTCCAAGGCATCCATGATCAACATCATCGTAGCCAATTGAAGTTCTCCTACCTCTTGCCGTCTGAAGTCAACAACACTTTGGGCGACGGGGGCGACGTTTAGCATCTTGTTTGATTTGTAAAGGTTAATATCTGGCTTCCACTCTAGAGTGTGACAGAGGCTGTTGCTTCGGGAATCAGTTGAGTCCGTATTTGAAACTGGGGCAGCTTTCAACCCCTTAATCATCACCCTAGGATGGTTGACCTCTGCGCTCTGCGTCCAGGATGATGATGTCCGTGTCATACTTCTGTGCCGCAACCATCTTAGATTTTCCATGGCCATTGAACATATGGCCAGGCCTGCCTCCGGTAGCGGCCGAAATCCACACCTCTCGCATAAATGTCGGTAGCATGGCTACAGGTAGGGAATCCGCTTCCATGCAGTCCAGAATTGACATCATGGACATGTGCAACATGCTATCAAGTGTGCATGGGTGGATAATGTGTGGACGCATAAAGTTTTTCGGCATCGACTGAGCCACATTAGGGACGGTAACCACTCCAGTAGCCTCACCTGTACCATTGGACATTTTAACATTTGCAAGATTCCGGAATAAGGGTCCAAAAACAAGCCCTTTATCGGACATATTCTCATAGAATCTTGTAAGGTCAAGTGGGAATTGGCATTTTCGGGCTGCAGCGACCATCTGTTCCTGCAGTAATATGAATTCTTGCTGGGTTTCAAATCCATGACCAGTGAAGTTAGGCTTTGGATCCGTCTCGACGGAAATATAGCCGGTGTGCTCAATCCAGTCATTTTCGGTCGCGTTCCAGGACATGATCCTGAAATCGGACCAAACCTTTGACCGCTCGGAGCTAGACTCATCCATGCGAGACATGTATAACATCACTTCAATGCCATCCCTAGTATCGGGGATATGCAGGGCTGCTTTAATTGAGATGTCCCGAAGCCGAAATCCTGACACAGGCAGATCATGTCCTGAAAGCTGGTGAGCAGCTTCCACGGCCATGGCGATATATCCCACTCCTGGATAGATATAGCTGCCCGTCATGACATGCTCTTTAAGCCATGGGTTTTCATGTACCCTGATCACATTTCGCCATCTCGGTTCATCCGCATTCCAGTCATCAACAGGCACGCCAAAAATATCGTGAACCGGGTGCTCACGCAGTCGGAAATTTTTTGTAAGCCGCGATTCAAACCAAATTCGTGACGTATGGTTGAAACTGTACGGTGGAAGGTCGACAAGTCGCTGAGGGATATGGTGATCGATGATAGGGTTAGATTTATGCAAATTGATAGGGTATCCTCTGCATTTTAAGGTAGCGGGAACGCTTAAGGCATTATGGAGACCTGGGTTGTTTCGGTTTAAGATTGTTATATAATTAATAGGGGCAGAATAAATATGGGCGGCTATGCATTGTTTAATGGGGCCTTGAAGTGCTCCATGGGGTCCAATCTCCAGGATATCGTGAAGAAATATGTTTTCAGCAGAGTTATTGATACTTACCGGCTTTTGGCCTTTTCTGATGGGTTGAAAGCAAGCGGAAGTAAGACTTTTCGTGAAGTTGACCGGGGAGACCAAGTTATCAACCCAGTACTTGGCTGATTCCAGTTCATCCACGCCCGTTAGCTGGCCAGTGACGGAAGAAAACATGGCAATGTCCGTTGAATAGCTGATTTTATCATCAGATTTAAGATCACCAAGCAGTGTGAAGTATGCAGTTGCAGCGGCGTCCATGTGGTTTGAATGGTAGGCATTACTCACAGCCAGCTTCCGCGCAAAAATATCGTTAGCATCTAATAATATTTTCAAGGCATCGACCATAGTTTCATCTCCGGAGATGGTATTGCTGATTGGGCTGTTATAGCATGCGATAATGAGTTCCCCAGACATATTGTGGTGGACTTCTTGCATATAGGGCGCCAGCTCAGTTTCCGATGCCCCAACGGCCTCATGGCGCCTTTGATAGGGTATTTTATTGATGATACAATCCCACGGAAATAGGCGGCTCTCCAAGCAGATTTGCGACCTAGCTTTCCAGCAGAATATGCGGCGGCAATCTCTCCAGAAGAGTGCCCTACTACTCGAGATGGTTGGATGCCCCAGCTATATAGAAGATCAACTACCCCAATCTGCAACGCAGCACATGAAACATGAGAGACGGCTGGTTCATTAATCTTTGTAGTAGATTTATCTCTGTGGAGTTCCTCTGTAAGGGCTATTAGTACTGCTTAAAGATAATACCGGAGTACTTGATATTAAAATCGTGACGTACCTATTAGGGACCAGGCACAGCCTAGGCTCTTCAAATATTTCTCCGCCTCGCCTATGCTTTCTCTGAATTTGGCATAGGCAAATAATTCACGGCCCATTGCAAACCACTGAGCGCCTTGACCAGTAAATACAAACCCTAAATTGTGAGTCTGGCTTGCCCGGACAGGTTTTTGGAGGCGAATTGCAAGGTCTTCTGAGAGCTCGGAGACAGTGGATGCAATAGAGTAACTCCTCCAAGCAAATTCCGAGCGTGATTTGCAAAGTGTATAGGCCAAATCAGACAAATATTTACCTTCCTGGTTTTTGTCCATGTCTGGCAATGTTTTCAGATGTGCAGAAAGAGACTCTGCATTGCGAATTACCCCGTCTTCATCGAAGGCAGAAACTGGGAAAGTGAGCGGGAGTAGTCCCTTCATAGTCACACGGCTGTAGGAATCCCCATTGGCTGTAGCCCCATTTGATATTCCACTGGCTACGATTCCGTTCGAAATACTGCTGTTTTGCTTAAAATAGCTTTGCGCGCTACTGCTTATTATTCGGTAACCATTCCTCTCAGCAGAAGGTTGAAGTTGACACAATAACTCTTCGAGGTCCTTTTGGGTAGGGCGGATAATGGTGGTTCTGTGGGCGGCATACAACTTGTTGGCCGCTAAGTAGGAATAAGCGTCTTCTAGAATTGCATGGGAATTTGTCCCGCCAAATCCGGTACTATTAACAGAAATCCTCCTTATTCCGTTCGTAGGCCATTGGGTTATTTGGGTCGGAAAGTGAAGCTTCCAGGAATCAAGTGGGATCTTCTCGTTAACTTTCTCAAAGTTGACATTAGGAACAACAATGCCAGACTCAAGCATCATGACGGCTTTCATGACGCTAGCAACTCCGGATGCGCCCTCGAGATGACCAACCCCTGATTTCATGGCACCAATGTAGAGTGGAACCTCCCTTGTGCTAGTCTCAAACGCATGAGCAATAGCCCGAGCCTCAATTGGGTCTCCCGCTGCAGTGCCAGTCCCATGGGCTTCAACAAAAGTGGTATCCTTCGGATCAAGGCCAGCTCTTGCATAGGCATCACGCATGAGCGAGATTTGTGCTGAGGCATTTGGCAAAGTTATCCCGGCTGTGCGGCCGTCTTGGTTAATGGCGGTACCACGCAAAACAGCTCTGATAGTATCACCATCCTTAACGGCATCCGAAACTCGCTTAAGGATTAGGGTTCCAACACCTTCTCCACGAGAATAGCCATTTGCTCTATGATCAAAGCTGTAGCATTTACCATCAGGGGAGAGGAAACCATGGTGTGACATAGCCATGTAGTCATTTGGCCATGCAAGTAAGTTAACGCCAGAAACCACAGACATATCACTCTCCAGGGTTCTCAAACTTTGACAGCCCAGGTGAATGGCAACCATGCTGCTGGAACAAGCTGAATCAACCGTTACGGATGCGGACTTAAAATCGAAAAACCAGCTTACTCGATTGGCTAGAATGGAATTTGCGGATCCGGTAGGTTTGTATTTTGCTGTCGCCTGTGGATCGAAATTCAGCCTTTGGAGATGATCGTGGTTGAAACCACTCACATACACCGAGGCGTTGGAAGACATAGCTTTGTCCAAAGGTATGCCAGCTGTGGATATACTTTCGCGGTCAGCCGTTAGTTTTTATGAGGAATAATATAGCTACCACTCTCCAAGACGGACCATTTTCCAGTGCATGATACACATTTTCGAGCAGAATACGCTGCTGTGGATCCATTGTCATAACCTCGCTCTTCGTCAGGCCAAAGAAATTGGAGTCAAAATTGATTGTGTTCCCAGTGATGAAGTGGCCGCCTATTTAAGTTAGCGGGGAGGAGGAGGCCAATTGAATAAATGCTCGGAATACGAAATACCTTTTGAGTGAAACTGATGATATTAGGTTAGTATTAAGTATTTTAAGCAAGATGATCCACGTACTTACTGTGGCTGCATGTTCAGCATCCGGGTGGTAATGGGCTTCATGATTGACCCTATCGCTAGGAAAAGGGGTCGAAGAGTTTCGAGCCTCCAAAAGAAATTTCCACAGATTCTCATTAGTATCTGCTTCTTGAGGAAGACGAGCAGCCATCCCAATGATAGCAATGGGTTCTCCATAGCCTCGGGCCCCTAGAAGGGCACCATTGGCACCTGGTTTTCCTATGAATGGTGACATCTCGAAGGTTGTGTTCGGTTCGTTTATAATTCGCAGTGGTGTCAGTCTGATTATCCAAGATCTTGGAATTGAAAAAGTACAAATCCCTATTTCTTAACCAAGACGCGGAGGAATCAAGGGATATATATATATTATACGGAGTTCCTTCCGGAAGGTGTTCGCATAATGATTCCATGGAGGGCAAAAAATGTCGGGAAAGCCCATGGAGACCCAATCCATGGAAGTATGGTATACTCATTTGTGGAGGCCTATAATGCCTTCCATGTTGAGAATTTGATAGTTATGCAGCTTTGCCGACAAAGGATTTAGTTAACTAAAAACCGGTTGCGTTGCTAACTGGACCGCATGACCAACACTCGGGAAGATGAGATTCCATACTGCTATGTGCGAATGGATCAGGCGATTAGATACTTATCAAAGGAGATATCACCATCATCCTTTCAGCGTGCATGGATCGGAGTTGGTTACAACCGACTGTTTCGGGTAACTAACCAATCGGCTAATCGTTTAGCCGATAACTAGCCGACTAAGTTAGTTAGCCGCCAGGCCGCCTGAAACCTCAACTTCAAGCCAGCAAACAACAGACATACAACGGCTCGATGCCTGATGGGAACTGCTCAGTTATTCTAACAGGAACTCAATCTACTTGCTGATCTAGGCATAGACTCTTTTTTGAGTTATTCATGGAAGTATCGAAAAAGATTTGTGGTTCATGTCTAGGGCTTGGGCGGCCCTGCCTTTGCGCTCTTCGTCTTACAGGATAAAAATGCTCATGCACGACATTAGGTTACATGAAGGGCCGATTTGTCTTAATCATACTCCGTACGAGAAATAGACGTCTAAGTTTCATTCCCTATTCTAGGTGAGTACTTGGCTACCAGTCCTGTACCTATTTGCCATGCATTTATCATCCCTTGAGACGCTTTCATGCGGTTCGGGTATAACAAGAAGGGTCGAAAACATGGCGTGTATGACATACCCCATGGGAATATTGTCTCGCAAAATACCCCTGTAACCGCATAAGATCGAGACTTCGGCATTAAAAGAAGCAGACAAGATGCGGATAGACTCTATGAGTAGGACGTCCCACCTGCATCATGGTCGCAAAGGAAAGGGTCATCTGCTCTACATCCGTCGGAAAATGATACCCTTGAAGGTGCAGCCTTAGAGGTTTGCATGCAGAAGCCAAAAAGAAAAGTGAGAAGCTGTTTAATTACCTCATGTTTCTACAGCTTCATATATAACCCTTAATAGTTACCGTCGCGCATAGGTATCAAACCCATCGTATAACGCGAAAGGCGGCTATGATATAAAATTAGGGTTAGCTTCCTAACCGTTAGGGTGTGAATTGTTCGCGCCAATAGCTTCACAGTACAACCTGGGTGTAACTGTTCGCTGATTTGCATTAATCCTCCCTCATCATGGAAAAGCCTGACTCGCTTCAAGCTCACTTTTGGCGTAAAACAGCTGGAAGACATGGTAAATTGACCATTCTGGGATTTATACTGCACCCTGCGCGACCACACCACCGGTACACCTGCTTAAAGTTCCGCATGTTTATTCCAACAAGTCTGATCAGGCATATCTATGTTATATACAAGCCAACCTCCAAGATCACGAAAATATAGGTAATGGTACCAATTGTATCAATTGCTATGGAGAAGGAAGCTACAATTCCTCCAAATGACAAATTTTGGGACCGTACCGATACCTCCCCTACTATTATCTCATACATTTCGTCGAGTTTGTCGAGGTTGGCCAATTGAATAGCAATAGCTGCTTGGTCAGGATTAAAGGCAAAAGTGCATACCGCAAACCAACGTGAAATTCTTGAGTTCAGTTGATCAACTGATCTACACATGATGCATAGCTCATCCCTTATAGCAATATCTTTGAAGTAATTGAAAGAAGCTATCATCCTGCTGCATTAATGAACGCTTTGCGTGGATTCAGCCAGCCATTTCCGACAGTTCCCGTATGAGCCTCGCAACCTTCTTCATATCAGCGTAGCCTCGAGGAAAGTCATGGCCATGGTCGTGGAGAAATTCCATCATCATTGCAGGCTCGCACATCTCCATCAATCCCAGACCCCAGTGCCGATTGGTAGCCGTCGGACTTCGGACATGCAGAGTAGCAATATCAATCAGCGCCCCCTGAATGATTCCATCATACCTAGCTATACCTGTGATCCCATCCGTCATGAAAAGCCTAGAATCAGCGAGTTGTCTCGTTTTCAACTTCCCCAGCTGCAGCTTTATCTGCTCAGGGTCATAGTCCGGGTGTCTCTTTGCCTCCTCTTCGCGGACCCGGATATTTGATGGTCGCAACAGGATTTGATGGGCCTCTTTTGGTGCTGACTCTTCAATTACACCAGCACACACATCCATCTCAGAAATTTTAAAGACTTCAAGTGGCGTACCAGCATTGATAAAAACAGCCCAGCGAAATATACGTTCATATGGAAGCCTGGAAGGGTTGTTTCGACGATCTCGAATCAAAAGCTGGCCTGCAAGGGCTGCGCCTCCCGAATATCCAATTACTCCGTCAAAGGGCCCTTGTTGTTCGATCAACTCCAACATTTCATCTTCCACCTGCGTGATTGATGATGCAGATATAGGGTTATAATAGTTGTACAGTGGTAGCTCGGAGAACGAAGTCGTGAAAAGCGACCAGTTCCCTAAATTGCTATTAGCCCTTTAACTATTCTACCTGCAATTTTGTTAAGCTTTACCCTCAGTATGAGGAACTGTTCCCTGCACAAATTCGAACGAGAAGTCGGGCAAATCTGCCCTGAAAGATGCTAAAACAATGTTATTAGTGTTAATTTTTCCTCTTAATAGTCTGAACATACCTGTCTGCAATTTGAATATCTAGAGACGTATTAGTTCTCTAAGGTGTCCAAGCGAGCTGGAATTTGCCATCCTTACCTCGTTATTCGAGCCCTGACCATGAAGACAAAGAACCTTCATTCTGGATCTGTATGAGTTTGATATATTCTTGAGAAGGTAGAAAAGTAGAGGTCATTCGAAGCTGTGTACTTAGTTAAGTGCATACCTAGGTAGGTAATAGAAGTCGAAATCAGGTCAATGTTAAAGATTATTTCGCCCAAACGGTTGTTGACTACTAAGGAATAACCGCTTAATTAAGTCCAAAGCGACTCGCAATTCGCAGAACTGGGATAACAATTCGCGATCCTGCATGCCGTTGCTGCCCCTGTTCAAACCATGGTAATAAAGAGAATCAAGGATCGGCTTTGTAGTTAGCTACTATTGACCCGCCACTTTCGGAATTGCATGGAACTGGGCTAGATTTTCTACTTGCATATTACAAACGAGTGGAGAGAGGTAAGATATCCATATTCATGCATTTTGTCCTACAAACTTGCAAATGTAGCGTGTATGGAACATTGATTCATCCATCACTTCTCGCCGGCCCTTAGCTCGACGGGGATCGCCTTTTCACATCTTACCAACTGGCACTAATTGCAGGAAATTTTCGAATAAAGCTTCACCAAGTATTGTTTATCCCCTCATACCTGTTTCTGGAGAGCAGTGAAATTTGAGTACCCCGGATCTATGGAGTCCACAGAAACAAACCGACAGAATCAGAATGTGATTGAGCTGTCCAATACATCAGTTCTCTCCACGGGCATCAATGAATCGAATACGACTCATGGAGAAATCCATATTACGAGGGATAGCAATGACGAGGCAGAAGGGGAAGACGGTCTTCTTCCGATCACCAAATCTCAGTTCCTAATGCTCAATGTTGCACTTTGTGTAGGGATATTCATGGTCACCTTAGACGTTATCATTTTAGGTTAGTGGCCAGCTTCTTCCCAGGCTATCTTGATCAATATCCGCGCATAGCTTACCATTGAGAAGCAACCGCCATTCCGACCATAACTCACGAATTTCACTCTCTCGGAGATGTTGGTTGGTATGGATCAGCGTATCTCTTGACCCAGACAGCATTCCAGCCAACTTTTGGAAAAGTGTATAACTATTTCAACACTAAATGGACACTTTTAATGGGCATTATGGTGTTTGAAATTGGCTCCATCCTTTGCGCGGCTGCAACCTCATCTCCGATGCTCATATGTGGCCGTGCCGTGGCAGGTTTTGGGGCAGCAGCTATCTTCTCGGGGGGTGTGAATATCATAACCATGATATTCCCCTTGAAACACAGAGCTCCGTTCTTGGGCCTAATGGGAGCTATGATCGGAATGGCTATGATTGTTGCACCACCCCTGGGAGGAATTTTGACAGATCGTTTTAGCTGGCGGTGGTGGTATGTACTTGTCCTTGGAATGGGGTGAACTGAGCCGTGACAGCTAATTGTTTTCGTTTCCTCAACTAGTTTCTGGATTAATTTACCATGTGGAGGCCTGATGGTCATCATTATAGTGCTCTTCTTAAATCAGACTGCGCAAATCTCATTTGGTCTGAGTTGGATGGAACGCATTATAGCACTTGATCCTGCCAGTGCGCTACTCCTAGTGTCTTGCATCACTGCACTTCTGATAAGCCTTCAGTGGGGAGGTGAACGGTATCCATGGTCACACCCGAAAGTATTGGCTTGCATTATCACTGCGGGTATATTACTAGTAGCATTCTACGCTTTCCAGTCGTGGAAGGGAGAATCAGCAATGATCCCAACACGGTTATTAAGACAAAGAAGCATCCTCGGGTCTTCGCTTGCCGCTTGCTTCCTATCGATGGCATTTCATGTGTATGTTTTACCCGAATGAAGCCATGAAGCGTAGCGATGGACTGACAACTGCCTAAGACACTCGTACTATCTCCCAATATACCTCCAGGCTGTGAAGGGGCTAACGGCCGAACAATCGGGAATACAAATTCTCCCTTATCAAGTCACCAATAGCCTATTTTCGCTAGGAGTGGGCGTCCTAGTAGGTATAGTCGGATGGTACCCGCCTTTTCTGTGGCTAGGAACACTTGCTTTTGTGGTTGGCTCTGTCCTGTTCTACAAATTGGATGTCGATAGCACAGTTGCCGCGGTCGTTGGATATCAAATTATTGCAGGGGCTGGGGTGGGAACTGCAATAAATATCCCACATATAGCGGTACAAGCCATCTCCAGCAAAAAGGATGTTTCTTCAGCAAGTAGGTTAATACTCCACGCACCAACTCAGATTTGATCGCAACAGTTAATGTCAGTGAACCATACATAGACGCTATAGTGTTTTTCTTCCACGCCCTCGGAGGAGCAGTTGGAATAGGTATTGCGCAAAACATCTTCTCAATTTCTCTTCAAGAAAATCTCCCACTCACTGTACCGGATATGGATATTTCGGCTATCATTGACGATAGCTCGGCGAATATCCGCAACCTGATACCAGCGGAGTACCTGGCAGCTGTTTTGAGAGTGTACTGCTCATCAATAGCGAAAGCTTTCATACCACCAATTGTCACTGCGTCCCTAGCATTTGTTTGTTCTCTTCTGTTGGAATGGAAGTCCGTAAATACAGGGTCTTCTACCAGTTAGTTAGAGAAAACGATTCCCCCTATCCTCGCATCGAGAGCTCGCCAGTTTTGCCTATTCCCCGAGCAAACAGATAAGCATCATTGATCTATGGAAGAATTCAACACTCCCTTTGAATGTCTCTATGCAAAGTTAGGTAGACAAGTAGACAGGGCGAAGAGCAGTAGATATGTTCAAACTCATCAAGTGTTCTTTTTTCGTCTCGACTTCATGATATTCGGCAAGCTTTGGCCCGAACCTTAAAATGGGTGAATCAGCTCATCACGTGAGCGCGGCTAATCGGCTCCCAAGTCATTCCCGGGGTTACGTATTTTTGCGGAGACAGACGATGAAATGACACACACGATGACAAAAGACTTAGAGGAGCAAAGATACAAAGGGCGGCGCCCTTGAGACACTGCAGAGCTGAGAGTTGTTTGATATGGGTGCGGAGTAGCTATCTATAAAATGTCATAACGTCGTCTCTAGCACGCTGTCCCTCTAACCCACCCCAGGGTTTCCTCCACCATGACTACCCATTGCAGCCGTATGGCAAAACGAACTGGATACGCTGGTATATCGCTGCGAAGCCCATGTTTGCGCAGGTATTCAAGCAGTTGTAGCCAGGCGGTGCCAAAGGAGCCAACATTTCGGCCGTTTTCGGTCGATGTGCCACCTCAGGCTTCGCGCGAACCCCCAGCGCCATCTTCTCGTCTGAACTCGCTAAAGGATGCAAGGCCATTCTCCTCCTTCTTGACAGATACCTTTAGCCGGCAGCACGATTACCTTCGGATCAGCATCACCGAGCGCTGTAACCTACGGTGTCTCTATTGCATGCCAGAAGAAGGCGTTCCTCTCTCTCCGCCAGAACATCTGCTTACTACACCAGAAATCGTATATCTTTCGACCTTGTTTGTATCACAGGGAGTGACAAAGATACGGCTGACGGGTGGGGAGCCTACTGTGCGCAAAGATATACTACCGATGATGCAGGAAATCGGCAAGTTACGCCGTGATGGGCTGAGAGAATTATGTCTGACGACAAACGGAATATCGCTCCACCGTAAGCTCGATAGTATGGCTGAAGCAGGGCTAACTGGAGTCAACTTGAGCCTCGATACCCTTGATCCTTTCCAGTTTCAGATCATGACAAGACGGAAGGGATTCGAAGCTGTGATGAAAAGTATCGAAAGGATATTGGAGCTAAACGAGCGTCATGCTGCCGGTATCAAGCTCAAGATAAACTGTGTGGTCATGCGGGGAATGAATGACCAGGAGATACTCCCTTTTGTCGAAATGGGCCGTGATAAAGCGCTTGAGGTACGGTTTATTGAATATATGCCGTTCGACGGGAATAAATGGAGTAAAGGGAAGATGTTCTCTTACCAGGAGATGCTTGATGTTATTAAAGCAAAGTATCCGGGTTTTGAGAAAGTGCCTGATCACAAGAACGATACCAGCAAGACATATCGAGTCCCAGGCTTCAAAGGGAAAGTCGGTTTCATTACCAGCATGACACATAATTTCTGCGGGACATGCAACCGTCTCCGGATCACCAGTGACGGGAACCTAAAGGTGTGCCTTTTTGGCAACACAGAAGTATCTCTAAGAGACATGATCCGGCAAGGAAACAACAACCAGCCGATCTCTGAGGATGCCTTGCAGTCATTGAATCTCCTTGAGTCGGCTAGACAGGCTGCCCGAGCGGAGGACGAAGGCTATCCAGTGAATGAGCGGGAAAGAGAACTTTTAAATATTATTGGCGCCGCTGTCAAGCGTAAGAAGGCAAAACACGCCGGGATTGGTATCTTGGAGAACATGAAGAACCGTCCCATGATACTGATCGGTGGGTAGGATTATTCCTCTTTTCTTCTTATTCTTGAATGATGATATATAAACCACTCATTTATGTATCCTGTTTATGATACCATGGAATTATATGAGCCCATCGTGATTTTTAAATGATTGGTTGTATATACATGCAAATATACACTTAGGCGTTGGGTTTTTTAAATACAATTACTAAGATTGGCTTCGTTTTAGATGAAACTGCTAAAAATATTCACCGCCGCAATCATCACCTGGTGGTGGGAACAACCTTCCAGACTTTGCCCTCACAGAGGGCAAACCCCTTTCGTCCATGGCAGTCTATCCCAATGCATCTCCTTGGTGGCGGCAGGCCAATGTACCAGTTCTCCCGTTCATACTCTACTTCTAAAATTTCGGCCGGCGTGGAAACACAGTCTTCAACTACGCTCAAATCACAAGGATCCGAAGATACCACCAGCATTCCCGATCTCCCAACTGAATCCCATGCAAAGCTCCCCCATCTTACTCCAGGCGAAACAGTCCATATGACCTCAATAGGCCATAAACCAGAAACCAACCGTATTGCAACTGCAGTGTGTCGAGTCACATTCTCCAATCCAACGCCTATATCACTTCTAACCACCGGCGACGGTCTTATGAAAAAAGGGGACGTGCTGTCTGTTGCACGCATAGCTGGCATAATGGCAGCTAAGAAGGCAGCTGACCTCATCCCACTGGCCCATCCTGGCCTAGGAATAACGGGTATAGAAGTGGACGTTACCATATGCCCGCCACGTCCAGAGGGGGAAGGGAGTATCCCGGATGAGCAGAAGATGCTAAACCATGGACTTCATGGTAGCATTCTCGTTACGTCTAGTGTTAGCTGTCTTGGACGAACAGGGGTAGAAATGGAAGCTATGACATCCGTTTTAGGTGCTGCCCTCACAGTATATGATATGTGTAAAGCTGTGGACAAGGGGATGGTGATAGGTGAAGCTAGAGTCATTCGAAAACGTGGAGGGAAAAGTGGTGATTGGGAAGAAGGTATTCGTGTCAGTAGTTCCAAGCACAGCAGTGGTTAAAAGAGACCCAGGTCTATCCGAAATATAATACATAGCAAATCTGGATATAAGAAACTAACTTTGGCATAGAAATACATGTTAGACCGTAGGATGTAACTAGAGCTAGATATAGAACATGCTCTCTGCTAGATCCGTATGCACACCCCAAAGTCATTTGGACTCCGACTCGTCATACGAAGTAGCAAGGTGATCTCTCGGGTGAAACGTATCATATAGATAGCATCTGCCCCTTTCATATAGGTCATGTGTCTATAAACTGGTATTAGTTATATAGCAGAGGAACGCAATGAAACAAAACATACCATAGTTTGTAGCTCATCAGCAGTAAAATTATTGCCATCTTTCAGAACAACGTAGTGTGCTGGTCGACATGTTCCCTGAATTCCAGCATGAGCAACCATGAAGAAGTCAAATTCCCGGGTCGTGGTACAGCCACGATGACCACCGTACCAGGGAGAACATTCTCCGAATTTTCATCTAGGGGTTCGTTCTGGACCGGGTAGAACCTGGGATAATTCAGCCAGCTCTTTATCACAAAATTGGTCACCTATTTATAATTCAGGGGTAAAACCTGTGGTCATTTTTACCTCGTACGGTGCCGTTTCCCCACAATTATAAGAGTGACCTTCGGACATTTGCCGTTTCGATAATAGTGGTATATCGCATCTTCAATCGCTGGCAATTCAGTATCAAGTACCTGCTTATACTGGGACTCGGAGACGCAGTCTCTGTATACAATGATTTTCTCTGGCATGTGGGACTGGTCTTTCTAGCTTTTCAACCTCTCGATGACCATATCACCTAAATCTTTCACCATTTCAACACGATGAGCCTGAGTCCAAATGCTCGCCGGCCACTGTCCCAGCATAGTGTCACAGTTTGCAACAACACCTGCTATACTTGGAGCATCTGTTATAGAGTCTGTTCCTGTGGGATGTGTCACATCAATCCCCAAATACATAATTGGATGAGGCTGAGAATTTATCATTGATTGAACCTGGTGATTCACACCTCCGAGCTTCAGGTCGATTTTAAGAGAAATATTTGCCAGATATGAAGATTGCATGTTAATCTGTAACGGTTCTCCTGGACGGCCGTTCCTCGGAGGTTTTGGCACTACACAGAGTGTATGACAGCCATATTTCACATCAGTGGAATATTTGACCATAGAGTATATCTCTGCGTCATATCGAGGGAGGAATATGATGGTGAATTACTGCCTTGTTTTCTTGATACGCGAAAAATAATCCTCAAGGAATTTCTCATTCTCGCTTTCATCTCGGGCCAGCTTGATAATGTCTGTAAAAACACGATCCGTAGGCCAATTAACCCCATAGTTGTTCATATGTTGTCCTAGCTGGGTTATAAATGGCCCGGTTTTAGGGGTATCCTGAGTTAGATGGGGCGTAACGATGAGACATCCAACGCGGCTGTTGTGACCAAATGGACCGCGCTGGTTGAACCTGGTATTTTTTGAGAGGTTCCAGCTCCCTGGCCGACTTACAGTCATTGGGTATTTATATACAAGTTGGGGAGGTGATAGTATGGACCCGGTAACAGCGAGCATGTTCCCTGCAACTTGAATTCCAAAATCTTTCTATAGTCTGTCTATTAGCAATTGATCATAATCATAATTAGAAACAGCTTTATAAGACGGTTGCATCTTACCGGGTTTTTAATATTACCAGTGTCTCCTATTATCCCCATCAGCGGTAGACCTCTTCTAGCTATTGAATTTGCGTTATCACTGGGCCGGCAACAAGCCACCCTGATCATATCACTTGTCCCTTGGGATGAAAGGTATTGCCGTGCTGGTTGGCCAGGGGTAACATGGCAAAGTTCTGCTGGAAGATATACCGGTCTGCCTTTCGTGCCTACATCTACCACGATCTGATCCTTTTCGATAAGGTTAACTTCATACGCTGTGTCAAATCATTAATACTCTGTAGTTACTAGGTAATGTGTAAACTGCATAAACTGACCTTGACGATAATATTCCCTGACACTGACTTCCTTTGCCCTTCCTCCCCTAGACCATTCAAATCGTATGTTGTCAAGTACCCGGTAAATTATTTCGTGTCGCAATGGCCCGAATAATTTTCATTTTAGGCGCATCATTCGGGTGCGTTGTTAACACTCGGACTTTTCGGAGGAATCCATCAAGCTCCAGCAATCTCACGTCACTGCTAAATCTTCTTCCTTGGTCAAACCCGCATACCACAGTGTGGAGAGTATCATCGTGGTAGAAAGCACTAGTGGAAACGTTCAGGTTTAGAAGAAGCCCGCCAGTTGATGGTCTCACTGAATGGAAAAACCAGCGAATAACATCCAGCCCAGCCCTTATATCCCGTTTATTATGTTGATCATAAAACGGGAAATGCTTTCTTTGGCCCAGGAATTGAATTTTTGATGATTCGTTTTGAAAATGAGCAAGAATCACGTTGAGCGCTTGAATGGCTTTATTCCTTGTCACGATTATATGTCTCAATGGAAGACTTGAGATCGTCCAAAACTTCTCCCATTCGAAATACCCGCAAGAGTTGAATGGTTACCCTGTAAGAAGGCGAATTAGGAGATAACCGTTACTCTGTTTCATAGTACTAGTACTGGATCGTCAATTGCTTCATGTTGAGCTTCTTAGTGCAGATAATTTGATCCTTGTAATTAGTACTAATAGGGTGGGAGGTTAATGATTGGTGGTTAACAAGTAATGATAAAAGTCGGCGTGTTCTATGGCGGCTGAGTTGTACTTCAGGGTCAGGCAGAGCGTGATACTGATATAGAGTGACTGATTCAAGCCCCTGTATTTCAAAGTAGTTGGCCCAAAGCTTAACCTTGTTTGAATTATATCCAGGTCTAACAATAGGTTTCGAGGGAGAAGTGTGGAAGGATAGATTCATGAGCTCTGTTTCAAGCCCGGCATTTCTTTTTGCTACCACGCTGTCTTCAAGTCTCTTCACCTTTTCTGGCAGAATATGCTGCCCTCCACTAATTGAGACGGGTTAGAAGCTGCGCCCTGAAAGCAAATAAGGAACGTACTCGTGAATTTCAGATATCCGGCTGCCACTAGTGGAGGAAATCGTACTCCCAACACAGCGTCCGCTTCGAGGAGTGAACGATTGCCCTCTTCCTCGATATTCTCCCCTCCCAAGAGACCTGCTGCGGCCTCTGTATCCGCCTTTGGGTGGTCGGTCGTTGTGAGAGCCTTCGCCATCTGCACTGGACCGTCTTTTCCAACCTCCTGTGTCCATTTTGGTAAACGTGAAAGCAACCTTCTAACTGATATATTATCGTTAGACATATCAATTAGGGGTGCGCTTGGCGGATATTTTGTAGAACGTAGGATATATTTATAGTGCCTCATTATCATACTTGATGTTTGCCCGTAGATTCGTTGCTCAAAGACAAACAATCAGCGGACGGGACAGGCATCTCCAGGTAACAAACAATTTCCCTGTTAGGATTGTTAACTATCTAGCTAAGAAACGGGGATGTATACTTAAGTAGACGGTTGTATATTATGCCGGGGTATGAAGCCGGCCATGATCAGGGTTGCTGCATCTCGCTGGAAAACTACAGTGGAACCCTTCCACAGAAACGGATCCGACGAGTTTCTTCTAGTGCGAAATTGGGGCTATGTAAACAACCAAGTTCAATTCTGCTTCTGAGGGGCTTCCATTTGTTATGGTCGTTCCAGTCAGATATTGATGTTGACGGACTGCGGCAGAGGAAATCTTGGTGGCCGCAAGAAATAACAGACGCCAATGTTGGACGGTATGCTGTTTTCAGGTTGTAATTAATCTGTATGACAGAATACTGTATTCAAATAAACAGTCTAAAAGTAGAGCTAAAGGGGACTTTTTATACACAGATAGCAGGAGATTACTCGCCATCACTAGGGTCATCCTCTGCCATACTGGCATCCTCGCTGTCATCGGCTTTATTCTTTTTCTTATTCTGCCTCTCTTGCTCTCTGGTGCTTTCTAGTAGCTTTGCTCGTTCGGCCCTCTGGACTCGTTGGGTTTTGACGAATGCACCGAGGGGAGTCGTATCCCATTTAGTTTCTTTCAAAAACCCTTCTACTTCTGCCCTGTTCCTAGGAGCAAATGTAACCTTTGCCCTTCTCTCTTCAACCCAACGGCAATTTGCCTCAATTTTCTGTACCAAGAGCATGAAAATCTGGGATACCTTGGGATTCTTGTTCCCCGAGGAACGAGATGAAACTTCTTTGAGCCAACGCTTAAGCATCACGATCACCGGAAGTGCAAGTTCAGGGAAAGCGATATTCTTGGTCCAAAGAGTAAAGTATTCGGAAAGAAGTTCGGAAACCTCCTCAGCAACACCATCTTGGTATACCCGGGTTCTAAGATATGATTTGGGCGTACGAATGGTGGTTGAAAAATCCAGGGGCCGTAATGTGCTTGCCTTTGGGGGCTTTTTCATCTCTGCGGAGTTCAAAACTTCTAATAGGGCAGATGACAGAGGTATGTAGGTTCCAGTAGAAAGGGACAGTCGGAGAAGAGATCGTGTGAGCTGGAAACGAAGAGGGAAGTACTGAGCTGTAGGGATGAGCCGCATAGCGCCAAGGATAATCTGAACAACAGGATATATCAGAGGGCGGAGTGCACATTGCTTTCCCGCCTTAGCTTCGACCAGAGGATCGCAGTGGGCTGCCAGAACTCTAGACCAGAAATCCAGCGAGTGTACATACTGCCAGTTGTAAACAGCCTTGTACGAATCCTTGGTTGGATTGGTAATGCTGCCTCTCAAATGGATAGCAAGCTGTCGAATGAAGGTGAATCCTGTGGTATAGGAAATATTCTGGTCAATACCCCAGAGCTCTGCCGCAGAGTTCTTCATCAGGTTTATCCCGGGAAGAGTGTGAACTGAAGTGTTGCGACTACCTTTAACGACACCCTCATAGCTGGCTTTCAAAACTGCTTCTCGAATTCCAGCATCCCCAATGACCAGTAGCTTCCTAAGTATCAAAAAGGCGGTGATACGCGTAGCCTCTGTGTTTGATGCCTCGGACCAGTGACCAACAACCGTCTTAATCAGGGCTTTGAGCAGCTTTCGGAATTGTAAAATATACGGAAGCATGGGCTCAATAGAAGATATCGTGAGCTTCAAGGCTGCGGCGTCAGAAAGGGTAGTGAGGAGCTGGTGAATGGAGGAGACATGAGATTTGATGAGCGGCGTCAAGGTTTTGAACTTCTTTGAGTCGAGAGTAACTCGTATTTTCCCGCCAGCGGTTTCTTTGACCGGCAAATGGTAATTCAATACTTTCGGGACTTCTTCAAGCGCAGTTATCAGAACTTGGTGGTATACATCTGGGTCGGAGATGGTGTATTTTCGGTCTTCGTTATCCCCCTCATCAACGTAGGCGGCAATACGGAATGCTAGTACAGCCTGCCTTGTGGCTCGTAATGAATGTTGAGATAACATCGACTTCTGCCACTGTTTTATCACTGGCATCTTGAGTGTTTTTTCAGGCATCAAGTCCGTTTCTTCGCGCTGCTTGGACTTTTTGGACTTTTTCGCGGCGGGAGCTTCCTCTCCTTCGGCTTCGCTGAGCTCGTCAATCTCAGCAAAGTCTCCATGGTCTCCAAATGCCAAAAGTTCTGCATCATTCTCTTTAAGGTATTTGTAGAATTCAGGGTCTTTATCCTTCAAGGCCTCCAACTGATCTTTGTGAGCCTCCAAGTTGTCTGAGCCACTCTCGTCCGACTCTTCGCCCGATTCCATTTCACTATCATCATTATCCGTTCCAGCTTGCATGTCAACCTCTTCTTTCTCTTCCATACGCTTTCTTTTACCTGTCTTCGGCGCGACGTCCTTTTTCTGTTTCTTGGAAGATTTCGTAGCTGCCGGTGCATCTGCAATTTCAAAGCCGCCAGCGAAAAAGTCGTCTACGGCCATATCCGCAAACGAAGCATCCTGCTTGGCATCTGAGGTCGATTTCTTCTCGCTTTCCTGTCTGGCAGCTTCTTCGAGCTTTGCCGCGTTTTTGGCCTTCTTTTTATCTTTGACTTGATGGCGCTGTTTGACTTTTGAAAATTCTCGCCGCCGGTCAATTGTGTCCCTAAGGCGGTTCTTCTCGAACTTCTTGGTTGACTTCTTGATCCCCATATTGAATAACCCCAGCGACTCCCCTTGCGACAGCTGTTGGCGGTGATCTGTCGGCTTTTAGTGCGAGTCGCAGTTTATAAGATTTTTTTTATGTTTTTTATTTTATGTTTTTTGGCTTCCATTGATAAAGCAAAGGCCATGTTTGCATGTAACTGATGCAAAACCGCCAAGCCTTAAATGCATGGTCGCTGTGACGCTTCATCAAACGACAAACAAGCAAAACCAACAGGCAGACATCGTCAAGAGGTGAGTATAGACTCCGTGCAACGACCTACAAGCGAAGAAAGAGGAAATGTATTCCCAGAGGCCACTATCGTATGCGCCAACGCCATACAGCTATACCCCAAACACAGCGCTATCAGCCACCATCAGCTTGGATGAGGTGAGGAGCGATTCCTATCGTCGCCAGATGATTTACTAACAGCAGCAGGAAGTCAAACCGTTTTCCTCGCCCGCAGAGAGAGATTTGTACGAGTCACTAGCAGAAACATATAGCATTATTATAACGCTAGACGGGTTGGAGAAAGCATACATTAAGGATGCGGTCACTGAATCAGAGTATACGGAGACGTGCGCCAGGCTGCTAAAACAGTATAGATCCATCCTCAGCGATGATACTGTGGCTGCCGAATTCGTCGACTTGGACACGTTCAAACGTGCCTGGGAGGTATGCTATACTTATCACCCCAAGCCATATGACGCCGGTCTAACAACGGTATCTAGATGGAGTGTCCTCGCGCCACTGAGAGACTCCGCATTGGCCTTCCTGCAACCGTCGAACAACCCTCTCATGCAATCTCTCAAAATACAACGGCAGGGCCATTAGCCTCAGGGAGTCTTATACTTACTGCCACTGAGAATTTCATAACTTTTCTCGATGCACTGAAGCTCAGTTAGCTGATTTCGGGAGCACTGTTCACAAGGACTCTGACTATGCTAGACGTGGAGATCCCATCCGAACAGGATTTTGAAAATAGGGGAAAGATAATCCAATGGCTTATCACGCTGAATCAAATGAGAGCAACGGAAGAGCTCAGCGAAGAGCAAGCTAGGGAGTTGGCATTCGAAATAGAGCAGGCGTACCAGGGATTCAAAGCAACGCTAAACTGATCTAAGCTAAACCTAACACTTTATACCCGGCAACCTTTTAGTTCTTGGATAGGACATTCCATTTCCTTGTAAGGTGAGTGTACTCATTCAGGCTTTGTCCCCTTTTTCCGTCCAGAAGGGTCGGAACAGAGGAGCCGTCAGATATGCTCCTATAGAAGTACACACCCTTCGTTCCCCGTATAACCCCGCCGCTCATAACCATATTTACTATCACTACCCCGCAAATGTACCCTAATAACCAGAACCAGGTAAAAGGAAGCTAGTGGGGGGTGTAATTAGAAGTGGGTACAAGATACAGTGGACGCCGGAGGATTTCGATCATTTATCGCATTTGATATAGGTAATGGTGATTTGGTGATTTGGATACTTGGATCCAATGTAGCTGGATACTGTTGAGTGGAAACTCTTATCGTTTATAACTTCAAGGGCCATTCATCACTGGTCGTACATACAAATAAGAGAGACCCATCAATCCTCATCACTAATGCGTAATGTTGTCAACTTAGCACGCATGCCACCCATTCTCAACAGGGCAGCCATCCAGATTGCTTGCTTGATTCCCAGGGAGCGTCCAATGTATTCGAAGCGGTTGACAGCCCAGTCCCGTAACGAGGTCGGAGCATACGGTAAATCTCCAGCAAGACACAACGGCCAAAGTAAAACGTACCCACCAACTGCTCTACCAATTCTCCCAACATTCGTGCCATCTTTTCTTTTCGTTTCGACGCTTCCTAGATCGTAAGGCACACTGGCACATATGTCAAATGCTGCCTGTAGTGCCGCTGTTTGACTTTGCTCGATTAGAAGGGGTAAGTTGTCATATTGAGCGTATAGAGGTGATGATGGCGAGAGCTTGACGGATGCCTCATCGATAATTTCCGTTATAAGGATACGGGCACCACGTATAGCGTTATATATATTTGGAACGAAAAGATCTGGATAGGCGTGGTAGTATTTTCCATAGATTTCGTCTGCCGGTGACGAGGGGGTGTCTCGTTCCAGTACTTCTAGTGTACTGAAAGGGTAGAATTCCCAAAGCTCAGCGTTAATAGAGGCAAAGTCTTTTTCCTGGGCAAAGGCTTGGGGTAATATATCTTCTGGTGAAACCAAGCTGCGATCCTCAATTTCGGCACGTAGATTGCACAGTTTGACCAGAAGTGTGGTCACATCTTCGAGGAGGCCTTCGGATTTGGGAAGGCAGCCTTGCTGTTCCCGTGGTATTCCTTCGAGAAATGGGGGCGCTCGCGATGAAGTCAATAGGCAGCTGGAAAGCTAAACGTTTGACAATTATTAGCTCCGAGAATATTTTACTGAAACGACCTAGGAGAACATGGACGTACGATTTGGCCACGAGCTTGCGAGAACATCCGAAAGTTCACAATGTCTTCGGGAGCTGGCTTGGCATTGATTTTAAGCAAAGCAAGGGCTCCTTCATGATGACTTCTCCAGCTACTGAGGGATCGGTTACTCCGACAGGTAATAACCTACTAGTGATTAGCCCTGCGCTTGTAGATCGTAGGGCTCTCTGAATGCTGAAATACCTCAAACATGCCTAGCAGCATGACAGTATCAAGGGCTGCTGGCTGCCTTGCCTTGACAGGGTCCCGCAACATTGTGTTCGTCAATGAGAGTGCATGGCCATATTGTTCTCGCGCCGCAATACGAAGATCAGCAGAGTAGTTTATGTTTGCTAATGTTGCCATTCCAACTGAGGCCATACATGCGATAACTGCCTCTGATGTCGCGGATTGAAGGCTATGAAGGTAACCAACCCGCCCAGAACTGGGGATGCATGGTACAACATAATTATACAGGAAGAAGCAGATGGCCTGCTGATTTAGGCTGATTGAGAGACTTCGTGAGATTTCCTCCGGGGTATTTGATGAGGTTAATGAAATTAGTTTTTTTGATGGAACGGTATCTGTTGAGCTTGAGGAAGGGCTGGAGCTTGAAGAAGGGCTTGAGCTTGCGGTTTTGCTATTTCTCTGCCTTGGAGTCTTTGTCGATGCTTTATGCGCTGTCTTCCGGGTCTCGTCACGAAACATCAGGTCCAGCTGGTTTCGATATCCGGTGCATACCCGACCACCTTTTGAGCACTGAAGGCATGATGGTTCAGTTTGGTCGCACTATAAATGCATTAGAACATTCTTGTCTATCTGCGTGGGTAGATACTCGGCTACAGAGTTAGGCAGCCGAGTATTTATGGAGTAGCACCTTGATTTTGCGACGTCGGCATTCATTGCAGCCCTTGCTTGGTTTTCCACAATATACCATTTTCAAAAATAACTAGAAGAGCCGTATCCCCTGGTAGAAATAGAAAGAAAAAGAGGATTGAAAGACCAAGTTGGTTGAGTGTTTCAATCGAGATTTATGCGGGGGCGATCAAGCCGACAGCCCAACTTGATACAAACACTCTTAGCTTTAGCCTTCAGAAGGCGAAAACTTTGTCTGGGGCTGAAAAGCTTAGGCTGGACGACATCTCAACCTGCAGGACGACCAGTTTGCCTGCTTGAAAGGCCCAAGTTTCCGCAGAATCCAGCATGAGGCTCACGTCTCGTATTCGACGAGTCATCCTGGACTTTGTTTTGATATGAAGTTCAGCTTAAAGTTGCTGCGCCATGGCGACTAGTGAGCGGGCTGATTATATAAGCACACCCTGTCGACTACAAGGGATGGAAGGAAGACGAGTCTGGAGAAGGTAAACAGAAGGAAAGATTTCTGGTAAAGAAGGCAATTGTGCGAGGATCTAACAGGCTATGTTATCGTATTTCAGTGGTTGACCACAGGATGCGACAAAGTATTAGAAAACACAGTTCTTATGCATTGAGCAAGGAGGCACCCTGGTAATCCAACTAGAGACAGTTGCCAACCGATTAAACAACTACTCGGAATGCGGCTCGTCGAGTACAACTGTTGAGAATCCATCTTCCCGCGATTCGACTTCAGACTGTGGCTCCTGTGTTGGGACAAATTCGGGGGCATCTCCACGGAGCCTGGAAGGTTCGTTGACAGGCTGAGGCCGGCCAGAGTCGTTTCTACAATGGACATACTGTGATTGGTTCCCCTCCCAGGTGCTCATTTCATGGATACCAGGCTATGTGAGGATATTAGTTAAATGTTTGAAATCTAGCAAGATCTAGAAAGAATATTACATACTATTGGGTCCCAGCTGCCGTTCATACATGGAGGAGGATGACCTTGGTAGCCATATGCTGGATAGGCATCTGGTACTGGCGACCAATACGCCTGGTTAAGGCTGGCCACGTCTCGTGCCGACGCGTACACCACTCTATTTGGAGGACCAAACCATTGAGGGTCGGCATTATTGGTCACTGTCCATGGAGCCATTGGATGATAAGGCTGCGGGCTGCACGCGGGATCATAGTGGCTGGGGTACCAAACAAGACCAGTTGCGGTATTTGGATCAGAATGCCCATAAGTATCTCCTTGGGCAGCGTTTGATGTGCTATCGCTACATAGTTTATCCTGCTATAGTATAGCATAGTTAGCCTAAGTACTAACGCAAATAAAAGAAGAAACCGACCTTTTGCTTGCTAAACTTCTTATATCTTCGCCCAATAAAGCCTTGTGTGCTTTTCTGTTTTTTACTTGCCTTTGATTTACCCGCCATGGCCACAAACTGCTATGTATGCAGGAGTAGTAAGAAAGCCACTTATTAGAAAGGGGCAAGGAGGTATAAGTGCAAAAAAGAGAAGGGTGCTTAAAGGCAAGAAGGTAGAGGGGTACTGGATATAAATACCGCGCCTGAGACTAGATAGGACTAAAAGTTCACCTGGGGCTCACGTGGTATAGCACTAGGAGCAGTCCTGTTACTATAGATAGGCTCTGTAGACCATGCAAATAGAAAGGATTTGTAACAACTGTCCTCCTTGTACTAGCACAAAGAAGAGCGCGTCCATAGGTATCATAGAGTACCTGTAATTCTGAATGAGACCAGATTAACCAAGCGTGAGGCTTAAGCTGATCGAGGGGATTGAATCCTGCGTGTTTTTATCCGAATTGACGAGAAACGGCGAGGACACACATCGGACAGGATTCATGAGAATCTGACTTCCTCTTCAAGTTGACATGGCAAATGGAGCCTTAGGAGCAGCCTCTTATTTAAAAATCAAATCATCATAAGTAAGGTGTTGCAATACATGAGGCCACCAGCCTGGTATTCCGCCAGTTGGTCTGCTTGCTGCTCCTTTTTGGGCTCTGGGAAAAGGACGAAAGTAAGAGTTTGATAATGCCAAGACTTCGATCTCCTTGAGACGAAGGTAAAAATAAGCATCAGACTTAGGGTATTATGTAATACAGACGATCAACGTATCATTGGCTCTACGATTTTCTTGGCATAGAAGAGCCGCCAACCTTGAGATATCAAAGTAAATTCGCGTGGCAATAAGCTCACTCAGTGACTGATTAAGAGTGAGAGAATCTAACACATTTTGGGTTTTATATATATTAATTATATATGAATTTGCGACAAAAGTAAATTCTATAACAGGGAAAGCGCCCATTGGGGCATTCATAACATATATGAAAAAGCATAGGAATCTATCTGACGGAAAAGAGCAAACGGAATAAATTAAACGAATGACGGGTCAAAAAACGAAAATAATAATGAGCTATGGGTCAAGGCAGCTGTAAATCAGACAGCTGATATTTGAAGGTGCGGTGCGTATGTGCGCTCTGCCGGTCAATAGCCTCGCTCCAGCTCGTCAAGGGTATACGTTGCATATGTTGAATATAGGGATTGACCGATGGGTGGCACAGTATGTTGCTTATGGCGCGCGGCTTTGAATTGTGCTGCTTAACGGCGCTGCCACAAACCAATAGAAGAGCGTTAGCATTACTACTATTTACTTTAACGTAGTGAGGAACCCACTGGAGAAGCCTTAAGCACGACCGAGCCAGGAACCGCATTTCTCACAAGTCCGTGCATCTTTAGTGTTGTCAAACTTGCACTGAGGGTTAGGGCATGTATTAGGCGTCGTGAATATCCGAATGGGGAACGGTTGAAGCTTTAGGTAGAAGGTGTAACTTCGTCTGGTTAATATGAATTGTAATGACTTTGTAGCAGTCTCGTAGGCTGATGATTGACTTGGGATTGAATGATGGGGAAAATGTAGATAACTTGCAAAACCTAGCTGCCCTTTATATATTGGTGAAAATAATATTCTTTAGAACGTATTCTGTTCTCTCGAATATGCCATGGTGTTGCTGCCTGCGATAGCCCGACCACATGAAGGTATAAGCCTCTCAGTAAAGTGAACTGAAGTATTTAGATGGATGTCATTGCATAAATTTTCAATAGACATGGCATTATTTTGAAAAAATACTTCATGTAGCTGGCATTCTGGGCTACCAATTTAGAGAGTTAAGGTACGGCTCGCCCGGCATGAGACACTGCTCCCGAAGTGAGGCTCTAGAAAATAATAGCGCATAGACTAAGATGACGGGTATGTGGCATGTGCCCACTTGACACAGAAAGAAAGTAGTTTAGCCTCCTTAACTGCCATCGAGAATATTCTGCGGGCCTATAGTTCAAGAATATGATCTTGGAGACATTTTCTTTATGCATTGGCATAATCAAGGGTATCACTCGAGACTTGGAGAATTATTTTTCCTTTTCATTTACCTTTTTCAATGATCTACCTAGCCTTGTTGCTTTCCTGTCACTCCTAATACATCGGAAAATCGGTGTCTTGAATAGGGGTACCTAAGAGCAGCGAATTAACTAGCTATCAGCGAAGGGAAGGTAATATCACGGTTGGGCTTGAAACAGCCGTTCTACTCTACCGTGAGTTTCTTTTCCCCTGTCGAGATCTTGGCGTGAAGAGGCTAGCCATCAAAAGTGCTAGGATATATGCATTAGCCCTAGCCTTGGTCCAGTATTGGTTGGTGCAAAGTAGAGGTTCGTGAAAAGCGCCTCACAACCCCTCTCCAAACAGGTCAGCGGCGTATCAATCTATAGTTACTGGTTAACCAATAGTTAGGCGCGAAGCTTTAAATGGTTTTAAGCCGCAATAACAGGGTTTCTGCTAGTGGTTCGCATTTTGCGGCACAGCAATTCTATAAAGCGGGCTGATGTTTCCCTGCCAGGTGACAACTCAGCCATCGTCCCTCTCCTCATCACAAATTCATCAAGATACTCAAGTAACCGCCTACCCTCGTTCGATATGAAGCCCGTTGATACCACCAAAGAGGACCCTACGCCGTGCCCAACTTGCGGGTGGTCTGATTTACGGCGGAGCAGATGCAGCCACACAAGTCAGGTCAAGCTCGTCAATGCAGTGAGCAACCGGGCCTGGTGGAATGTCGGGAGTGACATGATCCTGAAAGAGGATCCGCACGACAAGTGGCAGACGTCAGAAGTTGCCAACCTCGAATTTGTCCAAGAGAACACCACAATCCCTGTTCCGACGATTGCCAAGGACTGGGTTCAGAGTGACAACCGCCATTTCCTTCTCATGGAGCGTATTCCAGGCGAAACTATGGACAAACTGTACCATAAGCTATCCACTGAGGAGATGGAGGGTATTGCCGAACAAGTGGCTGAGTTTATTCAACAGCTTAGGCCACTGCAGTCCCCCGAAATTTGTGGCATTGGAGGCACGCCGCTGCACAATGGCTGGGTTTTCCTTAACAACATGGAGCCCGCTGGCCCATTCTCGTCTGATGAGGAGCTTTGGGACTTCATGAAAGACGGCTTAGCCAGGCTCCCAACGAAGGCGGTTGAGAATCTTCGAAAGCGAATGCCACCCTGCAAGCCATATACCTGGACGTAGGTTGACCTGGATCCGGAGAACATCGTGATTAAGGATGGAAAAGTGACTGGGATCCTAGACTGGGAGTTTTCTGGGTATTATCCTGTCTGGTGGCAGTACGTAGCTGCCGGGAAAGGGAGTCCAGAAGAGGTAAAATGGCTAGAAATTATGGAAAGGAAGATTAAGGATCCATACCCGGAAGCAAGACAATGGCATAAGGACCTTCGTCACCTGAGCTTCTACCTAGACTTGACTGAAGATGGCAAAAAAACTTTGGAAAGGCTGATGGCAGACGGCGAATGAGCGTAGCGCTGCACATCTTTGTCTATCATAAGTATACTTATAGTAAAGTTGAGGAGCAGGACCGGATGCATGAGGGAAATCATCTAAGAAACAAAAAAAAAAAGAGCCGAAGGGGGATGATGGCTCAGTGTCATTTAACAGTGATGTTGGTAGAGGAAAACCAAGTGAGTGAACAAAGCTGTGCATTTAGTCTATTCTTATTTCGCTCGTTAAACAAGTCTATCGAAATCCAAGGTCTATTGTGCTTTTTCGTCAAATCATCGTTAGATATCGCGTTAGTCTATGGGTGTGATTTCCAGGCCCAGACTGACCACCAGCAGCGGACCTCAACTGGTGATCCGTCTTTTGCTGCCCAGTCGTCGTAGCCAATCTCTTCCCCTTCTTCAAGAATATATAAACCGATATGGTCCAGTCTTTTCTTGAGCTCGTGTACCTGTGGTAGGTATACTTCTCGCAGCGGTAGTTCCAAAACGAGCCTTGACGAACTGTTGGAAGAGATATGCACTTCTATAGCCCGAGCGAGCCACCTGGGATGGTCTGAAGAATATAGGGGATCTGCAACGAGAATTATATCGTACTTTCCAGTACTTTGTAAAGAGACTCCAGACTGGAGGGACCAGTCTAGCACGCCAGTGGTGATACTTGACTTGACCTTGGAAATGAGGTCACCATTCAAAGAAATATTGTGCGTAAGATTAGGCACAATCGCGGGCAAATCAGTAAGATGAACTGTAGCTGCAGCACTCCATACTGCAGCAAAAGATATACCAACAAGACCAGTACCTGCTCCAAGCTCGAGGGTCCGTAGAGGGAGATTCTGATCTTTTGAGGTAGGGACCAAGCCGGATGAATAGAAAATGTGGAGCCTCTGGGATAGCATGTATGACGAGACCCAAGTTTTATTTCCCAGGTTGTCGGATGTCAGGGATGGCTCATGCAATGTGACCTGAAACTCGGAATCAGTGTTCATTGGGATTGTGAATTCTCGAGACATGGAGGGCATGGCTACAAAATCAAGCTATCAGACTCAAAGCCCTTTTTATAGAGGACAGGGCAAAGCAGAGGCCATACCATTTCTACCAGCCCGTTGGCAGAGCCTGGAGCTTGCAGTGTCCCATATCTTTTCCTTTAGAGTATCACACTCAATCCAAGCCAAGGGGCTACCGATTATCGAAGTGAGGTATCTGCAAATATCACCATCCTGGAGATTTGTAGTCTTTTGATTGGAACGCTGAGAAAATGTATGCGGACGTATGGTTAACAGGTCTAAAGTCTGGAGTATATCATCTGCGGGGGGTTTGGTGTAGAGCTGGGGAAGGTCGAAAACTGCGACAGGGATGTTAGTTTGGATGAGAGTAAATCGTAATGATGTTAAGAATAAGCAGTTATTACCGTGAACAGGGTGGCTCTCGGGGCCTCTCATCCTTGGAGTAAGGGGGTACACAAAGCCCTGTGGCCTTTTCGTTGTTGCACCAGCGGTCTGCAATCAAACCGTTCAATCTTCAATTCAATGTCAATATTTTTTTGTTTTCAGTTAAGGTTAGATTACGTGAAATATGACTAGTAATATCTTCTAACCTTAAACAGATTAAGGTAATCACGTGAAGCTCCTATTATTAGGTCCCCCAAATTACCCAAAACACTGCCTCTCATTCAATACCGTAATCAAACTCTACATCCTCACTTTCTTAATAAGTGTTGTATACCAGTGCCTTGCGCCGGCTCAAACCAAGATTTATGAAGCCATTTACTGCTGCCATCACTATACTGCCCTGGGGCTCTCTTGTGAGCATACAGTCATACCGGAACACCGGTGTAAAATACCACCTATACAGCGGGAATTGTCAGCGTTGAAGGGATGGCAGGAATTTTTTGATAGCATCCAAGTATCCTTCTTACCATCCCCCTGGGTGTATGGGCAGATAACCACGGCAGAAGACAGCTCTTCATTCTTAGCGTCACCTTGCTGATAGGGCAGCAGACCTGGATCACTGTGGTTACACTGTGTCCTCGAATGCTTCCTCTGAAGCTGATCTGGGTTGATGCGGCTTTTAACATCTTCGCTGGTGGGCGGACAGTTGCTGAGATGTTGGTTTCAGTACGTGGACGTACATCATATATCTGTTATCCTACCTATGGAGAGGTATTGTCTGTAGGCAAAGAGCTTACATATCTTACAGTGTATCATCACTGATGCCACTCCTAGGGAAGACCTGTACGCATCCATGTAACATACACGTTGACCATACCAATGCTGATTTGAGCTTGGTCGATTGTTTTCTTTCGACTCTATGCTCTTAGCCAGCTGAGCATAGTGATTGGACCAACAGTTGCAGCTGGATTGATTCAATTCAACCCCTGGGTTGCAATAATCTGTGACCTCGTTCTCCAAGCTGTCTGCATTCCAATTGAAGTGACCATAACAGAGACGTTTTTCCCGCATTCAGCATGTAGTGAACGTCGCGACCACCCGAATACAGATCATTTTCCCAAGGGCATAAGGAAGACCTTGTATAGCATCCGAAGTCAGGTACTTTTAGCCTTGAGTGTTTTTAAAGACCTATGGGCTGACTGGCAACTTTTATTCTTGGTCGGGCTCTGCCCCTTTCGCATGATAATGGGTGTCATGTCCGACTTGATCCAGCGCTATGTCTCGAATCGATATAACTGGACTCTAGCAAATTCAACTCTCCTTTATTTTCTCCAGGGAATGGTGTCAACACTTGTTTTGCTCCTGCTACCCCTATTAATCACAAGTGTTATGGAGAAGAGACTCAGGCTCAGCGGAGTTGAAACAATGTCATTGTCTACCGTGTTTCGTCGGGTTTACTTGCATCCGGTTATGCGATCCAGGGGTTTTCTCCCGTCATATCCCTTTTCATCGTCGGGATGGTTGTTGAGAGTCTCGGACTGGGGTTTGGACCAGCAACCAGGGCTTTAACTGGTTCAATAATAGACCGCAAGTATAACGCACGGGTATTCCCTGTTATCACAATTATGGAAACATTTTCTAGGATGATTTTATACCCGGTCACGGCAGTTTTCTTCAATATAGGTCTGAATCGAGGTGGGCTGTGGCTTGGTCTGCCTTTTGATGTTACTGCAGGAGTGGCACTCCTTACACTCATGTCTCTTTCTATCATCAAATTCAGCTCTGGATGAGACTTAATAGAAGATAAAACAAGAAACTCAAACATCATATGTTGCTCTATCCCCACACTTTTTTAAGCATCATTTCTGGTACCCCCTTTCCACATCTTTTTGAATATAGAATCTTGGGTGAGCAAGTCTCGCGGGCTCCCAGACTCAACAATGCGGCCTCTATCAAGCACCATCACTTTATCAAAATCCATAATTGTGTTCAGCCTATGGGCGATGGCAATGACAGTGCATAGTTTAAACTCTTCTCGAACAATCTTCTGCATCAGCTCGTCTGTAGCTTGGTCGACGCTGCTTGGTGTTAGCCAACAGTCTTAAGGCACATCATGCTCGATATAAGTCTTACTTGCTTGTAATTTCATCAAGTAAAACAATCCTTGACTTTCGAAGAATAGCACCTGCAAGACAAAATAACTGGCGCTGGCCATGGCTCAAGGTGTTTGGCTGGAATTCGGTATCGATACCACCTTGCGCGCTTATCGCATCAAAGAGAAGGGCTTTTTTCAGCGCATTTATAACTTCGTTGTCGGAATATCGGTTATTAGGGTCCAGATTAGAACGAACTGTACCAGGGGTAAAGACAAGTTCTTGCGATATCATATTAAAACGGCTGCGGATGATGTTGCGGGGCAGGCTGGCCAAGTTGAGGCCATCCACTGCAAGGGAGCCATCTTGAATTTCAAGAAGACGTAATAGGAGCAAAAGAAGAGACGATTTACCGCTAAATAAGAGCGAGTCAGTTGCGTTATATAGTTAATCCTTGCGGGCTGTAGTACCTTCCGCTTCTACCACATATACCGATCTTCTGCCCTTCCTCTATGGTTATGTTCAAATTGCTAAGGGCTGGAAATTCGGGACGTGATCTATGATGAGTTAGAGGCAAGAAACCTTGATACCTTTAACTTAGGAATCACTTACTCGTAGTATGCAGTAATGTTGTTGATATCAACCCTTCCACGATGCGGCCAGTCCAATGGAGGCTCGATAACTTCGCTAGACTTGTGTTCCGAAGGGGTACAATTCGTAAAGTGTTTGATTCTGCTAACGGATCCAATGCTAGTCTCCAAAGCAGTCCATGCTATGATAATCGACGTAAGTATCAAATTCAAAGATAGCACTTGGGTTAGAGCTACACCAGTGAGTCCACCGCTTGCCTTGAGTATCACTGCTAGGGTAACCACTATGACTGCGAGAAAGGCAACAATTACGTCGAGAACGAATGTAAGCCAGCGCTGAATCATATAGAGTAGGTATAGTGGTTTCTGAGATTCATCAAGTAGCCTGTGGTTCATTTCCAATGCTTGAGTTGTCCATCCAAAAGCTCTAAGTGTGGATAGTCCATTTAATGTCTCCAAGAAGCTTGAGTATAATGGGCTTTTTGCTTCGAGTTCCAACAATCTGAGCTGACGGGAGGTACGTAGATAGAAATTTTGCATCGTGTATAATACCGGAACAATAATTATAAAGGCAAATCCCACCCATGGTGACGAAATGATGATTAATATTACTTGACCAAGCGCCAGGAACACGGTTAACAGCCAGTTTAATAATGCCATAGGCAGCTCGTTATCAACAAGTTGGATGTCCTGGGAGAAACGGTTGATAGTAACACCGATATCTGTTGAACCAAAAAACGATAAGGGGGCATTTACCACAACGGCAAGGATATCTTTGTGCAAGTTTGACCCAGCTCTGCTGACGAAACGGATGAGGGTATGGTATGCCACTCCAAGCAATAGGAGAAGGGCTGAAATTTGAAGACCTGTGTAGACGGCCCAGTAGCCAAGATCGTCCAGTCTTCCTAGGCGAGAAGTATTTGTAGAATCCACCCAGATCCGTAGCCAGTACGTGGGAAAGTTGTATAGAGTGGTATAAAATATTACCAGTGCCAATAGAAGTAATGATGTCCAGGTTCCGGCAGCCCTGAAGTAATAACCGTAGATTCTAAAATCCCTTGGAGCTCGGGTTGGTACACTGTTTTCAGATCTTTCATTATTCGTATGAGGTTCCAGATGTTTTATGGGAGCTTGATCAGCACTAAGAACGGTTTTTCCCGGGACATTCTCTGTGATTGCAAGGTTCCCAATATAGCCAACTTGAAAACGAAGTGATTGGAAGCTCCCTTGCTGGGCTACTTGGCCGGATTCGTTGAGAACAATAACGTGATCCGCAAAAGGAAGAAACTCAGTGGCATGTGTTGCAAGAATCACCGTGATACCTCTTTGCCGTGCAAGCCCCGTTGGGCCGATGACCTCCCGAACGATGTGGGTCGCCCCTGTAGGATCGAGTCCACTGAGCACATCATCGTATAGCAGGATTGGTTTCAAAGCGTAAAGCGACCTAGCAATTGCAATCTTCTGCTTCTGTCCACCACTCAAGTTGATTCCATCACTGCCAACCATGGTTTCATGTCCGTTGGACATAGTGTTGATATCAGCCATAAGTGCACAAGCTTCAACAACCGTATTATACCAACTAGGCTGGAAGACCGAGCATCCTATGATGTTCTGCTGTATTGTCCCATTGGTTAGATGGGGCGTTTGACAACAGAAACCAATATCTTTTGTACTAGCAAATATCTCAACTTTGCCTCTTGATTTCGGTGTCTCTCCAAGCAAAGCATGGCATAAAGTAGATTTTCCACATGCAACAGGTCCCACTACAAAGGTACTTTTCCCTCGAGGGATAGCGATGTTGATTCCGCGAAGAACATCATTGTTATTCTTCCATCCAAAGAACCCATTTGTTACTTTGACGATTGAATCATTAAGATGCAATGGCTTTTCACAAGTTCTGTCCTGCAGTTCATCCGATAGGGTTGGAAAGTGCCTTGTATCCACTCGGGATTTTGTTGATAAGAACTTATCAATGCGTGAGGATGATCCGAAGGAGGCGAGTAGCGGGGGCAGATCGAGAAGTGTTTGGCTGAGTGACTGAGCCAAAATCAACAACAGCGATAAAGATGTGAATGCTCTTGAGGCATCAAACGACTGTCCATTTCCCTTCGCTTTCAGGATGAATAGCAAGAATGTAAGCGGTGGTGATATGAACTGCGGGACATAACCTAGACCAGTGGTCCATACTAAAAGCATTCTAAACCGGTTGGCTAGCGTAATCTCTTGCAATCGGGTATTTTGAATTACTGAGGATAGTGTCTCGGTCAGGCCTCGCATCTTTAGTGGTTTGATTGAAGATAGCATGTTTGAGACAGTTCCAATTCGAAGTTGGGAAACTCTTGTCCAAGTTGTCTGGTAAACATCAGACGAACGGCTTGCCCATATTGACAACACAGAGGATAGTATTGCAATAACAAGAGGTACCACGAAGGCTATCCCAAGTTGTCTCTCCAGGAGAAACGCTAAGAATCCAGCTTGAATAGCATTTGCCCAGAACTCGTGAAAGCTCCGTAGCCCGAAGATGATCCGCTCGACATCAGTACTCATTAATGTCACTGCTGCCTTTGGGTCCTCCACAGAATGGGTATTCAATTGTAGTGTTTTCCCACCAATAGCCGACACTAGGCAACCACGGATCATAGTGAGTACTCGGTAGTGGTAATACCAGTAAAACCCGGTGGAGACAGCGATTCCAAGGTATACAAAAGCGTATGCCCCAATTAAGCCGTAGCCTATGTCTTTATCTTTTGAACTTGAGGGTTCGGCCAGGTAGTCCAGGAGCTTGTTTAGTAAAATGGGCTGGCAGACTGTCAGCCCTATTAAGATTGACCTTGGGAGAATCACCATTATAATGGGCCACTTCAGAGTGATAGTAAGGGCTCTCATAATAGCATATCTCTGATTCTTCTCGTTGAATTTCTCCCAGATGGTCAGGAAAGGAGAACTAAGAGAATCAGCATCCATTCCTTGGGCCAAACAGTAAAGATCCTTTGGAAGCAACGTGGATCTAGCCCCGTTCAGTAGCAGGAGGTTAAGCCAGAAAAATATACCACGGTTAAGTATGCTGCTAGTATCTTCTGGGCCATAAGGGACACAAACAGGTCGCTGGATATACTTAGCCTTTTCCCATGATTCCAAGCCTAGAATAAAAGCCTTCATTGCTGTTGATGTAATGGATAACACCGATAAGACTGAATAAGGCTTTATTAAGAACAGGGTACGCGTCCGTGTTACGTCAAAGATCATGGAAAAGAAGAGGTATATAAGAAGAGTGGAAGACGGTTTGATATTTCGCCCATGCTCAAAATATGAGAGCAGCAACAGGATTGCGAAAGTAACAAGTGACAGTGCTGCTGCGGAAATGGATGACCAAGACCTCAGCGTATCATGAATGCTCCAGCTTGCCAATAATGCTACCTGCAGCATTCCATACACCAAATGAGCTAAGAAAGGGGCGTCAGCTGGAGATACCGAATATTTGATATAACCGACTAGTTACCCGAATACCAGGGTAAAAATGGCATGAATATGAGGAGACTGACCACCAGCCTTGAAAAGTTGGAATCTGCGAGCTAATACCAGTTTAATTTGGCCCTGAAGATATATAAGCCGCCCAAAACCAGCAGCCAAAAGGAGGAATGACGGAATCATTGATAGAATAGCATTTTCAAAAAGTAAAGTAAAGTCCCAACCCCGATAGCAGTCGTTGGTAATTGGGCCAAAGGAATTATCCTCACACGTGCCATGCATGACGGGCTATTGACCTGCGCTTTGCTTTGAGTCTAGGAGAACTGTGGTGTTCAATTAAGGTGTATGGATATCGTTAAACTGCATGGACATTTGTGCAGAGTAGAGGTGGTTAAAGCTATGTGTACGCGGAAGGAGTAGTTAACTAAGTAAGACCCAGATTGATGATCATCAATAAAATTTTCCTCGCAGATTGGCACCGACACTGAGCCCGGCGACTAAGTAATTTGATCCACAAACCAATCTATCTTGCAATTGGCAAATGGACAAGGAAAAGAGAAGTCACCCGACATTACATCGGTGCCAGAATCCACCGTGTATTCAATGTTAGCTGCGATGTAACATCGGTTGCCCAACAAGCCAGGATAATTTGCAGTACACGGAGCAGTTCCAAGGCAGAATGCTTGTATTCCTGTACACCCGTTGCTTTAGTGTATTTTGACAAGTTTCGTGCTTCGATAGCAGTGTTGCTAAAGAATGTTGCCAACAAATTGGTGGCGAATAGGAATGATCACCAAAATGACCAGACAAGGGTGAGCCTGGCGGGGAGGGGGGATGAGAGCCTGCGGCGTGAGGGGAAAGCGGCTGCCCATGTATAATGCATTGTCAGCGAAAAGCAATAACAGATTTCCGCATACGCATTATGTTACCATGAGAAACACGGCTATACAAGGAAACGTAGATTACTTCAAATATCGAGAGCTAAGCCCTGTCCGGCTTCCCGAATAAAGCCCATATGTTCCTGCCATATGAAAGAGAAGTAGCCGTGTATCCTAGAGGGATATCTTCAGCTTCCAGACAAGCTTTCGTACCGGTAGTTAGTTAGAAAGTAATCCAAAGAAAAATGAAGTATACGACCCGCGCCTGGTGGGTTTACATACCAGATTAGAGCAGGGGAGGTAAAATTAACTATTTATCAACACGCCAATACTCGTACAAGCATCGTGCTGTGTCTCCCGTAATTAAAGAACTGCATACACTAGCAGCAATAAAGCCTGTCGCAACGCAGATGCACGCATAAATCCTATTCAATAGAGTTTCCAACGCTGTCGCTGCGGCTCGGAGTTGGAGTGTAAAGTCAATTCGTTGAGACTTGGCTGCAGCAGGGACACCTAATTTGGTATAGCGCATGGCACGAAACTCCTGCCACCAGACAATGTTGTGGTACCTCGCGTCTATAAAGCTTCGGTGGGAGTCCAAGAAAGCTTGTTAGAACAATAAGGAAACACGAACAAACTTACTTTGTGTTGCGACTTTGATTCGTTTATCCCGACACACAGTTCAGATATCCGGAATTACCAGCTTGCCATCATGCCGTTCCTAACGGATGAAAGGAACGGACTACTGGAGGGCACTCAGGGAGGCTGAGATTTTGATATAGGAAGAATGGAGAGTGTCTATAGGCAAATCACTGCATCTCTGCAGGTCGGCCGGGAAAGAATACAGGACGTAAACCCGTGTACCTCTATGCAGAGAGGCCTTAATCGGCCTTTCAGCTGCGGGTTCTGGAGCCTATATCAAACGGGTCGTCTTGTCCCTGGCCGTTGAGAATATGGCCCTATCAACAGCCACTTTGTCTAAGACCGAATAGTTCAGTGCGATAGCGTGGACGTTCTCCAAGCGGTTCTCCAAGACCCAATTTAGTGGGACCAAACAAGCTCTCTGGAGGGCCATTTGGAGAAGGCGATGGCGGAAAGATAGGGTATTTGTGATCGCTTAGTGCGTTATACAATCATCAACAGCAAAAGCACACCGCGTTGGTTCGTTTGGACCATTCACCATGCATTATACGATGGTTGGTCGTTTCAGACGATGGCTGAAAAAGTCGCACGCATCTACTGCGGCTGCGATATCGAAAAAACACTCAATACAAAGACTTTTGTTAAACACATAATAGTGAAGAATTCGAAAGGGGATAAAGCATATTGGAAGTCAGCGCTTGCAGGTACAATGGACAAGAATTTCCCACAACTCCCGGTGGAGCAGCGTTGCCCCACTACATAAAGTAGCCAGTATTAGTAGGACCGCACTACTACAAATAGCTAAATGGTATGGCAACTCAGTTAGCGGTCTGCCTCATCGGAAAGCTCGGTACCGGGATCAGGGGGCTGGTGGCTCCCCTGTGCTTCGAAAAATCCGTCTGGATGCCTGTGGTGAGGTTAGCGATCATGAAAGCAGGTGCAGCATCTGTCGCCTTGGATACTACAATACCCATGGGGTGACTGAAGAGTCTATTCTAACTTAGCTGGCCTGAAGCTGATTGTCGCGTCGCGAAAGAACAAGCAGATGGCAGAGGTGCCGGGGACAACAAAACGACTGTGGTTGTGGTTCACGAGCGGAGGCCAAGCGCTTAATTTAAGCGCAATTGCCAAGACTCGCTTATTACCAAGCACGGATCCCTCCGAGACGCTCATGGTGTTATTCACCTCGGGTAGCACCGGTTTGCCCAAAGGCACCATTATCACACATTCATTGTTCGCAACTGCAATCAACCATCATAGGAAAGTTTTTGGAATTGGCCCTGGCGAGAGGGTCTATGATTTTACATCATATAGTTTCGATATTGCCTGGTTCAATGCATTGCAATCTTTATCTCACGGAGCCTGCCTATGCATTCCATCAGAGCAGGAAAGGAAAACGACCTCGAAGGATCAATATTGAGATTCAAGGCGACCATTATTCTTATTGCGCCATCTGTCGCACGACTAGCGTGTCGCTCTCGGAGGAGAACCTCAAAAATGGAGCGCTTTACAAAGCTGGCCAGCCCATGTTAGGAAATAGAGTGTCTACGAGACTGCAGAGTGTACAGTGGTGTCGGCAGCAACCGATCCTTATTTGTGGCTGCCCTCTTTGAAGATAATGGCTAACAAACATTATTTATCACAGCTCATCATCTTGTTATTGATTTTGTTCCGTGACGAATCACTTTCGAAGATTTTGAGAACCTATTAACGCACCAGCCACGAGTCGAACCAGGTTCAGCGTCATTTATGGAATGGTGCCGGTTGCAGAATGAATATGCATCCTCTTATTTAGAATCGAGCTTTGTGTTGCATTCCATGCCCAAGTACCCGTCTTTAGATTACTGGGGTTTGAGGAAGAAACAAGATGGCAAGGAGCTCTACACAAGGAAGCAATTCTTCCTGGATATCCCAACGAGCAAAGCAATTTTGGGTTCTTGTAGTGATAGACTACTTGTATGACCGCATGAACTAATGATGGCTACTCTTAGCTACTCACTTGCTCAAAATTTTCATGACAGAGAGCTCCTTCCCATTTTTACCGAGGGTCATGGACGGTTTGGTTGGTGAAATCAAGATATTGATTTATCGCAGACGGTAAGATGGTTCACCACAATATTTTTTGTCCCAATAGACATACGAGAAGGTGATGAGCTGCTTGATTTATGATCAAAACAAAGGACAGCATGTGACGCATTCCTTGCAAAGGGTGGTCCTACTTCTTGTCCAAATACCTGAATATTAACGGGAGACTGGCTTTCTACAATGACCCCATCGAAATCAACTTCAACTTCCTAGGACTTCTCCAATAACTCGAGAGTGAATCATCTCTGATAGAAACAATCCCTCTTCCGAAAAATTGCAAGCCTACTGAGATGGCTTCAATCAACACCGTGGATGTGTTTGATATAACCGTAATCATCGAGCGAAGCCAAATACAAGTGGACTTCAGTATGACAGCGAGGTGAAGCACAGTGATAGGATAGAGAAGTTGATTGAAACTTACCGCAAGGCGATAATTGATGATGTGATGAATATGGGATGAGAATATTCATGGAACCAGTCTAGAAATAGTGGCTGTGGAACAATATCGTTATCTGCGATGTTTTGAGATAAGACGATTTTGCTCTCCAGCTTTTATCAGTTACTGGCTAACTACAAACCTGTACTCAAGTACAGCTTTAAGAATTGCATTTGAATAGTTATCATAACAACAATTAACTCGGTTAAAACCCACCTAAACATTCCAATGAACATTCGGGGTACCCAGCACCCCCATCAAGCCTTTCATATCCCTCACCAGCAGAACCCCGGCACTCAGTATTCGTATTGTTACCAACATTCACCCCAACCCATGCTCAAAGATTGGTGCATGGCATAATTTCTTTTTCCCCAGCCCCCATTCCACTTTGAGCCCCGACCTCGCTCCTCAATCCGTGAGGAGTAGTTAGATGTTGGATTATGGCCCATACCCTCCACACCCTTTCTCCCATGGCTCTCTTCCTCCTGACAAAACTTCTCTTGTTACTACTGCCTGTATATCTAGCGGCCGGCTTACCGTTGGAAACGAGATGCAGTGCAGAAACACTCCAATTTCCAGACGCCGAATCAATCTCATACATACCGGCGGGAACGAATCTAAGCCTCGCATTCAATGACCCTTCATGCAAGAGACCGAGCCAGGTAGTTCCTGTAGATATCTGCCGAGTGACGCTGTACACTGCCACGTCTCATAGGTCCGGCGTCCATTATGAAGTTTGGCTGCCTTTGGAGTGGGAAGGGAGGAGGTTTCTAGGTACAGGGAACGGAGGCATTGATGGATGTAAGTTTGCTTTGATCTACGGTTGGGAAGGGTGTGTTGACGGTCATTCTAATGATACCGCTAGGTATTAAGTATGAAGACCTTGCGTATGGGGTAAAGAATGGGTTTGCTGTAGTTGGTTCAAACAACGGACATAATGGTACCACTGCCGTGACGATGTACCATAACTACGATGTTCAAATCGATTTTTCATGGAGAGCGTAAGTGCTGAATTCCACGTAACTTATCTTTCATGATACCGTTCTAACACGATGGCCTGAAGACTACACATGAGTGTAGCTATTGGAAAGAAGGTCGTGGCCCAGTTCTACAACGGGCCACACAAGAAGTCATACTACATAGGCTGTTCGCTCGGCGGACGGCAAGGGTTTCAATCTGCGGTGAAGTTTCCTGAAGGCTTTGATGGAATTGCCGCGGGAGCTCCAGGGCTGGATTTTAACAATCTGGTGTCATGGAGGGCCAGTTTTTTCCCTTTGACTGGCGGTGTAGAGTCACCGGATTTCATCACTGCAAGTGCATGGAAAACATTTATCCACCAGGAAGTATTAAGACAGTGTGATGGCCTTGACGGTGTGATGGATGGGATCATAGAAGACCCGTCACTCTGCCACTTCAATGCCAATGCACTTCTGTGCAAACCAGGAGAGGAAGCGAACTGCTTAAGCCAGGTTCAAGTTGATATTGTGCGCAAGATATTCTCCCCACTGATAGGCGAGGATAGTAAAGTGATATATCCCGCAATGCAGCCAGGCAGCGAAGAGCTAGCTACTACAAAGCTGTACGCGGGGAAGCCATTCAGCTACTCCGACGAGTGGTTCAAACATGTCATCTATGACCCGTCATGGAACGCATCGACATTCACTGTACACGATGCCGCAGTCGCAGAAGCCCGAAACCCAGCGGGTATCAAAACATGGCCGACATACGCTGACCTAGCCGAGTACCGAGCCCGAGACGGCAAGATAATCGTCTACCACGGCGGACAGGATAATCAGATAACAAGCTTCAACACCGAGCGATACTATAATTATCTACTGCGGTCAGACGGTGCTGGCAGTGCCGGGAACCTGGACCGTTTTCTCCGCTTCTTTCGTATAGCAGGCATGTTCCATTGCAGTGGAGGGCCAGGCGCATGGGTACTAGGTCAGGGGGGTGGAGCCTCCTCAAAAGGCATCGAGTTTAAGGGAGGAAACAACATCCTGGCTGCCCTTGTTGACTGGGTTGAGAAAGGTATTGCACCAGGGACGCTGGAGGGAGTCAAATTTGTGGACGACGAGATCACATCAGGCGTTTCATTGCGCCGAAGGCACTGCAGGTTGGTCTTCTCTCGTCTTCTCCCATTGAACGTATATGGCTAATGCATGGCGATAAATAGGTACCCACGGCGCAGTGCGTATATAGGGGGAGACAGTTCGGACCCAAATAGCTGGGTATGTCGGTAGCTCGCTTGAATGTCAGACACAAGGCGGCCTTGCGTAGGCCGGTCATTGTATCAGGCGTGTTTGAGCCCCGAAAGGCCTGTCTAGTCCCTCAGTACTGTCATATGATAGTAGCGCAGTGTTGTATGCATGCTCAAGCTTATGTCCCGTGGGTCGGGCTGTGAAGCAGGCCGCAAAAGAGCACGGGAGGCTCCATATAAGCAGTGCTACCATCTGATAAGGCATAATACTGAGCACCTAGGTACTATTACCACCAACACCAACACTATCAGCGCTATACTTCACTTTGTGCAGCATAAAACTTGCTTGTAGCCGTCAAAACCCCCACTTAGTCGTCAATGCTCAGCCTCACCTCAGCCTCAAAACTCAAAAAAGACGGACCAAATATCAGTTTTTGGTCCGTTTGAATGTACTTCCGACGCCAGAAGAGCCGAGGAGATGGCATGGATTACTGAGGATTCGGGGCTGCTTTTGTGTGCGACCGGTCTTCATAACCGATGGTCAACTATATGTATAACTAACTAGTTAAAACACAACTCCACATTCGTAGGGGACAGCAGCATAGCCCATCCTATCAATACACCCTTGCGGCAAGGAAATCTGCCTCCAGATGCGGGTTGACAAAACGTTTGATTGTTTGATGGTTATTGATGGAGTCAGGATCTGCCTTAGCTGGGCAATTCCCGGGTGAATAGCGATGGCGATGGCGGCGACAGTGACGGCAACGGCCACTTCCCCGGTTCTTTCAGCGAGAAGGAAGGACTATTTAATCGCCAAGCAGCCGCTCCTTTTTGTGGATTGGTTAAAGAAAGCATCTTTCTTGACACAGCCAGAAACCGTGAATCCTGTGAAAAGAATTCTAGAATAAGACCCTCTGGAGCATCTCCATTTACTCCCATCCGCTATCGGGAACCACGATATCACCATAGCCATGCCGCTGTTCGGATCATCGTCGTCATCATCGAGGTCAAAGTCGCCTCTATCATTCCTGAACCGGAATAAACAGCACCAGCCGGCTCAGAAAACATCATATAGCTATGATAACAAATCCATGGGAAGCAGTCATCTGGGGCCTCCGCCAGCATACACACCTGTCTCAGCCAGCTCAACAACGGCTCCAAGCTTCCCAGCTCCAGCAAGTGAGAGTGACTCTCTGGCCGCGGGTCGAGACCAAGCAGACTCGTTTCTCACCCAGTTCGACACCGTCTTCTTGATAGATGACAGCGGAAGCATGCAGGGACCCAGCTGGGAGGCAACCGAGAACGCGCTGGCCAAAATCGCCCCCATCTGCACCGCTCGCGACAAGGATGGGGTCGAGATATACTTCCTCAACCACCGCTCAGGCACAGCGAATGGAGCGTACTCCAACGTGCGGGACACAGGCCATGTGCGCGAAGTGTTTACGGCCGTGACCCCTTACGGCGGGACTCCAACGGGGACGAGGCTAAATCATATCCTGAAACCGTACCTGAAGGGGTTCGAAGAGGCATCGAAGAGCATGAGTGCCGACGAGCGGGACCGTGCGGTGCGGCCGCTTAACATCATCGTCATCACAGATGGGGTGCCAACGGACGATGTCGAGAGTGTAATCATCCAGGCAGCGAAGAAGCTGGACAAGCTCAACGCTGTGCCGTGGCAGGTAGGGATCCAGTTCTTCCAGGTTGGGAACGACCCCGAGGCTGCGGAGGATCTCAAAGAGTTGGACGACGCCCTGGCTGGCCAGAACAACATCCGTGATATGGTCGACACAGTGCCCTGGGATGGCACACAGGTCGGCGGTGGGCTCAACGCAGATGGAGTCTTGAAAGTGGTCCTCGGTGCCGTGCACAAGAAGTATGACCGAAAGAACGCTTTGGTCTTGCCGCGGTAGCCCACCGTTTCGTGATCTCCTCTTCTCCTTTTTCTCCTTTTCACCTGCCACTGCGTACTACTGCTGCTTCTTCTCTCTCCGTGGCTATTTTCCTCCGCTCAGGATCCTGGGTGCGTTACACTGGCACATATTAGCCGTAATGATTCTCCCCCTCGCACAGGAACTGTCCGAACCGGCCTATCTTCCTGTTGTAGCTGCTGCTAAAACGAGATACATGAGTAGTTACATAGTTAGAGGAAATTAAAAACACCCTGTTATTCGAAACACTCTGGTCTCTTGCTTTCGAGCTGCAGGGTGGTGATATCAGCGTCCCCCTTAAGGACAGGGGACAGCCCCATCCAACGCTCACGCCGGCGGTTAACTTAGATAGCTGGCACCTCTCGTCACAGTCACAGAGAGCCAACCAGGTCGACACCTGGCGTAACCTCGTAGGGACCCCAGACATGCACTTAAAGAAAAAGAAGAAGAAGAAAAGCAGGTTTGACTGTTTCACGAGAAACGGCTGCGTAGCTAGTCAGTGGTGAAGTTGCGGGCTGTCTGTCCGTCTGTCTGTCTGTCAGCCAACATGTTGGCCAGTTATCGCGACTCTCGACCAACAACATCCAACATCTCCAGATATCCATCCAACAACAACGGCTCGCCGGCGCTTAACAGTTTCAAAAACGGCAGAAGATGAGACGTCGACCTGCATGACGACGAACCATCTCCTCGCCCTTGCAGCGAGAGGTCCTAGAGCGCCCCCTTGAGGCGTTCGTGACGTCCAATCAAGGAGAGCCCGTCCATCGCCTCCTGTACGACCTGTATACCACTTGTACGACCTGCGGAGCTGAACGGAAGACGAGCGAAGACCTGAAGAACGCCCGCTCCAGCATCCAGGATCGCTTACTGGCTAGCAGAAGATCCGCAGCCCATCATCGCAAGGGTGGGCTCCTCGCAAAGCCATCAGAACTGCTAGTCCAGTGGGAAATCCTCGTCTTTTTCGCCTGCGGCTGGCTGGCCGAGCAAGCCGGGCTGCGTATTATTGGGACAGAAAATACTCCGTAACGAATATCCACAGCCAATTTCGCGGCAGACGGACTGGGGATCCCGTAGAACGCTTGCTCAGTGGTTCGGTCTCTCGCTCATCCTGGCAAAGGGGTAGGGAAGGGGATCTCCCTGGTCGACTGTCCCTGTCCGTCCCTTGCTGGCCCCCATGCTCAGGCCAAAAATAAGAACGACGGAGCCAAAGCCCTGACAGCGTTCGCGAGTCGCGGCATCTCCCAGCCCAGAGCTTCTTCTTCATCTTCTGCCTGTCAGTCTTGAAACGAGAGCTGCCAAAGGGGGACCGGTTTCAGGCCCCTTTGAGATGAACAATAAATATAGCATCATCTTGCATTGAAAAATAAAAGAAGAAGTTGATGCTGCAGGGCAAAGCAAGGGCAAAGAGAGACTCTACATAAGGGCGTCGATATACATACGATGAAGAACTCGCAGACAGAGCAGTGAAGCTCTTGTCTCGAAGCTGGTTCTCTTTTTTTCTTTCTTTCTTTCTTCTACTCTCGTCAATTCAATTCCTTCATTGCAATCCATTTATTCTCTCCCTGGCTGGTTCCGGTTCATTCGTCTCTTCTTTTTTTCCCTTTCCTTCTTTTCTTCGTTTCTGTCTGTTCTATCTGTACTGTTCTACTATCAATCAATCGTGTCAAGATGGCTACCTCAGCCACCACGACGTTAATGACATTCCTCGTGTAAGTCAATTCATATATTTGCTACAATGGATGAAACTAACCGACACCTGCAGACGGACTCCTCCATCAACCCGGTCCGTAAGCCTGTTTGGCTCATGGGACAACTTTGCAAAGGGTTACCGCATGGAAAAGGACTCGCGTACCGGCAGAGGCCACTGGAGAGGATGCCACACCTTCACCAACATCATCTGTGACGGCCACGGGAATCCGATCTATCCAGGTCGAGACGGCGGTCTAAAGATGGGAGGGACCTACTGGTACTACGTATGTATCCCACTGCACTGCCTGTTCGGACTAGATGTAAAATTGACTTGGTTATCGGCTAGTACGTCCTGGACGGTGACTTTGATTTTTACAATGAGTCCGAAGCGTGGACGACTTCATGTCCCTTGCTACCTGGACAGCCGCTCAATGTGCTCAATGTCCCTATATATCTACCCCCTGCTGTCATCTCTCATGGCCGGAACGGTAGTGAAAGCTCGCAGCTCTCTATCCCCCAGACCATGAATCCAGATGACAAGTATGTCAATCCAAGGCCGCCGCCGCGCCCTCAGCTGCCACGCCTGGTTACTTCCCCAGCTACCCTGGGGTCGCATGAGTCTCACGAAGCCCTCATGTCCCCCGTCACTGCATCTCAGGCGCACGGCAGAAGCTATTCCCAGCCCCGAGCCGCCAGTCGCAAGTTCAAGGTCGGCGGGAAACTGTCATTGGATCTGAAACTTCCCATGACCAGCCTTGCTCCTAAATCATCTGGCCTTCGGACCGCGTTCTTCAACCGGGCTTCTCCTCGTTCGGCAAGCCATGAGAATCCAGAGAAGCATGCCAAAGTGCCGGGGATATCCTTGACTAAGGACACTCCCGTTCTCAGCCCTGGTCACCAAGGACAAGCTAGGAACTATATTCTTCGGCCAGAATATCCAAGTAGATCCTCATCTCTAGCATCCCCATGTGGCTCACCTGCAGACCTTGTCATCGACGACAGATTCCCCAGCCAAGAGAATACCAACTGCCACCTCAATCAGAAAACAAACAACCATACCTTGGATCCATCATACCAATCAAGCCACTGTCAAACCCGCTCCAGGTCCAGAAGTCCTGCCCATACACCCCTAAGGAACTCTGTCAACTACGATACCAACCCCGTGCAGGATACCACAACTGCCACTACCACCACACACACTTCAACTGTAGAAGTACCGTGCAAGCTCGACGCCCATGAGCCTCTCTCCCCCATTGACCTCTACTCTAAACGTCTTCCTACGCTTCCTAACAGTCCATCCTCTGTCCTGGATGAGACGTTCACCTCCACCTGGGCATCCACTTCTTCCTACCAACCCCTTGACCTCAACCACCTCCAAAGTCACTTCTCTAAATCCACCGTCGACTCCTCTTCTCCAAGCCTGACTCCTTCACCTCAAGAATCCCCTGTGCTCCCAGGAGGTAGTCGCTTCTCCGACTGCAGCACCGACACCGAAATAATCTCTCCATGTTCCATGACATCCTCATCCACGTTCAACAATGACAGCAACTCTCCTGCAAACTATAGTTTCTCAGCGAGCACTTCGCTAGACAGCAACTTGTCTGATATCTGTCAAGACCCTAGTCAAAACTACCTTGACGCCTTCGGCCTGTCTAACCTGCATATCGGTCAAGATGGGACCAAAGACGCAGAACCGGCCTTCTCATGGATGACATCTGACCCCTTCAGCGACGAAAACATTAGTCTCTGTGGGAAAACCGACGGGTCCTCTGTTACCATCAACGCCAAAACACAGGGCTACAGCTCTAACGGCGACCAGGCCGAAGCCACCATCAACAGTATGATGCAGGAGCTGATTGATGATATGGGGTATCTCGGTGACATGATCGATATTTATCCCGAGGAGATCTGAGCCCATCTTCCCTTCTATTTAGCGTACTTTTCCTTTTCCTTCTTTTCTAAGCATATCTGTCTCGCTTTCGGTTGTTTATATCGAGCAGAACCGGCGTTTAAGTGCTGCTATTATGCAACTTGTATTGTAGGGAGTCAGGATCGAGCTTAAAAGCAGAACATTCAGTAGCTATATCAAGCAAACCACAAAAATATTCACTTCATGAACATACACCAGGAGTAAACATTTCCCTGCTGTCTATAATAGTAATGTTGTGGTTATTTGTATCATTGTTGAAACATTTGTCTATGGGGTTGGATGCATCTTTTTCGCAGGGAACCTCAAATAAACAAAACATCAACACAATCAGTATAAACTAACAACTCCATGCATAAAGCAACAAAATACGCTCGCTACATCGGTTGAGCGCGGGATAAAGCGCAAAGATACCCCTAGAGCCATCAGATACGCAAAATAGCGGTTCATCTAGAGGGCGTGTTCAGCGTCACCCGTGATGGTTTCACCATCGAGTCCACCAGCCATCGCGGCCGAACAAGAAGAGCCTGCAACGCTCAACTCTGTGGCTGAAAAGGACTTGACTGCGAGATGTAAGCCGCGGACGATAGCGTACTGTCCTAACATGGACCTTGTCGCTGTTGTTACCGAGGACGAGCAGGTGAATGTGTACAGGCTGAACGGACAGCGGGTATTTGGCGGGGCCTACGGGCTGGGGGAAGAAGACGGCGAGAAGGGCATTGTGAGAGCTGTAGGGCTAAAATGGAAGGAGAATGGTAAGTATATTATCCTACTTGGTGGTGGGTGGGCTGTTAATGGCTAACTGGTTGCAGGACGAGTGTTGGCTGTTGCTTGCTCCGACAACAGGATACGCCTGTTAAGCTCCTACAGCGGGAAGATGGTGCATGGCCTGACAGCCGAGTCTGCGCCTGTCCCATTCTCGCTGCCGCAACGGCCTGGTGGAAGCATTACGTGCATTGGATGGGGCGTCAGCTTCGCGGAGACAGACAGCCTGTTAAAGAACCTGAAGGACCCCGAGGGGAAGCTGACGCTGGACGACCTGTTGATGTCTGATACGAAACTGTCTGCTCATCTAGGGTTTCTCAAGGCGGATCTACCGCGTGAGCTGGCGTTGCTGGATATCGAAGGGTCGCTGCCGAAACTGAGTACGCTGCCGTCTACGGGCGATGAGTACGTTGTAGCCCTTCTTTACTTTGCTTGTGATGCTAACGGTAGAATTCTAGTGACGATGTGTTCAGCAGCAGGGTATCTCTTGATTCTATATTTCACTCGCCCGTGAAAAACCCAGGAGACTCCGTGGATGTGCTGCTAGCCGGGCTTGACGACGGCTCCGTCCATATGAGGATCTTCGAGAGCTTTGAGATTGGTTCTATAGATGTGTCCAGCTCTCTGGATGGGCCTGAGGGTGGTGATGATACCGGTGGCAGCAACAAAATGGGCAAACGAGGAGAATATAAGGCTCTGCTCCATGCATCCCATCCGATGAGCACGACGCATGCAGTCCTCTTCCGGAACGAGGCGGGCATAAAACTGCTGAATCTAGATCTACGGTTCATCACCAAGGCAGGCAGATATCTCCCCCTACTTGCGTCTAAGGTCACACAGCTGCAGAACCTACTGCGGTATATCAAGCAGGTTCAGGCGCAGATGCATCTGGAGTGGAAGAATGCACGAGAACTGCCTATCAGGTACCTGAGGAATATCAATGAAGAGCTAAAGGAGCAGTGTCACTGTGATTTTGTCACGGCTACATATCATTTGATAGTTACGGGCGATTGCTTTGCCCCGTTGAAGGAGTTTCTTGCTACCACCATTGGTGACAGAGTACGTTCTCCCTCCTTTATATCTCTATATAAAGAAATATACTAATGGTCTAGGGACAAAAACGGTGGGAGAAGACGGTTGCTGGGGGGTACGAGGCTCTCCGCCGACTTACATATGAATGTCTGATGCCGGCGCTGGAACGCTGCGGCGTCCTGCTTAGCCGACTGATGGGGCTATCGAAGTACCACCGCATCAGCCCAATCCTAGGCCTGGAGACGACCTATCTCAAGGAGTGTGTTGCGACGCTGGACTGCCTGACCCTGCTGGCACACAAGGTAGTGCTTCACAGCAGCATAGAGCTAAAGGAGTTTCATGCATTCTCCAGCTGGATGCAGTATGAGATCAAGCTCCAGTCTACCGATCCAACCTCGTCGACGATGGACGAGCTGGTAGAAGCAGCAGACGAGATTGACTATGGCACCACGCTAGGGTATGTCAAGGGAGCACTCACTAACAGCGCCCTACAGGGGTTTTTGCAAGTACCACCGGCGCCAGGGGCAGCTCCAGAAGACAGGAAGCGATGGGATGTGGATGTTCAGGACGACGGCACCTTTTACGAAGAGTACAAGAAGGTGGTATCGCAGCATGAGTCGCGGCGGACGGTGGAAGGACTGTCGATACCGATGCTGGGTGACCTGACCGCCAGACTGTCGGCTCAGTGTGACCGGGTGTTCAAGCAGATAGCAGAGACACAGCGACGAGGGACGCTGTTCCGGCCTACTCTCAAGCTGAACGAGGACTGCGACTATGCGGTCCTCGACATGGCCATGAATTTTGAGGTAAGTATGCATACCGTCCTCTGTCTTCTAGGCGATAACCATCAAACTGACGGGGATGGCGTTCCAGGAGTACGAGGGCGAGAGGCTACCGTCGATATATGTGGCATCCAGATCTCGCACCACGGCACATAAATGTATGTCCAGCCAGTAACTAGCTAATATCAGCGAATGCTAATGCGAATGCTAACCAACTTTCTGGCAGTCTACATCTACCGGAACATCCTCACCGTCGTCAACGGGGTGAGCTCGACCAAGGCCAGCCTACAGGCCGCCGTCGAGCTTGGCTCAGGCAGCATCCAGGACCTCAAGTTTGTAGAAGACGGCACCCTGATGCTCCTGTGGAAGTCCAAAGGTACGTCTTTTCTTCATATTCTCCTTCGTATTCTCCGTCTGATGCGTCTTCCCCCTTTAGTATCACACCTGGTCAGCATCCCGTATCTCCCCAGCAAGCACGGCAGGGTCGAGATCGACTTCACCGCCGCCGCGCCGGCTGCGAGCCTCGATCTCCATCCTGCCCTGGACCGCCTGGTTTGCCACAGCTTCGCACCGTCCGCGAGCGAGCGAGAGCCCGTCCACCTCGAGGTCAACGGACGGCGCGGACGGCGAGTAGTCTGTGTCCTGTATGCGGACGGGCGGCGGTACTCAGTCCTGGACCTCGACAGCGCCCTGGACTAGCCTGCCATAGCTAGCTAGCTACCAATAACTGCTGGCCTGCTGCTGCTGCCTGTCGGTCGTATGTAGTTTGACCAATAACTAGTTTTATAGCTGCTGCTATTAAGATGCAACGGCCAACCTGCGTCCGCCGTAGCTCTCGCTCTCCAAAAGAACAGCAGAGAAAAGGAGAGAAATGCAGATAAACACCGCCTCTTTCTTCTGCTGCTGCTTCTGCTACTTCTCCAGCTGTAGCCAGTAAATAATAGCCATCGGTTATTACTATTTGGTTATCATCTCGTAGTCCACCAGCTGTAGAGGAAAAAGCCCACTTCTTCTTGCTCGCACCCAAAATAATTTTTTTCTATTTATTGTTGTCAACAACAACATCTTCACTTCTTCTGCTTTTTTCTTCCTTTCGCTGCCTCAATCAATATTCAACTTCTTCTTCTCCTTCTTCTTCTCTATCCTCGCTCGCTGCTCCGGCCAGACGCCCAATCACTTACTCCTCGCCGGCTTCGTCTCGTCTGCTCTGCTTATCCTCGCCCTTCGTCCGTCTCCAGCGAGATCGATAGCCACACGCGCAGGGGAGGGGGGCAAAAACTCCTCCTTTTTTTACGAGCTCTCGGTCTCTCTGCCTCTGCTTCACCTTGCTACGGCCTCTGCTTGCTCTTCGCTGCCTCCAGGATACCGTCGTCCGCCGTCTTGTGCTCGCTGTGAAAGGCCCAGCCGTGCTCTTCCACCATGGACGTCAATCAGGTGTTGGCCAGCACCCTCTCTGCCGGTACGTGAAGCCAACGCACACAGGACAGGAAGACGAGATACGGAAGACGATACAATAGCGAAAGAGACGGGAAAGACTGTGAGAACCGGGCTAATGTGCTGTTTTTCTGCTCTATAGATGCCGCTACTCGCCAGAATGCGGAACAGCAGCTACTTCACGCCGCAGAAGTTGACTTTGTGCGTCCCCAGATATCCCATATTATCCTATACACACACACACACACACACACGCAGAGAGATAGAGAGATAGAGAGCAAGACTGACAAGAGAGTGATAGGCGGGATACCTCACGACCCTAGCTGGCGAGTTGTCGAACGAAAATGCTGCCTCGTCGATCCGGACGGCCGCTGGCCTGGCGCTCAAGAACGCTTTTTCCTTCCGAGATATCGCCCGCCTGCGAGAGGTGCAGGGCCGGTGGGTGCACGGCGTCGACCAGCAGGTCAAGAAGAACGTCAAGGAGCTCGCTCTCAAGACGCTGGGCGCATCTGATGGCCGCGCGGGACAGTCGGCCGGCCAGTTCATAGCCTCCATCGCGGCCATAGAGCTGCCCCGCAATGAGTGGCAGGATCTCATGAACCTGCTCGTCCAGAACATCAGCACCGGCTCAGACCACCTCAAGCAGGCCTCGCTGACCACGATCGGCTTCATCTGCGAGTCCGAAGAGCCCGACCTGCGCGAGAGCCTGAGCGCTCACTCCAACGCTATCCTCACGGCCGTTGTGCAAGGAGCGCGGCGGGAAGAACAGAACCCAGACGTCAGGAACGCTGCCATCTCCGCGCTCAGCGATGCCATCGAGTTCGTGCGCTCTAACTTCGAGAATGAGGGCGAGCGGAACTACATCATGCAGGTCGTCTGCGAGGCCACACAGGCGGAGGACACGCGGATACAGGCCGGCGCTTTCGGCTGTCTGAACAGAATCATGGGCATTTATTACGACAAGATGCGTTTCTACATGGAAAAGGCGCTCTTTGGATTAACAATTATGGGCATGAAGAGCGAGGAGGAAGACGTGGCCAAGCTCGCCATCGAGTTCTGGTGCACCGTCTGCGAAGAGGAGCTTTCCATCGATGATGACAACAACCAGGTACGCCCCCGTTGTCTCCCTCCCCATTATACATAAAATATCTATATACTACTATAACCGCCAGCTAACAATAATAATACTAATGTATAGGCACAGGCTGAAGGGTCGACAGAGATTCGGCCGTTCTTCAGCTTTGCCCGCATCGCCTGCAGAGAGGTCGTCCCCGTCCTCCTGCAGCTAATGACCACTCAGGACGAAGACGCCAGCGACGATGACTACGACGTCTCCCGCGCCGCCTACCAGGCGCTGCAGCTCTATGCCCAGACCGTACAGGCCGAGCTCGTCGGGCCCGTCCTCGAGTTCGTCGAGCAGAACTTGCGCAGCGAAGACTGGCATCACCGTGACGCTGCCGTCTCGGCCTTTGGCGCTATCATGGACGGCCCAGAGCACGAAACCCTGGTGCCCCTTGTCCGCCAGGCCCTGCCAGTCATGATCACCATGATGGAAGACAAGGTCGTGCATGTCAGAGACTCTACTGCCTACGCCCTGGGCCGAATCTGCGACTACTGCTCTGGCGCCATCGAGGTCAACGTACACCTGCATCCGCTCATTTCATGTCTCTTCAACGGCCTCGCAAGCAGCCCCAAGATCGCCGGATCCTGCTGCTGGGCCCTGATGAACCTTGCAGACCGGTTCGCCGGCGATGCTGGCGCTCAAACCAACCCTCTCAGCAAGCATTTCCAGGACAGCATCACCTCCCTTTTGTCTGTTACCGAAAGGTATGTCAACTTTCCAGCTTCTTTTTCAAAACAAGCATATTTTATGTCTGCCGTACTAATAATGATTTCTAGAACCGATTCTGATAACCAAACTACGAACTGCCGCATACGAGGTCCTGAACTCGTTTGTGACCAATGCCGCCAATGACTCTCTGCCGATCATCGCCAATCTGTCTGATGTTATCCTGCAGAGACTAGAGCAGACCGTGCCAATGCAGCAGCAGGTCGTCAGCGTCGAGGACCGTATCACCCTAGAAGAGCTCCAGACCAGCTTGACCAGTGTTCTCCTAGTACGTATTGGTCCAGTATGCATTCAATAGGAAGCCTCAAAAACTAACCATCATGGCAGGCTATCGTCCAGCGATTGGAGGCTGAAATCAAACCCCAAGCCGATCGCATCATGACTGTGCTTCTCCAGGTGTTGACTACGATCCCACCAAAGTCCAGTGTGCCCGACACCGTCTTCGCAACAGTCGGCTCTCTCGCCAGCTCACTTGAGGCCGACTTTATCAAATACATGGAACCCTTCAGTCCATTCCTGTACAACGCCCTCGCCAACCAGGAAGAACCGGGTCTCTGTGCCATGGCCATCGGTCTGGTCAGCGACATCACTCGCTCGCTGGGAGAAAAAGTGCAGCCCTTCTGCGATGCGTTCATGAACCACTTGCTCAACAACCTCCGCAGCAACAACCTGTCCAACCAGCTCAAGCCCGCCATCCTGGAAACATTCGGCGACATTGCCCAGGCCATTGGCTCACACTTTGAAACCTACCTGTCTGTAGTCGCACAGGTCCTTCAACAGGCCTCTGCCGTGACTGCCAGCAATGACGTCTCCTACGACATGATCGATTACATCGTCTCCCTCCGCGAAGGTATCATGGACGCCTGGGGTGGTATCTTGCTCGCCTACAAGGGTGCGCCCAACGTAAACATTCTCCAGCCATACGTCGAGTCTATCTTCCAGCTTTTGCACCTGGTCGCACAGGAGCCATCTCGTAGCGAAGGTCTGCTACGTGCTAGCATGGGAGTGATCGGTGACTTGGCCGAAGCCTTCCCCAACGGAGAATACGCATCCTTCTTCCGCAACGACTTCGTGTCCGCCCTGATAAGAGAGGCCCGAACAAGCCGTGAGTACGGCCCACAGACCGTCGAAACTGCTCGCTGGGCAAGAGGACAAGTCAAGCGCCAGATTGGTCTTGCTACTGCTGCATCGATGTCTTAAAAGACGCTTTCACTGCATGCATGTCTACATGACAGGAACTAAACCTGCTGCTATTGACGCTTTCGTCGTGAAAAAAAAAGCTGCAAGGCAGGTCAGACACTCCCAGAGACGGTTATCCGAAAGCCTGCAACCTGCAACATACGGCTTATCCCACGGCATGCTGCCCAACTCTGCCTTGCTCCTCTAGTTGATGTTGTTCACGCCAGCCCACCAGCATCGCATCGCATCGCATCACGCTCGCATCCTCCCCCCCCGCGTCCCCCCTCCGTTTACCTGTCTGCCCGTTACCTTACCCTACCGTACCCCCTACCCCTGTTCAAAGCAATCCACCTTTGTCACAATGCCTCGAATCTAGTTATCTGAAAAGGTTTCCGTCCCCCCTACCTTGTCCGCAGCCCCCCGTCTCCCCGGTTAAAAGAAATCATGTATGCCCCAAAAATCATGTATCCATCTTATTTTAAAAAATTAGACCCGCTATATTGTAGAGAAAGGGTTTGATTTGGAAATAGCATTTGTCCCTTCCCTTTTTCTCCCCTTTCTTTTCACCTTTTTTTCTATCCCTTCGCTTTCTTCCTTTCATCCCTCCTTTTCGTTTATTTCTTATCTATCGATTTTGCACCAGCGAGCATGGGTCAGAGAAGTGACATGAATGTTTTTCCTACTTATTTATGTGC